TTGTGAAACCATAAGACATATCATAATGGTTTTATGTGTTTTTCCTATGAATATTATGTTTTTCATATGAAAGTTCGGTGAATTTTTTTACTACAAATGTCAAACATTTTGTTGTAACGTTTGATGAGATAAAAAGGCTTATAATGCGTCTTATAAATCTCATGGGAACTATCTTATCTCACATAATTCCAAGAGGCTATTTGGTTGAGTTTTCATTAAGTTCTATATGAATAAAGTTGTTTGTGTAGATTAATCTGTTTATATAGATTGATAAAGTTCTTTTGTTAGATGGAAATAACGTGTTTCTTAATTGGAGGGATAGGTTTGGAAAAAAAAACTTGTCTTTCTATATAAAATTCTCTCTTAGAAGCTTACTGAATAAACTACTTTCTATATCATTAAGCAACTACCAAACAATCATATATAACTAACCGAATAAGCTGTAAGTCCCATTAAACTCATTAACCTGCTAACAAACGAGTCCTAAGTCTATTTATATATAAATGACACACCTTCGTTACTCTCTAGGAGGCATCCATCTCAAATAAACTACCCACCTTGCGGTCTATATGTGTGTGTGTATAAATTGAGATCCGATGAGAAGAGAAGTTATTATGAGAAACGTAAGAAGAAATCTCCACAATTGGATCAATCATAATTAAGAGTTAACACTAATAAAGTGCACTAAGATACACCCGATTAATTACCTTCTAAAATGTCATTTATGGGTGGACATAAGATTAAAAAGATCAAGGATTCAATTTTTTTATATTTTTCACCATAACTTCATTTCTCACCGATCCATGGCCAATATGCATATTAGAATGAGATGCACCAAAATACACCAAATCAATCTCCGTATCAAAATTTTATTAATAGATGAATTTAAAATTAAAAACAATCAATGATAGATCGTTTCTTATACGTCTCACCTTAATTCTCCTTCCCACACAATCCTATACCTATAAATTAATATTCTGAAGGGCATATAATAAAACACAATAATACTAGGAACAGAATGTTTGACACTGTGTAACGTGTCTCAATCGTTGAAAGGATTTGGTGGAGGCCACGTCATTCAAAAGTGGGCCATATGGACCATCCAATCAACAGAAGGGGCGGCGAACAAGGACAATAAAACTTTAGCCTTGGGTCGGTCTACGTATGCATCCATGTGTGCCTACATTATTGACCCCATCATCTCAATTTCATGGCCTTTCGCACCTCTTTTCCATCCTAATTTCATAAATCTTCATCGTATTTAATAACTTAAATAATGTTTTCTTTCATTATGTTTAGGGACATTCCAATTTTTTTATACTTTATTAATGATTTGAACCTAAATATGATAATAATAGAGAATATATGTTAAAAACAAAAATGGGCTAAACCTAAAACAATTAACAATCTGAAATTAAACCTAAACCATTAATGATTTGAACCTAAATATGATAATAATAGAGAATATATGTTAAAAACAAAAATGGGCTAAACCTAAAACAATTAACAATCTGAAATTAAACCTAAACCATTAATGATTTGAACCTAAAACCAAACAATTAATTGTTTAAATCTAAATAATTTCGGTTATAGTTTTACACAGGTTGATAAAATGACCCTAAACACATGTAAATTTGACTTATCCAAAATATCACATTTAACATGCTAAAGGATGACCTATGCTTAATCATTTAGTTCCTTAATACATCCAATCAAACACCCTTAAACCCTAATATTGAGACGATACAACCATTTTCTAATGTTTTTATTAAGATTTTAAATATACATATTGTTTAAGAATAAAAAACTGATTAATGATTTAAGGGGTTGTTTGGTTGAGTTTCTATTAAATCTTATGTGGATAAAGCTATCTGTATAAACTTAGATGATTTTTGTTTGGTAAAGTTTTTCATAAATGAAAGAAACATTTTTTTAATAGAAGGGACATATTTCAAAAAAAAATAGTTTTCTACGTAAAGTTTTTTTTTTAAAGCTTACCGAATAAGTCATTTTATATATTATTAAGTCACTAACAAATAGTTACATATAACTAACCAAATAAGTTATGAATCATATTAAACACATTAAATTACTAATAAAGAGAGCTTATTGTAATAGAACTAAACGTTGTATTAATTTTGAAAAAGAACAAAAATACAAAGTTATACTATTCCATTCATCAATCTCTTAATTTCGTGACTCAGAAAAAGCATCTGCCACCTCTTGAAATGAATAACAAATACCAATTAATCACCTACCACCTGTATTCTTTAATGTTAAACCAATGAGAACTTGATCTCCCCCTACCCCACCCACATAAAAATAAGCATAGAAATGGGCTTGGATTAAATCCATATTGTACAATAGTATACGGTGTCGTTTTAAATCCATAATTGTACAATAGTATACAGGCCCCCCCACACAAAAAAGCATGGAAACGAGCTTGAATTAAATTCATACTATACAACACGACGTGTTGTAAATGCATATAGGACAACCTCAAATCTTAATAAAAAAGCGTGTAAATGGGCCTGGATTAAATTGATGCTACGACGATCATTTAAAAATTTATAGTACAAAAAACCCCATGATGTTGGTGTTCTTTTAAAGGTCGTTATGTCCACCATTAAGTTACGCCCCTACAACCAATTCATATCGTCATGCTCTTAAGGTTTCGACAACTTTTAGGAACCATAGGTAGGGGCGAACCTATGAAGACCCCAACAGGGTCTTGTACATCTGCTCAACCAATTTTTGCAAGTAGAATTTTTTTGGGGATTGAAAATTGCACATGCTAAATTTTAAGGGGTGTTATGGGATATTAGAGTATTCAAGGGACATCAACCAAATTCCTTTAAAATCAACCAAAAAACAGAAAAAATCATTTGAAATTAACCAAAAAACAAAAAAAAAAAAAAATCCTTTGACATTAACCAAAAAACTCTAAAAAGATCTCTTGTTATCAACCAAAAATCTTTCAAAGTTGTGCAATGCGGCTAAAAATACATTGGACGACTTTGCAGGCCTTTGATCGATCTTAAAGGTGCAATGCCTCAACAAAAATCACATATCAGCACCAAAGGGCCTTTGGCCTAACGGCATCGTAGTCTTTAGCCTCTTAGGAAGTCAAGGATTCAAACCTCACCGAATGTGATGATTTGTTGCATTTGTCGTATATAAATATTATATAGTTAAAAAAAATCACATATCCGCTGCTAACTGTGGGTGTTTGGACTAACTTGTACGTGTCTCAACTGATCTCACAGGGGCCTAACGATAACAATCAAGAAAATCTCTAATGACCTAACGACCTATGGAAAGGATCCCCAATACCTACCATTTAACATTTATTTATCGGTTAAGTAAACTACTATGCTATTATTCTAAGAAAAGTTCAGATAGCAAGTTACTTTATGTAGTCTTATTTCTATCATACTCTTCCGACACTAAGTTTCAATCTATAGTAATAAAAATTATGTTTATCCTAAAAAAAAATCCTAAATATCATTATGGTTGTTTTTTGACCAATTAGGCAGCTGATCAATGGCACACCCAACCACAATAATTCGATAATTCTTTTTATAGATAAGATGATGTTATGGACCACGGAAAGCAACTTTATGTTGACATTTCACTAACTTTGTATCATTGACAATAATACCCAAGTGCCACTAGTGATTAGCTACAAATTTTGCTCATGGAGAATTGTGGCAAAAATGTGCTAGATGCCACGATAAGCAGCACGTGATGAGGGTTTAAATCTGTTTGTTAGTAGAAACGAAGAAAATCTGATGATCGATAAAACTGAACAAATGGTCTTAAAAATTACCTCTAAGAGATGAAGCTGTAGTAATATCTGTTAGAGTCCTACATCAGCTAGATTTTGATCTTTCTATTTTAATATATTTGAACCTTCCTTCTCCTTAAGGGCTCCTATTTAGAAAGTAATTCGATATGGTCAACATATTTTCACATGGTATTAGAGTTAAGTTCTAACATTGAGACATTTTTGCCTGTTTGGCCTCCGTTGGAGGGCATCTGTTATAGTCCCAAATTGACTAGAGGACCTTCCTACTTTAAAATATTTGAATCTTCCTTCTATGTAAGGACTCCTATTAAGCATAAATTTGATGGAGGTCCACAATATTTTCACATGGTATTAAAGCAAGGTCTAATTTTGGGACATTTACGTGTGTCTAGCCTCCTTTGGAGGGCATATATTAAAGTCCTACATCGGCTAGACTTTAAGTTTTCTACTTCAATATATGTGAGAACTTCCTCTCTCTTCTCAAAATGCACATTTGTAGAGGAATCTGATGGGGTTAAACATATTTTCACAATATCCATGCATTCTTGAGGAAGTTCCAAATACTTTCACATGGTATCAGAACCAAGATCTATCAGAACCAATATCTAGCTCTAGTCCTATGGACATTTGTCCCCCCCCCCCCCCCCCTCCCCTCTTTCATTGAAGGGTGCTTGCTAAAGCCTGATACCGATTGTCGGCTAGACTTTCAAGGGCTCTTTTGGAGAGAAATCTGATGGGGTTCCACATACTCTCACAATCTCCGTGCATTTCAGATCGAGTTCCAAATATTCACACATGATATCAGATTCAAGGTCTACCTCTGAACAAAGTCTCATTTCATCTAAACTTAGATTTTTCTACTTAAATATATGTTAAGACTTCCCTTCTTTCTGCACCGGCGCATTTGGAGAGAAAAATCCGATGAGTGACGGGGTTCCACATATTTTCATAATCTCCATAGATTTTATGATCAAACAATATGAATTATTAACCACTTGAATTAAAAATCTGAGAGGGTTGTATTAGCCTGTCTGAGCATGTGAGCACCATGGGGTACCAGGCCTACTCAAAAAATGTACTAAAAGCAATGTCCAAGTGGCATTTTTGTCATTTACTTCCCACTTTAACATCATGTTCAATCAAGGGACCATATTGTGTTAGATATATATAGCATCCAGTTTTGAAAGTTGAAGGCATCTCAAAAACTAAAGTTTACCAAAACTTTCAAGTCATCATCTCACAGAATTAACTGTGAGACTCTATATGAGCTATGGCAACCGAAATCGATATTCCAGTGTCTGTATCCTCAAAGGTAATTGATCATCCCCTCTATATACTAATTAATTTGTTTTATTTGGTGTGTGCATGTTTTATTTGGTGTGTGCATCACTAGTGATAATTCTCGAGCTTGATCTTAATAATTCTCAACTCGATCTCGAACATAAAATTAAAACTCGTTTAACTTAAAAAGCCGAGCTTCATAACACCAATGTTCGACTCGGCTCGTTCTAAAACTTGATTAGATTTTTTGATTCAAGTCAAGCAGAGCAATTAGAGCACACTTTTTTTTCGAGCCAACACATGCCCATATGTTCATAAATCATACTATAAAAATATAAAAATCATTGACCTCGAGCCAATAAATGAGTTAATCGATCGCGATTGCGAGCCCATAAACGAAGATCAAGTTCGAGCTCGATAATTTAGAAGATATTCAAGCTCCAGGTTGATCCCTACTTTGAAAAAGTTATTCGAGCTCGATAATTTAGAAGATATTCAAGCTTCAAGTCGATCCCTACTTTGAAAAAGTTATTCGAGCTCGAGCCAGAGCCTAGTATTATATTTTTGAGCTGAGCTTGAATAACCTACTACTCGACTCGACTTGGATCGTTTACACCCCTATGCATAACTAGTTATATATCTATGGTTTAGCTTCATCATTAAAGAAAACAAAACTTTAGCATAATGAGGTATAATTTGGGGATTTGATTTACCTAAATTTGCCAGAGACTGATCATAGCAAAGTAACATGGAGATTTCATATCTACTGAAAGCCTCCATGATAGAGAGGTCAGGTCTGCGTACATCTCACCCTCCCAGATCACATCTTCTGGTGGGATATACTGGGCTTGTTTGGTTTGAAAGCCTACATGATATAATTCGATTCCATAGAAAGATCGGGAATTTCTTTAGGAAGAAACTTTTAGAGTTACAATTAATATGTGGCATGATAAGACTGATAGTGAAGTACATAAGTTTAAATTGCTTCAAAGGGGAACTGAAGCTGAAAATATTGACTCTGGAGTCCGGATTTCCATATCTAAGAAGACACCAACTAATTTCAACATATGTACCTACCTACGGGAAAAAGTTCACTTAAAAACGGTAAATATTTTGAGAGCCGTGAGAACCAACTATTCATAATAAATATACATAGAATATCATGCATAATATTCATCATGAATATTGATCAATGATATTCATCATGAAACACAAAAGCAGCAGGATCTACGCGATCTTACCCCTACAAGCTTAGATGACTTTTTGTGGCTTAAAGGACTTGGTTGTTGTCACGCATTGTGATTACCTTATGCATGCAAACCAAACCAAACCAGTAAATCTCACTCAAAAGTAAGGTCCCAGCCACACACGCCCCGGGGGGCGGTGGATGTATGGAGACCTGACCTCTACCCCAAAGAGTAGAGCGGTTGTTTCTGTGAAGAACACGGCTTATGCAAGAGGGTGATATAACAGGTACAATGGAGAAAGACTAGCACATGGTGAATATAGAACGAGAAAATATAGAAAAAAGATTGTTTTCCGGGAAAGTTGATTCCTCAAGTATTCCTATCTAAGTTTTAGGTATGCAAAGTGACATTTGAACCGCCAAACGCACCACATCTAGTAACATACTAATTCAAAAAGTTTACTCAGCAACAAATTCATTGCAAAGCATGACTGCTTCTCTAAGTTCAGAATAAAAGCCTCTCAAAACACTAATATTCTCCATATGATTTATGAGTTCATGATTGGTACATATGCAGAAATGGCTCTATATTGATTTCCTTGTTATAGAAACATAGGGTCGCAAATGAAAAACTGAGGAACATCCTGGGAACGTTTCATCAGGACAGTATGCACTTATGCATACAAGTAATTTGTATGCAATTTTCCCGGTATGCACATGTGCATAAAAACCAAGAAACAACTTTAATTACTTGTATGTAAATGTGCATACCGTCCACATGAATCGTTTTAGGTGCTCCTCAGTTTTTCATTTTTTTGGGGTTTTCCCTTGAACCTCCCTTCAGAAACATATATGCATTATAGTTTATTCTGATGTAAGCATGCTTGATTTTCCTGCAGAAAGGTGAAAGGGAAGATGATGCATTTTCAAGTGAATTTTTGGACGGAAAAGTTACCGAACATCCTGGAAACAGAGTGAAGCAACTTGAATCTGGGCCTAATCAACCCTTAGAAACTAGCAGCCATGTGGCAGAAACTGTAAATACACAACTAGGATCTGATAAACGGACCGATGATGAGGGTGGAATTTTTTTCCAAGCACTCTCAGTTCCCATGGTCAACACACCAGACAGTTGCGAGACTACCACAACGGAAGATCAGGAAGACATAAGGACGACTAAGATTGAAACCTTCACAGAAGAGAACCCAAATGATGATGAACGAGTTGCAGTTATTGCCTCTGAAGAGACAGAAGATCACAATGTGGTGGAAGCAGTTTCTGCTCAAACCGAAGGGTCTATTGATCATATTCATGGTTTGATCAAGGGCTCGGACAAGGATATAGAAGAAGTAACGGAGTTCTGCAATAAAGATGAAAGCACGGGTGGTTCCTCAAATGCAAAAACAGATGCAGGTAAAGAAGAGAAGGAAGGTAAGGAACCTGAAATTGTTAAAACTAAAGAAAATGTTGAGAAAGATGATGAAGAAATTAGACCAAGCGTTGAAACAGTGGAAAAAACAGAGTATGAGGGGTTGCAGGATGGCATTATCTCTGATGTTTGTGTCTCGACACAAACAAAGCCCAAACACGGGATTACAGAAGATGAAAAAAAGAATGATGATGGTCAAATGAAGAGTGAAAAAAAGGGCTCAGAGAAGGCTGAATCTGAAGGATTAGAAGTTTCGTACAGCATGGCACCAAGTAAGAAAGAAATAGCAAGCGAAGATGAAGATCAAGAAAAGGAATATGTTCTCAACGTGTTAGAACACGAACAAGGTAATGGGGATGATGTTACAGGCTCACACGATGCAACCGGTGAGGATATAAAAGAAACAGCAGTCAGTCAACATGCAACCACAGTGGCCTATGTCAAGGAGCAGGATCTGAATGAAACAGATAACAAATCAGTTGATGCTCAAGAGGTAATTCTTGTTCAGTTTAACTATTCCAAAAGCCTTTACCGAGTACATCATTTGAGCTAAAAGTTGCAATGCTAAATTATCAAGCAACTGTTCTTTGCTACAGAATCTCTGAACTCTTTATAGTGTTTGATAAATTAGAAAGTGCATAAACCACAAGGGTTATGGCGTAGTGGTTGAGGTCCTAGGGGATGTTGAGTATCCCATCTGCCCAGGGTTCGATTCCAGGTGTACACAACAATTGTGGTCACTGAGTTTAGCAATGCTGATTTCTTGCAGTTACAGTTTGCCGGGATTAGTCCAAGCATAGCCTGGGACACCCTTCCAAAAGAAATTAGGAAGTGCATAGACGGCTCACTCCCTAACAGTTGGGAAAATCTCAAATAACAGAAAATAAAATGCCCCACAAGAGATCCAAACAAGATAGATTACAAGATCTATAGGACATAGCAAAAGAGCATCCTCAAATAGAGACACAACTTGATATAATGAAGAAGAAACCATTTATAACAATTGCTGCTAACAATTCTTAGATGAAGAACAAAAGAGTGAAGCTGCCACAAAGATTGTTATCAGAAACTTTGAGCCTATTTGGCTATTCATACTAGTTATAATATATTTTCTTTCATTCTTTCCCTTACACTGAAGATATATTTTTCCATATAGGCAAGTGAGCAGAGTGAGAATGAAGGAAGAGACAGAAGTGAACAAAAGCCCATGGAAAGTATCAACAAAATTGTACCCTCCTGTTCAGAAACTGAGCAAGAAGAACAAACTGAAGTGATCAGGCCAATTGTTGAAATAGATGAGGAAGCAATAACAATTTTAAACAAAGATGATGATCAAGAAAAGGGACAAGAGGTCAACATGTCAGAAAAAAGCCAATATGAGGATACCATTACAAGTTCACAAGACGTGACATTTGGAGGCTTACAAAGAAAGAACCACTATAGTGAAAGCATTGAACCTGAACTTGTTGAAACTAAGGAAATTATAGAGAAGGATACTCAAGAAATCGAAGATAATGTCGAGACACTAGAGAAAACAGAGAGGTTGATACATGCCATCCCCACTGATGTTTTCATCTCAACACAAACAGAACCAGAAGAAAAAACTCCCAAAAATGAAGAGAAAAATGATGAAGAGGTTATTGGGAGTGATGATGATAAAAAAAAGAAGTCTGAAAGCCTCATGGTTATGGAACTATGTGAAGAACTTGAATCTGAAGAAGTGTCCAACCTTTCGGATAATTCTTGTATGGTGTCGAATGAGAATGTAATAGCGAGCAAAGAAGATCAAGATAAACTTTACGTGTCAGGAAAAGGCCAAGGTGGCAGTGATGATGTTACAAGTTCACAAAATGCATCCAGCGAGTATATAAAAGAAACAACAACCGGTCAGCATGCTACCACACCAGCTTATTTCGAGGAGGGGCGGGATCTGAATGTAACGCCTAAAGATATCGTCAAGGAAGGAGACGATAGAACAATTGATCCTCAAGAGGTAATCCATGTCCAACCTAAGTAATCTCTTAATTACTCCAAAAGGTTTTACTTGTACATCATTCTAGCTGAACCTGCAATGCTTTAAATCATTAAGCAATGCGAAAATATTGTTCTCTACTACAGAATCCCCCAACATTTGATGCTTATGAGAAATTAGTAAGTGCATATGTGGTCGCACTTTATCATCATTGGAAAATCTTGAACAACTGTATACATGGAAATTAACAAAAATTGTTGTTTCAGCCTTTTACATTTACCTCTTAGCTATTTCTCTCCCAAAATTTCCAAAAAGTCACTATCTCCACAAGTAGCAACTCAACTTGCGGAGGGGTCAAAATGTAAAATAAAATAAAATCTGAACATGGTCCGCAAGTACAGGGACCAAATCTGTAAATTAGTTCAAATACTTCCACAAGTAGCGGAAGTGCTACTTGTGGACCCTGAAATAATTTACAGATTTGGTCCCTGTACTTGCGGACCATGTTTCAGATTTTTTTTACATTTTGACCCCTCCACAAGTTGAGTTGCTACTTGCGGAGGTAGTGACTTTTTGGAAATTTTGGGAGAGAAATAGCTAAGAGGTAAATTTGTCCGGCCAAAACGGCTATTTTTGTTAAACAAAATAATATCTGGACATACTAAAAGGATCTAAACAAAATAAAATACACAATATCTAGACATGCTAAAAGGATCTACAAATAGAAAAGCAACTTGGTTTATTCCCTTGAACATGTAGTAGAGATGGTAAAAACTTCAAATTTTTCTATTCACAACTTTTGTTTCTGGTGGTTGGGAAGGGGAAGGAGATATAAGATGGCAAGAGCAAGGTTTAGAATGTCAATCTAGGGGTAGTGAAGTGAGTTCAAAAGTTCCATACAAAACAAATTATTCTATTTTCACTTTTTATTGGTAATTTACTAGTTCTATGTTTAATCTATAAGACCATATTGTGATTCTCATGCAAAGTTTGACATCAAATCCTCTTGTTCAACATTTAGTTCCCATTATTGAGGGAAAAAAATGCCTGATGCACATGTGATACCAATCTAAAATAGGGGTTGGGTAACGGTGAGAATGGAAAGTTACGGTGAGAGGGGTAAGAAGGGATGTGGTGCACCAAGATGCACTGGACCAATTTCCGTATCAAGCACAATTCATGGGATGGGGGTGAGATTAAAAGTGATCAAGGGTCCAGATCTCTTCTTACGCTACTCACCTTAACTCTTATTCTCACACGATCCTTCGTCTCTAAAATAATGTTCATAAAAGTGTATATGCTTAAAAAAAGCCAAGTTATTTAGAAGAATAATTGCAACTGACAATTTTTGAAGAAAAAAGAATGAAAAAAAGCTACCACAAATATTGTTTTCACAAGCTTTAAGCTTATTCATATATGTTATTGTTTCTTTTATTTCGTTATTCCCATATACTGAAAATATATGCTTTTTAAATATAGGAAAGCGAGCAATGCGAAAATGAAGCAAAGGACAAAACAGAACAAAAACAGGGAGAAAGTGTCAACAAAATTGTACACTCAAGTTCAGAAATTGAGCAAAAGGATGATACCGAAGAAATCAAACCAAGTGACAAAAAACTGGAGCAACAAGGATTGTTGCATGTTATCACTGCTGATACTAGCAACTCAACACAAACAGAATCTCATGTAGGAAGTGCAGAACATGAAGAAAATAATGGAGAGACTATTGAATGTGATGATGGTCAAACAAAGAAGTCTAGAAGCCCCATGGTTGAAGCATGTATAGAGACTGTCCCAGAAAAGGCGAATGAATATGAAGAAGGGCTACTACATTCAAACAGTTCCAGTATGGTGCTGAATGAGAATGAAATAGTGAGCAAAGATGAATATCAAGAAAAGGAACAAGAGTTTTACGTGTCAGAAAAAGGACAACATGGTGGGGATGATGTTACAAGCTCACAGAATGCATCCAGTGAGGATATAAAAGAAATGGTTGGTCGACATGGTACCAAAGTGGCTTATCTCGAGGAGGTGCAGGGTCTGAATGCAATGGCTAAAGATATCCTTAAGGAAGAAGCAAAGGATAGAACAATTAATCCTCAAGAGGTAATTCATATCCGACCTAAGTAATCTCTAACTACTCCAAATGGTTCTACTTGTGCATCATTCCAGCTAAAACTTGCAATGCTTTAATCAAGTTATGTGGAAATAACGGTATCTACTACGGAATCCTTCAACATCTAATGTGTATGAGAAATTAGTAATTGTATAAGTAATCACATTCCAATATAGTTGAATAGGGTTAGGTTTAGGGGAAAACAGTAAAAAAAATGTAAAACTGAGGACACCCTGGTAACGATTCATTTGGACATTAAGTAATTTGTAAGTAATTTTTCCGGTATCCACATGTGCATAACATGCACACGTGCATAAAAACCAAGAACCAACTTCAATTACTTGTATGCACATGTGAATACCATCCAAATAAATGGTTACTAGGGTGTTCCTCAATTTTTCATTTTTTTGGGGTTTTCCCCTGAACCTCCCTCTAGTTGAATAATATTGGAACAACCATATGTCCTTTACTTTATAAGGGCTCTAAACAAGCCAAAATACACAATATCTAGACCTAATTAAAGCATCTATGAATAGAGATAACTTCCATGGTAAGCAATATGTTATATTGAGTTCTAATCCTTGCTAGTTCTTTGTTTAATTCATTAGAGTATAAGTTATGCACAATTTTAATCTCAAATGCTCTTCTTGTCCAATATTTGGTTTCCACTGTTGAGAAAATAAATGGCCAAAGCACATGCCATGTCTATCTACAATGATTGTTCACCCATACACTCAAATAATACTTTTTCATAGGCAAGTGAGCAATATGAGAATGAAGCAAGTGGCGAAAGAGAACAAAAGCCCGAGAAAAACTCTTGTTTAGAAACTGAGCAAGAGGAATATGCCAAAGAAATCAAACCAAGTGTCGAGACAGAGGTAAAAGAGGAACAAGAGGGATTGATGCAAATAGAAACTCAGGTAGAATCTCAACAAGAGGCTACAGAGCATGAAGAAAAGAATGACGAAGAGGTTATAGAGAGTGATGATGGTCCAAAGAAGAAGTCCAACAATCCCTCGACCGAGGAAGTATGTAAAGAGATTGATGCTGGGAAGGTTGAATATGAAGGGGTAGAACTTTTTGATAATTCCAGTGTGAAGCTAAAGGCAATAGCAACTTTAAGCAAAGACGAGGATCGAGAAAAGGAACAAGAGCTCAACATTGAACAAGAAAAGAGCATTTCTGGTGAATTACAGGCACAAGTTGAAAAGGAACTGCAAGAAGATTTAGGAGGCCATCAATTAGAGGACTCAAAATCTGAGAATCCATGTACTACTGAACAAAATGTAAGAACACATCAACTAATACACATCAAGTTACTTAGGAAGCATTAGTTTTCCTATTTGAAATAATTTGATTAAACAAGATCATTTAGCTTATTTGCTAAATTTGTTTCACTCGTAGATTTTGGAGGAAGTTGGGGAGAAGACAACTATGAAGTCGGAGGAGATCACCAAACAAGCTTTTCAAGAAAGCCAAATCGACACAAACAAGGAAATAGAGGCAAAATTAGATGTTGAAAATCAAACCGACGAAAGAGAAAATGCAAGTGAGATGAAAGATGAGGTCATCCTCACTGAAAAGGTTAGTTGGAAATACAAACTAACTTGAATCCACATTTTTTTTCCTTTAATAAGAAATAGCTTGAATTTCTTGTACTTTAGATTATTCATTAATATACTTAAGAATAATGTTAACCAGATATCATTGGAGCTTGGACAACCTATGGAACAAAATACCGAGGCATGTCAAACTACAACCATGAGTGAAAAGATAGAAGAAGAGATCGCAGAAAAGGTTGAAGATTTGTCCCTTGGCAGTAAAGATGATACATATGACAATACTATTACAGAAGAAAAAAGCTTTCTGGATGGAAGAACAACGGAGATTGAAATCTCTACATTTGAGCATGAGCTTGTAGCGGAGAAGACCACTATAAAGCCAGAGGAGATCACCGTACAAGCTTTTCAAGATAGCCAAAGCGGGGCAAACAAAGAAATTAAAGCTAAATTAGAGGCCGAAAATCAAGTTGACAAAAGAGAAGATGGAAGTGAAATGAAAGATGAGGTCGTTGTGGCTGAAAAGGTTAGTTGGAAATGCAAACCAACTTAAATCGACTTTCTTTTTCCTTTAACAATAAATAGCTTGAATTTCTTGTACATTAGGTTATTCATTAATATACTCTAAGAAACATGTTAACCAGATGTCATCTGAGCTTGGACAACCTATGGAACAAAATGTTGAAGAGATCCAAGCGTGTCAAACTCCAACCATGAGTGAAAAGACAGAAGAATTGATCGCAAAAAATGATGAAGATTTGTCCCATGGTAATATCGAGGATACAAATGCCAATACTACTATAGAAGAAAAAGGCTTTCTCGATGGAAGTACAAGGGAGATTGAAATCTCCACATTAGAGCACGAGCCTGTCGGAGAAAAAAACGGTGGTCTGGATGAAGCATCGAAGAAAAAATACACAGATCTAAATGAAGCAACAGCAGCAGAACTTCAAGAAGATTTCATACCCTCCAAATCACCAAGAACTTCAACAGAAGACACTCCAAATCCAGTGAAGTCAAAAGCAGAAAGTGAAAATTTGCCAATAGATCTTGACTCTGACTCTGAAGTAGAAATCCCTAGAGTGGTTCCCAAGTCAGAAGATTCAAACCTGAAAGAAGAGTGCGTTATTTCAGCAACAGAAACATCTGTGGATGAAGAAAAAGGAACTGTAACGAAAGAAATTTCAAGTGATGAGGTCAGACAGAAAATGCCCTTACAGTTCACATCTTTTTCTTGCATTTCTTTTGTCTATATGAGTTAACATGGACTTTTTTGAAGCAGATATCATATCCAGATCCAATAGCTGAAAACCCTGAGGTGACAGAAGTAAGAGTAGATGCCCAGATAGGTCAAGATGATTTACAAGCTGCAGAAGATTTCGATTGCGATTCAAAAACATCTTCCACTATACAAGCATTAAAAATGGACATGAAGGAAAGTGCTGAGAAGAGTGTCAGAATCAGTGAAGAGGTAAAAAATGATGGTGTAGATGAAGCTCCAAAGCAAGAGAGAATTCCATCTCAAGAAGATGCTACAACATTAGAACCTCAAGTTAACTTGTCAAACATAGAATCTACTTATCCATCAGAAAGTGACAAAAAAGTTGACGAGGATGATTTCTATGCAACTCATGAGCGGAAGAGCATAGATGCATTAGGACAGGAAAAGAGCATTTATGGTGCATTGCAGGCACGAGTTGAAAAGGAACTGCAAGAAGATTTAGGAGACCATGAATCGGAGGACTCCAAATCTGAGCATCCATGTACTACCGAACAAGATGTGAGAATACATCAACTCATACACATCAAGTTACTTGGGAAGCATCAGTTTTCCTACTTGAAATAATTTGATTAAACACAATCATTTAGTCATTCGCTAAATTTATTTCACTTGTAGATTTTGGAGGAAGTTGGGGAGAAGACACCTACGAAGCCGGAGGAGATCACCAAGCAAGTTTTTCAAAAAAGTCAAAGTGAGATAAACAAGGAACTAGAAGCCAAATTGGATGCCGAAAATCAAGATGATGGAAGAGAATATAGAAGTGAGATTAAAGATGACATCGTCCTGTCTGAAAGGGTCAGTTGGAAAAACAAGCTAACTTAAATCAACTTTCTTTTTTGTTTAATAATAAATAGAAGGAGGATCAAACGAGAACAATAACTAAATACGAGAATACGAAAACGATCAAATCGCGTGCAAAATCACATGTGATTTTATATTAACGGGCAAAAGGTGTGCGGGGGACTTTGGCCGCGACTTCATATCGCGGGGCAAAGTCGCGTGAATAACATGTGAATTTGTACGTGATACTAGTGTAAAATCACATGTGATTCGACCGTTTTCTTATTCTCTTATTTAGGTACCGTTCTCGTTTGAACATGAGTCATAATAAATATAGCTCAACTTTCTAGTACATTTGATCTTTTTAATTAATATACTCGATAAAACATGTTGACCAGATGTCATCGGAACTTGGACAGCCTATGGAACAAAATGTTGAGGAGATCCAAGCATGTCGAACTACAACAATGAGTGAAAAGACAAAAGATGAGATCATAGAAAAGGATGAAGATTTGTCCCTTGGCAGTATAGATGATACAGATGACAATATTATTATTAAAGAAAAAAGCTTTCTCGATGGAAGAACAAGGGAGATTGAAATCTCTACATTAGAGCATGAGCCTGTTGAGGAGAAGACCACTATAAAGCCGGAGGAGATCACCATACAAGCTTTTCAAGAAATCCGAAGCGAGACAAACAAGGAAATCGAAGCCAAAATAGATGCCGAAAATCAAGCTGACGAAAGGGAAGATAGAAGTGAGATGAAAGATGAGGTTGTCCCGACTGAAAATGTTAGTTGGAAATACAAACTAACTTTAATGGAATTCCTTTTCCTTTAATAATAAATAGCTTGAATTGTACTTTAGATTATTCATTAATATACTCAAGAAACTTGTTAACCAGATGTCATCGGAGCTTGGACAACCTATGGAACAAGATATTGAGGAGATCCAGGCATGTCGAACTACAACCATTAGTGAAAAGATAGCAGATGAGATCGCAAAAACGGATGAAGATTTTTCCCTTGGCAGTAAAGATGATAAAGATGACAATACTATTAAAGAAGAAAAAATATTTCTCGATGGAAGAACAAGGGAGATTGAAATCTCTGCATTAGAGCATGAGCCTGTTGAGGAGAAGACCACTATAAATTCAGAGATCACCAAGCAAGCTTTTCATGAAAGCAAAAGTGAGACAACCAACGAAATAGAAGCCAAATTAGATGTTGAAAATCAAGCTGACAAAAGAGAAGATAGAAGTGAGATGAAAGATGAGGTCGTCCTAACGAAAAAGGTTAGTTGGAAATACAATCTAACTTAAATTGAATCTCTTTTTCCTTTAATAATAAATAGCTTGAATTTCTTGTACTTTAGATTATTCATTAATATACTCAAGAAACACGTTAACCAGATGTCATCAGAGCTTGGACAACCTATGGAACAAAATGTTGAGATCCAGGCATGTCAAACTACAACCATGAGTGAAAAGGTAGAAGATGAGATCGCACAAAAGGTTGAAGATTTGTCCCTAGGCAGTGTAGAGGATACAAATGACAATGCTATTAAAGAAGAAAAAATCTTTCTTGATGGAAGAACAAGGGAGATTGAAATCTTTGCATTAGAACATGAGCCTATTGGGGAGAAGACCACTATAAAGCCAGAGGAGATCACCAAACATGTTTTTCAAGAAAACCAAAGCGAGACAAACAAGGATATAGAAGACAAATTAGAGACCGAAAGAAGTGAGATGAAAGATGAGGTTGTCTTGACGGAAAAGGATAGTTGGAAATACAAACTAATTTATATCGACTTTATTTTTCCTTTAATAGTAAATAGCTTGAATTTCTTGTACTTTAGATTATTCATTAATATACTCAAGAATCGTGTTTACCAGGTGTCATCGGAGTATGGACAACCTATGGAACAAAATGTTGAAGAGATCCAGGCATGTCAAACGACAACCATGAGTGAAAGGATAGAAGATGAGATTGCAAAGAAGGATGCAGATTTGTCCCAAGGCAGTATAGATGATACAAATGACAATACTATTAAAGAAGAAGAAAAAATTCTCAATGGAAGAACAAAGGAAATTGAAATCTCTGCATTAGAGCATGAGCCTGTTGGGGAAAAGACCACTATAAAGTCAGAGGAGATCAGCAAACAAGCTTTTCAAGAAAGCCAAAGCGCGACAAACAAGGTAATAGAAGTCAAATTAGACGTTGAAAATCAAGCTGACGAAAGAGAAGATAGAAGTGAGATGAAAGATGAGATCGTCCTACCTGAAAAGGTTTGTAGAAAATATAAATCAACTTTCTTTTTCCTTTAATAATAAATAGCTTGAAATTCTTGTACTTTAGATTATAATTAATATACTCAAGAAACATGTTAACCAGATGTCATCGGAGCTTGGACAACCTATGGAACAAAATGTTGAGATCCATGAATGTCAAACTACAACCATTAGTGAAAAGATAGCAGATGAGATCGCAGAAAAGGATGAAGATTTGTCCCTTGGCGGTAAAGATGATAAAGATGACAATGCTATTAAAGAAGAAAAAAGCTTTCTCGATGAAAGAACAAAAGAGATTGAAATCTCAACATTAGAGCATGAGCCTGTTGGGGAGAAGACCACTATAAAGCCGGAGGAGATCGCCATACAAGCTTTTCATGAAAGCCAAAGCGAGACAAACAAGGGAGTAGAAGCCAAATTAGATGCCGAAAATCAAACTGATGGAAGAGAAGATAGAAGTTGGATGAAAGATGAGGTCGTCCTGATTGAAAAGGTTAGTTGGAAATACAAAGTAAATTAAAGCGACTTTCATTTTCCTTTAATAATAAATAGCTTGAATTACTGGTACTTTACATTATTCATTAATATACTCAACAAACATGTTAACCAGATGTCATCGGAGCTTGGACAACCTACGGTACAAAATATTCAGGAGATCGAGGCATGTCGAACTACAACCATGAGTGAAAAGATAGAAGATGAGATCGTAGAAAAGGATGAAGATTTGTCCCTTGGCAGTACAGAGGATACAAATGACAATACTATTAAAGAAGAAAAAAACTTCCTCAATGGAAGAACAAGGGAGATTGAAATCTTTGTATTAGACCAAAAGCCTGTTGGGGAGAAAACCAAGATGAAGCCGGAGGAGATCACCAAACTAGCTTTTCAAGAAAGCCAAAGCGAGACAAACAAAGAAATAGAAGCCCAATTAGATGCTGAAAATCAAGCCGACGAAAGAGAAGATGCAAGTGAGGTGAAAGATGAGGTCGTCTTGACTGAAAAGGTTAGTTGGATATACAAACTAACTTAAATCGACTTTCTTTTTCCTTTAATAAAAAATAGCTTGAATTTATTGTACATTAAATTATTCATTAATATGCTCAAGAAACATGTTAACCAGATGTCATTGGAGTTTGGACAACCTATGGAACAAAATGTTGAAGATTTGTCCCATGGTAGTATAGAGGATACAAATGACAATACTACTATAGAAGAAAAAAGCTTTCTCGATGGAAGAGCAAGGGAGATTGAAATCTCCGCATTAGAGCACGAGCCAGTCGAAGAAAAAAACGGTGGTCTTGATGAAGTATCAAAACAAAAATACACAGATCTAAATGAAGCAACAACAGCAGAACTTCAAGAAGATTTCATACCCTCCAGATCACCAAGAACTTCCACAGAAAGTGAAAATTTGCCAATAGAAGATCTTGACTCTGTCTCTGAAGTAGAAATCCCTAGAGTGGTTCCCAAGTCAGAAGATTCAGACCTGAAAGAAGAGTGTGTTATTTCAGCAACAGCAACATCTATGGATGAAGAAAAAGGAACTGTAACGAAAGAAATTTCTAGTGACGAGGTCAGACAGAAACTGTCGTTACAGTTCACATCTTTTTTCTTGCATTTCTTTTGTCTATATATGTTAACATGAACTTTTTGAAGCAGATATCATATTCAGATCCAGTAGCTGTTGAAAACTCTGAGGTGACCGAAGTAAGAGTAGATGCCCAGATAGCAAAAGAAGATCTACGGGCTGCAGAAGATATCAATTGTGAGTCAAAAGCTTCTTCCAGTATACAAGCATTAAAAATGGAACTGAAAGAAGGTGTTGAAAAGAGTGTTAGAATCAGTGGAGAGATAAAGAAGGATGGTGTAGATGAAGCCCCAAAGCAAGAAAGTATTCCAACTTTAGAAGATGCTGCAACATTAGAACCTCAAGTTAACTTGTCAAACATAGAATCTACTTATCCATCAGAAAGTGACAAGTCACCCACGTGGGCTCTTGAATTTGTTTGTGATGTACAAACCCCTGAAGTAGTTACTGATTCAAAAGAGTCAAAAGTGGCAGAAGAGCGCATTGTCTTAGCAACAGCCGAGCATACGGATGAAAACAATGGAGAGGAAGAACAGGAAATCAAAACTAATGAAATTTCAAGTGCAGAGGTCAGGAGAAATTCGAGTGTTTGAAGTTAACACGTCTTCTTTATCTTGTATATCTCGCCTAACGAACTGAACATACTTTTACATTGTTGCAAACAGAAAAAGGAACAGATAACGGAAAGCAATCAAGTTGTAGAACACCCTTCAATGATGTGTCCTAGTGCAATTCTTATTGAAGAGGTCTATAAGCAAATAAAGAACTATCGTCATTCCTTTAAGCTACCAACGAAATGACTCTTTCTAATTTAATGCAGAGCCTTTAGGAAGGTTCAGGGGGAAACCCCCAAAAAAACGAAAAATTAAGGAACGCCCCGATGACCATCTATCTGGACGGTATGCACATGTGCATACCGGACAAGTTGTTTACAAATTACTTTTATGCACATGTGAATACTGTCCAGATGAACAGTTACCAGGGTGTTCCTCAGTTTTTCATTTTTTTGCGATTTTCCTCTGGTTATCTAATTCGTTGTTTTTTCGCAATATAGAGTCTTGAACTATATGGAGAGCTCAAACCCACATCTGAATTGATGATTGATGAAGACCAAGTTGATGAAACAAAGCCTCAACCAGAACAATCAGTCATCACCTCTGAAAACATCATGAAGTACCAGACTTTGGAATCCAAGTTGGAGCATACGAGTGAAAAAGATTTGAATAGAAGCTGGGATATGGAAGAGAATGTTACACTCACACCTGAAAATCAGATTAACAGCACAGAAGATCAAAATGAGACAATGAAGAATGTCATCTTGAAGGAAAATGTAAGTCAAAAATAGCACTCAACTATGACTTATGTTCACCAGGTAATCCAAAACTTCTGCTTACATACCAATATTATGAGTTGAACAGGTTGTTGTGGAGAGAGAAAAAGAAGAGGGAAGAACTGAAGTCAAAGAACAGGATTCTGAGGAAGATGATTGTCCGAAAGAAATCGAGAATACATCAACGTCAAATCTAAAGGAATTAGCCAATGAGGTCAGAGATCACAAGAAGAATATTAATATCAAATCATCTTCATTATTCATATATTAAGATGAAAATTATTGTCTGACAGATAGAAGATTCAAAGCCGATACCAATTGAAGTAAAAGCAGAAAGCCAAAGAGAACTCAAAAATATACCAGAAAATCTCAGTTGTCTGTCAAAAGCATCTTCCACCATAGAAGAAGTAAAAGATGACAGCATAGATGAAGCATCAAGGTCCGAAAGAGTTCCAATTCTGGAAGATGCCAAGGCATTAGAACTTCAAGTCAACTTACCAGAAATAGAATCTATCATTACTCCCTCAAATGACCAAGATGGCATGAAACTAAGAGAAGGCATAGAAACTATTGAACAACAAGGTGTACTCGTTTCTCAGTTAACAGACAGAGAGATCTTAGAAGAAGAAGCCACTGAGAACAGGAAAGAAGCACCTAATCATGAGTTTGAGAAAGAAGAAAAGGATGATGAACAGATATCTGAAATACAAACTCCTGAAGCAATTTCCAAAATGGAGGTGAAGGAAGAGTATCTAGGAGCAACAAACGACTCATGCAAAACACTTACAGGTGGATTATCAAGTGAGAAGGTAAAAGGTTGACACCCGTGAACAAACAATTCTTTAAGCCTAATTCTCTCTTTTATTAATTCGATTTGATATCATTAAAGAAGATATAACTCAGATTCAGGTGGACAAGGGCACTCACAAGGACTTTATCGTAACCAAAGTTGTTAAAGGCTCAAGGCGCACTTAGGCGCAAAGGGCTCCCGGGGCCTAGGCGCAAGGCGCGGGCCTCAGGAATGCGAGGCGCATCTTATCAGTATATATACACACACAGTTACACACAACTCAAATATGTAGCAAGTACAAGCCTCCAATGCAGCTACCAACAAAACTTTGATAGATTAGAGGCTGAAGGGTTTAAAGCATGAGCCATGAAGGAGAAGTTTTAAGGTCTGGGTATTTATAGAGAAGGAGGCTTGAAGTTCTAAGGAATGGGTATTTAATAATAGGGTTTGACTTATGTCATCTATTTGATAACTCTTCTATTAAGAAGTCTAGGAGATGAGAACATGAGAAAACTTATTTAATCTTAGGGTTTAACTAGGTATTTATTAACTCTTTATGAGGTGCCCTTAGGCCCACAAGGCGCCTCAAGCAAGGCACAGTGGATTAGTGAGCCTCGTGAATACACCGAGCCTCGACTTGAAAAAAGTCCAAGACCTTGAGCCTCAGAGCCTAGGCGCACCTCAGGCGCACTTTTAACAACTATGATTGTAACAGACTCCATTTGCATAGGGGAGGTTCATGATGATAAAGTCTTTGATGAATACTCTTCTATAATTACTCCTGATGAAGTCAGAAAGCTAAGTCTTGTTTATAATGCAGTTATTGGATGAACTTAAAGAGATTGATGCCAAAGAAGATACTGAATTAATAGTTAGCGGAGAAGAGAAGGCTGCTGAAGATTCTTACCAAGATGCAGTTGCAGAAGTGACAGCAATCTCGCAAACAGAAGAGGTAAGAGCAGTAATTGAGGTACAGATTCAAGGAAAGACATGCATTAATTGTCAAATAAACTTAATTTTATCCTTTTTGAATCCGCACTCAATAGAAGGGGAAGGGAAATTGCATTTAATCTGACATGTATCTAGCATGAGGGTATTGAGTAAGGTATACAGAGAAAGGAAAAACTATAAACAAGAAATCTGTAAAGTAAAGGTTGCTCTCATTATATACAAAACTGCTGTATTTTGCCAGAAGCCAAAAAGTTTAAGCAAATAACATCATTTCTGGGACTAACAGAGATGGAGAAAATGTCATCTCTGATGTCGATTATAAATTGATCTGTGGACCCCCACTGATGCATCATTACTCGTCCTACCACCACTATAAATTTCAAGTCATTGTCAACTGATATGATTATCAGGTTAGAACATATTAACCGTCTCAACAAGCCACCAATTTAACATAGATTTTTCTTAGAGCATAAGAAGAGAAAAAAATGGGTAGCCATATTAAAGGACATCAAAATTTACAGAACTGTAACTTCATTTATGATCATAGTTGTTAAACGCCCAAGGCGCACTTAGGCGTAAAGGGTCCCGGGGCCTAGGCGTGAGGCATGAAGCGCATGCCTCAGGAATGTGAGGCACGTCATGAAAAAAGTATATATATATATATACACACACACAGTTATACACAACTCAAATATGTAGCAAGTACTCCAGTGCAACCAACAGTACTTTGATAGAGGCAGAAAGGGAGAGGGGTTTAGCGTGAGCCATGAGGGAGAAGTTTTAGAGGCCCGGGTATTTATTGAGAAAGAGCCTTGAAGTTATAAGAACTGGGTATTTAATATCAGGGTTTGACTTATGTCATCAATTTAATAACTTCCTTTAAGAAGTCTACAAGGCAAGAAGATGAGAAAACTTATTTAATATTGGGGCTTGACTTGGTATTTAATAACTCTGTATGAGGCGCGCATAGGCCCTCAACCAAAGCGTAAGGCTTTAGTGAGCCTCGTGAATATGCCTAGCCTCGACTTTAAAAAAGCCCAAGACCTTGAGCCTTATGAGCTTCAGAACCTAGGCACGCCTCATGCGCACTTTTAACAACTACGTTTATGATATGAAGTGTATCTTTTCTTTAACAAATTTTCTGGTATGGGGGACGTGCACAGAAGTTACACTTTAATCAAGGAAATAAGGGGAGATGAACAGAACTAGATCATGACATAATTTACCACCACCATTATTCTGTGATTAAGGACTCCCTATGCTGATAAGAAAATGTTAAGACCCAACCTAATTTAATGCAGCTTTATCACATAAGTTTTCAGCTCTGTCCTTTATAATGACATTTAGATTATTACATGCAAATGGACATTCTGCCTTCATCGATTGATCATCTAGATTTTGGTGATTGTGTTCCATGTGATAGAAACTTGTGTCCATGGTACCACCTGAAGAACTTACATCTCCAACAACTGAAGACCGAACAAATGACCTAGTAGCGGGAACGGATAAGACAAAGGTTGAGCACAGCAGCATAAGCAACAAGGATTGGAATCCGGAAGAGTTTACCGAAACTTTATTAGAAGACCAAAGAAGTGTAGAAAAATATATCGAGGAAGAAGGGCAAGATAACTTTGGTGTTGAAAATAAGGAAGCAAAAAGTGGAAATGAGGTAGTGGAAGATGTTCTTGTTAACGAGGTCAGCCACAAATAAATCAGTCGTACAAGTGATTTTTTCTTATATTAGCTTAGAACAATTTTGGTCCTAAGTTGGCATATTAAATCATCCCCTAATTTACAGGTTCTTCTGGAAGCTGAGAAGGCCAAGGAAAGTAAAAGCATCAAAGATAACATCAACAAGGAAGTTAGCTGCATACCAAACCAATTGACATCAGCCACAGATGAAGTTTGCCAGGTTCAGATTGAACTTTAAAAGATTATACCACTCAATAATCTGCTTTTCCCTAGAATTTACTCACAAAAAGTTCTCATTGAACAGATTAAAAGGTTAAATTCAATTCCCAATGAACTTCTTGAGGCAAAAGGTTCGGTTGAAGATATTGGAGATCCAAAATTAATGGCTGAAAACCACAACTTAAAGGCTGAAACATTCACCATCATGAAAGAACCAACTGAAGATATGAAGCAAGATGTTGAGAACACCAGCGAAACTGTTGCCTCAGAATTTGAAAGATTGGAGAATATGGTGACAGAAGAAAAGTTGATAGAAGCAAATGCAAACAAGGAAAAAGAAACACTAGATGAGCCACAGGCAGATGACCCTGCAAAAATCATGTCTGATTCAATATCGAGTTCGACAGAGCAAGACAAAGAAGTTAGATCTGAGGAGAGCAGTGGCCATGGTGATATGCACAAACTTGAAGTAGAGCCAACTGAAGTTGATGAAATAGTTGCTGACGGTAAAGAAGTTTCTGCAATGTTGACAGAAAATCTTCAGGAAGCTTCCCCCGAGATGATTCCAGTGAAACATGACCCAGAAACTGCAACCATCATTGAGAAGATTGAAGAGATCAAAGATAAAGATGAAACTCTTGTGGACATGGATTTTTCGACAAGTACTAAAGAGGTAGCATGTCTGTCAAATGAAAAGACAAGAGAGCTTCAAGTTTCCACATTGAATACTGAAATAGACGGAGGCAAACAGGATGGTACTGGTGATATGCTGAACAAGGAAAGAGAAGCAGTACAAACACACGAACATATATCCGATATTAAATTTGTTGATCCTCCATTGAATGTTGAGATCAGGGAGCAAGAAGAACTCATGCACTGTGGTTCACAAGAACCATCAGAAGACAATGCTTTGCTATCACAGAATGACAAGAAAATTGTAGATTTGCTTGTTCAACCATCAGTACAGACAGAAATCATACAAAGCGTAGATAAAAGATTTGAGGAGGCTCCTGCAATAGATGAACAAAAGCATGAGAACGATCTCGATACAGCCAAAGCAAGAATTGTTGACGTAGTGAGCAGTGCAGAAAGTCCAAGAATTGAACAACAGCATCTCGACACAAAAGAAGCAACAGTGGAACCCATTAACCAGGAAAATCAAAGTGAGCAGAAAAAAGAAGCAGATGAAAACATACAGAGCGATATTCCAATTGAAAAGGTCTGATAGAAGAAAATATCTTCTCATGCACCTTATTCACCTTGGTAACCCATTAACTCTTTATTCCTATATTTTCATTCTTTTCTGGTTTCCTAAATGTAGGTGCCAAAGCAGACTACAGCAGACACAGAAATTGCAGATGAATTTCTGGTAATGCCAGTGGCTAAAGAAGAAGAAGAAAAGTCGAACCACCTGCAAAATTATTCGAGGGAAGAAGAGCATTATGGAAAGAGGACATATCAAGATCTTGAAGCTGTAACGGAACCATCCCAAACCGATAAGGTCAGGACCACAACCAAACACACACACATTTATTTTTTTTATTCCTCTTTCTCTTAACAAAATATTATCAATCATACAGTTGTCTGATAAAGTGAAAAAGGCTGAATCAATAGACATCCAAGAAGAGACCATGGCTGGAGGCAATCTTCATAAGGAAGAGACAGAGAAAAGAACAAACATCACAGAGGCAACACTCGATTTACATCATGGAGAACAGGGTGATGAAACATGTTCAGAAGCTGCAATTCCAATTGAAGATGTAAGCACTTTTCTTCCACATCATGCTGTATGCTCAGTTCTGCTTTCAATTTATTTATCCTGAAAAGTCCTGGGGGATGTGGTGAAATATCTCATCTGCCCAGGGTTCGATTCCAGGTGTACACAACAATTGTGGCCACTGAGTTTATGAAGGCTGATTTCTTGCAGTCATAATTTGCCAGGACACTTCCAAAAAAAATTCATATATGTTACTCTTCAAACAGGTGAAAAATTCAGGTGTGGAGTTGAAAGGTGACATGGATGTGCCAGTTCCTAAGTGTGCTTCAACAAGGAATCCTGAAGTTAGAAGTGCAATCCTTGAGGTTCTATCTGTCATGGATGCAACAGCTGACAAAGCAGGTTATAACAGAGATCCAAATGATAAGACAGCTGAAGCACATGTGGCAGAAAAAGGAGTTCTAAAGGAAGACGTTCATCTCGATTCGACATGTAACAGAAGCAAAACCACAGACAAGATTTCTGTAATGAATCAGGTAACATCACCACCAACGGAATATTCAAAAAAAACAAGACTAATAAGATAGACAAGGGCATAGAATATGAGAATCAACCTCTAGAGTATAATATCCCACATTGGTTGGGAGGGGAACAAAGGTTTCTTTATAAGAAATTTGATACCTCCTCTATCAGACGCGTTTTAAAAACTATGAGTCCAGGTGTGTGGACAAAGAGGACAATATCTGGTATGGGAACCGGACTGGTGTGCCAGCGAGGAGGTTGGGCTCCCAAAGGGGGTGGATTGTAATATCCCACATTGGTTGGGAAGGGGAACAAAGGTTGCCTTATAAGAAACTTTATACCTCCTCTATCAGACGCGTTTTAAAAACCGTGAGCCCAAGTGTGTGGACAATGTGTGTGGACAAAGCAGACAATATCTGGTATGGTTGGCTTGGGATGTTACACGGAGGTTGGCCTAGCGATTCACAGAGCTACTTAATGAGCCATGAAGTACTAGGTCTCATGTTCTAATCCGTCTAGGTGCTACCAACTCCAGTCTGTGCCACACACCTCAGCCAGAAGATCAGAAAGTTGCCCGATTCATGTGGAGGGGATGCTTCATATGGCTCCCATGAAGTAGTTGACAAAGATCAGTAGAAGAATCGGCAGCATAAGCAAAAACAAAAGGAAGTTAACATGCAAAAAGAAAAAAAAAAGAGTAACATTAAAATTGAAGAAGAGCAGATACAGGAATGCAAGCAAAAATACATTGTTACAACAAAAATAGAAATTATCCATTAGCACAACTAATACTGATAATGTTTCGCAGGAACCTGTCAATCTCCCTCTAACAAAGGAAAGAAGTATGGAACTTGATGCACCTGTGACGCCTGCTACTGCAGCTAGAGAGGACATGGAGATTTCAAAAGAATATGTAACAGATGACCTTGTGAAAATAAGCCAGATTCAACCGGAACTACAAAAATATGAAGTTTCAGCTAGTGCTGTGGATAAGCAGTTACCAGATAAACCATATCAAAATGAGAGCATGGAGAGCAAGCTCTTAACTGGAAATATAGATGCATCACATGAGCAAAGGGAACCAAATGCAAAATCACTGACTGCTAAGGCAAAAAACTTGAAAGCCACCGACGCTTCGGGTACTGAACCACAATGCAGCATTGAAATTGTCAAAGAAGAGAAGAAAATAAGTGATGAAAAAGAGAAGTCTGAGACACCAGAGGCAGCTAGGATTGTGTTCACTGACATATTGCATGAATCAACACAAGGGAACTCACAAGTGGCTGAAAACTTAATGTTAAGAACCAGATCAAGAACAGACAAAGAGGATGAAGCTTTGACAAAAGATCAGCAAGTAGACAAAGAAGAAACTGGTGACAACAGAGAAAAAACGGAGGACGAGGATGAAGCTGAAGAAGATGACGAAGATAATCAAAAGATGGGCTCATGCTCTGATGCTCCGGTTATGATAGAAGCATCAAAAGACATGGATGTTAAGGTTCATAAGAAATCTCATAATATACTTTCAGGTGTTGGCTCAAAGGTCAAGCATTCAATTGCCAAGGTGAAGAAAGCAATAACCGGTAAGTCTTCTCATCCAAAACCACCGTCACCAAAAGAGAGAGATTAAGTGATTACTCGGCGAAACAGATCAGTGTGTAAATTTCTCAAGGAAGAATAACGCAAATGTGATAAATGGTTCAGAAGGAACTCGCCAACTAGTTATATCACGTAGTTGAGAAATGTGAGCAAAAGCTAGATGCAGTATTATTTTGCATGTATTAATTGTGTGTTTGAGTGAAATGTATGAAATAACTCAGTTACATCTATTTAGTATTTTGTTAATTAGGTTTCCATAGAACTTATGAAATGGCATTCTTTCTCACTCTCTCTCTCTCTCTCTTTAATGCAAACATACACCTTCATGCGCAGTTCAATTTGAACAACAATATAATTTTCCTTCACTAAAATACTAGCATTCTTTGAGTTGATCTCAATAAGAAAATAAAGTTCACCCTGCATATCATAAGAGCAACTCCCTCCATCCCAATTAGAGTTCACTTTTGATTTCAAAAATTCATCTATTCAAAGTAAAAATCTGACCATTGATGTGGTTGTCTTTTAGCTCTGTAAATCGTTCTACCTCAATATTCTGTATAGTTTGTATAATTATGGTTCTTTCTGTATAAGACTATAAGTCTATAACCACATAATTATACATATTTTTTGAAGTATGTTTGACACTTTAAGTCAAGAATCAAAACCAGACTCTAGTTTTGCAATGGAGTTAGCATAATTCACTAGGTAGTAAACCGTTAAACTAGCTGAATCGTATATAATACTTTTTGAACTTCATACCAATTCAATGCAGACATGATAACTCACAGATCAAGAAGGACAGCAAAATGATAATCTAAACACTGCCATTACAAAATCTTCAGTGACTATTGCTGATTGCTGAGAGAGAATCAAGTATGAATTGAACATTTTGAAACTAACCAACTTAAACATCAAACACAACGAATTATATCCTTGCATGGATCATTTCCTAAGAGGATTTGAAGATTCACACTCGAAACAAACACAATTGTAACGGATTATGATTAAGATACTGATTTTCGACTCTGATACTAATATTTAAAATCTAGATGTGTAGTAGATCAACGTTAAAACATGGAGATAACTGTATGTAATTATGTGGTACGGGAGAAACTTACAGAGAGATTGATCAGAGGAATGTCAGATTTCTGAGGAATCAATATACGATTGATAGCTTAGGGTTGATCAGATCACAAACCAACTTCATCAAATTTATGTATGAGAGCTTGATGGGAAGTTCGCGTTTTGCTATTTAAGCCCAAAATCGTCTGCCTCCAAAAAGTTCTTTGGTTTACGGTTGTGTTTGGATATTTGCTAAAACGATTTTCTGTTTTCATTTTTTGAAATTTTTTGTATTAAACCAATCAAATTTAAATAACCAGGTTCTGTTTACTAAATGCTTACCCGAGTAAGTATTTACCAGGTCATTTTATTTTACCGGATGAATATGACAAGGGCTAATAATCATACCCAGTAAGAGCGAAGACAATAATCGAGAGTCTTATCGGGTAAGTGAGGACGATGACCCTTATCATGGTTAGCGTTTATCCGAATAAATTGTTGCATATGATGCGTTTTTAGTAAATAAAATCTAACCCGATAAATAAACGATAGTGTTGAATTTTACCGGTAAGTGCTTACCGGGTAAGTGTTTAGGTAATCAGCCACTTAGTATTAAGGGGCTGTTTATCAACACTTACCGGGTCACTAACCATACTGGATAAGCATGGCTATAACCGATAATCTTACCCAATAAGAGGTATGACAATAACCGAGATTCTTACCCGGTTAAGGCTTACCGGGTAAGAAACGCTTACAAACAATACATTTTGATGACAAAGAATGTTACCCAATAAGATAAGAGTGCGTGACGACTCTTGCCGGTGAGCATCCGGTAAAAAGCCCTTAAGATATTGTTTAAATTCTATTTATATAAGATTAGAAATCAAAACTAAAGTAAATTACGTTTTACTCTTTCGATTTTATTAAAAACTGTGATTTTTCGTTCCTATAGTTTAAAATTTATTATTTTCATTCCTACAATTTATAATTCATTGACAATTTATTGTTTTTGAAGAATTGATCCTTTTTAAGGCATCTCCAAAGCAAACACTAAAAAATAACACTAGAAACACCAAAAACACTAAAAATGGTGGGAAAAACTAAAAAAATATACTTCAACCATTTATTAAAAATCATTTTTAATATTATAATAATAATAATAAACATATTAATATATTAAACTTTTAATGTATATAATATATAGAGAGAGGGAAAAGATCAAACGAGAACGGTACATATTTAAAAGAACACAAAAGACGGTTGAATCACATGTAATTTTACACTAACCTCACATAAAAAATCATATGTGGTTCAGGCGACCTTACTCGTCGACATGAAAACACAGTTACAAGTCGTCCGGACACTTTTTTTTATATATAATCACACGTGATTTATACATTTTTCGTATTTTCTTAAATATGTATTTTTCTCGTTTGACACTACCTCTATATATATATATATATATATATATATATATATATATAATATTATAGAAACATAAGATTATGTTAATACATATTTAAAGTGGCCTATTTTATTAACCTAAATATAGAGATCAATATTTTTTACTTTTATTTTTTTATAGTATTTTAATGTTAAGTTAAAGATAATTATAATTTACATGTTTAATAAATTCTTTAGAATTTCTTCTACAATATGAAAAGTTAAAAATATCAAAAAAATTATATTTAACTTCAATAATATTTGTTTCATTATAAAATTTTAAATTATTAATTATATAATTAAATATTCAACACATTAATAAAATATATTTTTCTAAAATATTATATCAACAAAATATAAAATATTTAATGTCAAAGTGTCAATTAAAAAAAACCTTGTATAAATAGTATACATTATTTAATAGAAAAAATAATTATATTTTACAATTTTGACGGGTCATTTTCGTCATAAATCCATAATTATAGGGCCAAGTGCGAATTCAATTACATCGACTTAAATGTCATGTATACCCCGAGAAAAAAAAAAACCAGCACACTGGTCTAAAGACTAAAGGGATGGCAAAACAGTCCAAACACTGCGAAACTTGGACTCCAAGAGCATCATGCTGAGTCACTGAGTGATAAGACGCGTGTCATCACTAGCTTTAGTCTCATATATTTGGAGTAAATTACGGTTTTAGTCCATATGGATTTAAATTTTTGCCAATTTTATCCTTATATTCTAAAAATGACAAATTGCATGAAAAAATAACGTGTTTTAACTTGATTCATATTTTGGGTAACATACTTTCAAAACTTTCATTTTGGTACATAATTTAAACATTTAAGTATCCGAGTAACCGGTTGAAACATTAACCGATTATCATAATGATGTGGCGAGTGATGTGGTATGCAACACAAGATTATTTGCTAACGTGATATGAATTTTTTTAAATCTAAAATTAGTCTTTAATCGGTTACCCGAGTACTTAATGTTTAAAATTTTACATCTTAGCTATCAAAATGAAAGTTTTAAAAATATGTTATACAAAATATTAATCAAGTTAAATTACGTTGTTTTTCATGCAATTTACCCTTGCAGAAATTATAATATTTGTGCTCATATTTTACAATTCATTGCATTTTCATCTTTATAATTTATTATTTATTTATTGTTTCTGTTTTTATAGTTTGCAAAATTTTACTACTTTAATCCCTTATACTAGGGGTGTTCAAAAACCTGACCAACTCGATCAACCCGAAGCAACCCAATGTCTAATCAAGTTGTAAAATTGTCAAACCGTATGTATCGGGTTGATATTGGGTTAATATTATTTGAACTCAACCCAACCCAATGAACTCGATATCCTTTTATTTATTGGATTCAATATTATTGTTGAATTTCTATTAATATATATATTAGACAATTACACTATCATGTATGCTCTTCATATACACATATTTTCAATTTATTCGCATCTCGTATATATGTTCAGTAACTGTGAACATATATATATAAATTGAGAAAATTAACTGAATGTGTGATGTACGTAAATGGATAAGTTGTATCAAATATTTGATGATAAAAAAAGAAATTACGAGTAAAGAAATTACATATTTAAAGTTATAATAATATTTTGATGTACCAAAATATCAACCCGACCAACCCGTCAATCCGTACGGGTTGGGTTGGGTTGCACTTTGGTTTGGTTTGAGTTGGGCTAAGATTTTTTAAACCGCAAACATTGAGTTGGGTTGTTCAAATATCTTCAACACGATCAACCCAACCCATGAGCAACCCTTACATTATACCATAAAAAATAGTTTAAGGACGAAAAATAACATAAACTGGAAACCATAGGGATAAAAATGACAATTTCTAAAATATAGTGACGAAAGTCGTAATTTTTAATAAACCATGAAGGACTAAAATCGTAATCTACTCAAATATTTATAACCATCACCACCCCTTTGACCTTCCTCGCTAAGCTTTCACCATTTTCATCAATGGCGACTCACGAACGTCCAGCGAACCTGGTCCAAATCCACACCACCCAACTCCGCCATGATCAGGGCGGCGCTAGGTCCCTCATCCTTTCGCAAGGTCCATCCAAGGGAAAAATCTTGACCGTGATGGCCTTGTTGCCTGTTGGTGGGATCTTACTTGGACTTGCCGGAATAACCCTCGCCGGCACCATGATCGGGCTTGCTTTGGCCACCCCAGTGTTCGTAATCTTAAGTCCGGTGATTATTCCGGCTGCACTCACCGTCGGTCTTGCAGTCGCCGGATTTCTGACCTCCGGGACGTTCTGGTTGACGGGGCTGAGCTCGTTATCGTTCTTGGTGAATTGTGTGCGTCAGGCGACCGGGCGGCTGCCGGAAAAAATGGAGAATGTGAAGGGTCGGATGCAGGATATGGCGGTTTTTACGGGGAAGAAGACGAAGGAGGTGGGTCAAAAGATCAAGAACAAGGCTCATGAGGTGGGACCAGAAGGTCAAGGTCAAAGTCAAAGTCAAAGTCAAGGTAGTGGAAAACTTGAGAAGTAAAAGGGGTTTAATTATGGTGATAATAGAGTGAGGGTAGAATGGTACTTTGCACTTTGATGCTTTAAAAATAGTACTATATTTGAAACAAATATTTCTCACAAAATTGTTGTTAGTATTTTTGTTAATTTATTAGTCATGTTTTCAAAGTCTTTCATTATAAAAAAATTCAAAAACACAATAAACCTGAAATTAAAAGCTAAAAACTAATAAAAATGACAGTAACAAGATTCAATTGAGTCCGAAGGAAAGAAAAGTCTTGCAAAACAGCTTTGGAAACTTATGTTTTCATTATAATTTAAAAATATATATGATGACATGTAACAAATTGATACAGTGATACTTTTCACAACCATATATTTTTACACTATGACAATAGAGCGAAATGGTGGCACAGGCCATCGTATGGTTTGAATTGGGTCCGTCCCTGCTGGATGGGCCAAAATCGGTTTTGTTCCAAAATTTTCCTTTTGTAATCGGTCCCGGTTTTATTAAAAACACTCCACTGTTCTTCATATGCTAAGTGGGTCCCTAGAACCGGTCCCAGCCACCTCTAATGGGCCGTCCATTTTTTTCAAAAATCAATTTTAAATACATAAAAAAATGTTTGTTTAAAGATTTTTTAGACGAATTATCATGGGTTCAACGCATCAGCTACTGTGATATTGGTGTATCATATGAGGGTGACATTAACATAGATTACGCATTACCTTAGTGAAACATTAATCAGTTATCATGCTGATGTGACGAATTATGTGGTGTCTAACTTAGTACTAAGATATCAATGTTGATATCACTTGCCACATCAACATGATAACCGGTTAATACTTCAACAGATTACCCGAGTACTTAAATGTTTAAAATTTTACATCTTAGGTACCAAAATAAAGGGTTGTTTGGATCATGGAAATTGAAAGGAATTGAAATGTCCAATCATTTGACCAAATTCCAAATAGAGTGTTTGGTTCATGGAATAAGACTATTGAATCCTTTCAATTCCAGTCGATTCCTTCACGCACAGATTTTTCAATTCCATGGCAATATGCTAGGATTTCAATTATTTCCTACAGATTCCTTCCCTAATCCAATTTCATGCAACCAAACACAATCACAAGACATGGTCAAATTCCATCAGATTCCATTCCATTCCCTTAAAGTCAAATTCATTTGATGAATTCCAATTCCATCGAATTCCATTCTACGAACCAAACGTCCCCTAATAGTTTTGAAAGTAAGTTACTCAAAATAAGAATCAAGTTATAAATACGTTACTTTTTCATGCAATTTGCACATTATTGTCTTGACCTGTCCTGACTTTGACTCTTTCACAGTGTATGATAGTTTGACCATCTCCAAGTTCAATGATGGAAATGGCCAAAATTATTTTTCTTTGCTGAAAGGAAAATGCAGAACAATGATATATGTTTGAATATACATACAAAATGGCAAAAAGATGTGGCAAATTCCCCTAAAATGCATCCTCCACTTTTAATTCTGCAGTTGTTATATTGGGTTCAAATGGAAGTGGATCAGGGGGAGAAAACGATCCAAAACTGCCGTAAAAAATGTAACTTCTCAGAATTTGTCTTTGGTGAATTCCATATTTCCAGCAGCTGAATTTGGATCTTTGGGTATCCAGAATGTGAGGATCCCCATAGAAGCAGCAGCAAACATGACACGACGAGGCGCCCATTTCAAGCACGACGCGACGCCTATGTGGCTGTCCCAACTCGCAACCTGTCACAAGCATATTTCAATAACAAGATTAAATATAGTAACATCTAAACCAAACCAAAGCAAAGCAAAGCAACACGGAGGTGGGGTTTGGGAACGATAAGATGAATCAGAGGTGGACCTAGAAAAAATTTCAAATGGTGGCACCATTTGACCATAAAAAAAAGATAGAATTTTTTAACAAAATTATGATGGCTTAGTTGTTTGTATTTTCAAGGAAAAGGCCCGGGTTCGGTTCTTGTATATCTGTCTTGGTCCAAATTTATTTTTAAAACAAAAGGTATAAGAAAGAAACCCAATTAAAAGCTAAAAACATTTATTTTGACACCAAAGAGATTCGAACCTCATGCTCCATTGAAAGCAAGACTTTAATCATGCTTCACAAACCAATTTAGGGGTTGTTTGGTTGGCTTTCCATCAAGTCTTGTATGGATAAATTGTCTCTGTATATTAATGTCTACAGAGATTGGGAGGGTTTTCTCATAATAGATGGAAGAAGCACGTTTTTTTTATTGGGAGGGACATGTCTGGAAAAAAACTTGGTTTTATGCATAAAGTTCTCCCTAAAAGCTTACTAGTAAGTCTATTTCTATATCATTAAGCCACTACCAAACAATTATATATAGCTGACCGAATAAGCGGAGTCTCATTAAACTCATGCCCTTAACTAGCTTAAATTTGTGTCATAAATTTAGTTTTATGAAAAAAATAAGGGCACGCAACGGAACATTACGGTGGCACCCTTTAGGACCATAATTTTCTTTTCACTAAGACGGAGCCAAAGACGAAGCCATTAAGCGGTTGCCCGTGCCACCGTATGGCTTTAAGTAGGTTCACCCCTAAGATGTATGTAGACCTGACCTCTACTCCCAAAAGTAGACCGGTTGTTTTCGTGAAAATCCAGGGCTTATAAAAAGTGTAAGAAAGTGAGATATGATAAAGTTTTTAATGCAGTTTAAGAATGAGCAATAACATACAAATAGAAATGGGGACAAGACGAGCAAAACCAATTTATGGAAACTACACACCCAGGGTCTAACTTACTAACCCCTTACATCCCCCACCCCTCTCCAGCTACCTACCTCCCGTCTACAGTTTGGTGATACAAAAACCCACTTGTATGTCATTTTTAACTAAACCGTACTCTTTATGATTAATTTTTGTTTTATTTTATATTATGCTAATTATTGTGTCCCGCTTGGAAATTTTTCTGGATCCGCCTCTAGTAGGGCAGCGAGGTTTGAGTGAATAGAATTTACCCAAGGAGTTTGTCTTACATAGTAGTGTCTAGAACCCTATGGGCTCGCAATACAGGCGGATCCAAAAAAAAAATCAAGTAGGGGCACAATTTGACTAATAAAAAATATCTATCTTTTTCCATAACGATATTAGTATAGATCTATTGATTGTTTCCTTGTCCTTACATAGAAAAGACCCATGTTCAAGTCCGGTTTACATACATTTTTAAAAACACGAGGTATATAAATCTAATAACAAATTTTAAGCTAAAAAACAACAAACTTGAGAATTGGGGGACTCAAACCTAGGCCTTTTGTACAAAGGCAGGAGCATTTACCATCTTAGCCATTAAAGTCTTGTGTTAACATTTCAGTTTAAAAAACTATATGGTGGCATCCTTCAGAAATGTAATTTTTTTCCCTTACGACAGAACCATGAAGATGTGGCCCGTGCCACCGTATCTATCCATGTGGGTCCGCCCTTGGCTCGCAATCATTTGTTCTATATTGGCTTTTGCTACTCTAATCTCATTCAGGTTCAACTTAGCATCCCCAAGGCCCAACTAGGTTTGCACATAAGGTTGTTATATGCAATTTGGTAACAACCTCCATTTGAGATGGATTGTGCGACCTCTGGGAAATATATTACCCCTCTAGTTATTGACCATAACATGGGTCAATAATCCTCAGAAAAACAGTGGGCAGGGTGGCATGTGTAAACCGTAAGTGGGCAGTCGTGTTACTAATGGAAGATTATTTGAAAATCAAATTGGAATTTGAAATTTTGTAATACCTTACTCCTGGTGGGGATGCTCCAAGCATTCAACGTTCCATCTCCAGAGCCTGAAAGGTAATATAAGCAGAGAAATCAATTTTGATATTAAGCTGTAATTACAAATATAACCTTATAAGATTCTTCTTCCTTTCACTGCCTCAAGAACCAAATATGAAGCAGATGCAAGACCATATGGGGAAATAAGGGAAACAGAAAACTTCTGTCTACCCTAGAGACAGTATGACATGCAATGGTTTCCAAGATAATGAAGTCATTATTAGTTCCACTCGTGTTCACTTGTGGGTTTGGTACACGAACTGTACAGGATGGGTGAGAGTGAAGTAGACGGTCCGTGGGTGAAAGAATTTAAAAAGGTTTTAGGGTTTTAATTTGACATGGGTGGTATAGTAATTTACCAATTCTGTCCAAGCTCCCAGATTTTTGTTCCACCTATTTTGGTGGGTCAGAAAAAATGCATTTTTGTCCCACTCAGGTCCTGTCATGTGCCCATCTAATGTCGTGCCAAACATGGAACAAGTTTTTGTATTGTCTTACCAAAGGGTCATTGGCACGACGGTACCCGCATTACAGTACAGCCCAACCTCTAAGGAGCTCAAGGGTTCAACCCTCACAAAAAGTACGGAGTGTGAGTGAGTATTTGCCGTATATAAATATTATATACTTCGAAAAACTAATGCAAGAGAATATACCTGAAACCACGTATTGGCCATCAGGCGTAAATGTAGCCTCAATTGTTGTGTTTGGAGAAGCGTCCACACTAAATCCACATCTCTGCCAAAAAAAAGTTGATAAATAAAGATGCATAAATGACAACCTAGAAAAAGCAGCAAATGAAGTGCTGAGGTCCAGCATTGCCAGATCTAAAATGACGGCCAAAGTTAACATCAGATAAGTGGGCAGGTCACAGCCACAACTAACCTTCTCACCATTATATGCATCTAGAACATAGATGTTGTTACTTTTGGTGGTTAGAAGCATCGATTTACCATCATTGCTGAACTTTATGTCCCAAATCTCAGCCATATCTCCCCCTACCAAAAAGGTGTCAAATGGGCCCTATACGAATCACAGGGATCATATTCAGTGGTAAGAATGAAAAGTATGAGGAGCCGTTTACCAAATGCTTAACCGGTAAGTGCTTACCGGGTCACTTACCTTATGGATGAACATGGAAACTATCAAGAATCTTACCCGGTAAGAGAGATGGCAAAGAACAAAGAGGTCTTACCCGGTAAGTGAGTATGACGATTCTTACCCAGTTAGCGCTACCGGGTAAATTATTGCATACGTTGTCATTTTGATTGACTAGAATTTTAACCGTTAAGGCAAGCAAGAATGTTAAATCCTACTGGTAAGCGCTTACCTGCGTAAGCGTTTGGGTAAACGGCCCCTTAATGTATGCTTTTTTATAAGTTTATTACAAGAGTGTTCTTTTTTCTCGCTTTTGTTTCCTTCAAGAATTTAGATCAGAACCTTATCATACGAACGTGAATCAAATAATTTGATAGCACCTCCTTCCATTGATACTGCAAAGACAAGACCTTGTTGGTCATAAGCAACTGTAGGCCTACCTCGTAGACGTAAAATTCCCTGAAAAGTGAAGCGGTAAGCATAGATCTATTTCAGAAAGATATATGATTAATCACTGGAAAAATGTAGATATTGCCTAATATTCTTCAGTCTGCACACTGGTTACCATGTTCATCATAATTTTGTATTCGACTATACATCTTCTACAATGCATATATTTTGAGAAATAGTGAGCTTTGAGTAAGAAATAAACGAAAAACAGGACCAACAAATTTAAATTTGCTTTGAAATGGACCTGCAAACAGGTCAAGCTGACATGACTTCACTTAATTGTCCGTTAAATGGAAGAGCAGGCTTTTCTAATAAAGCTAACAGGTACCAAGCTCATATACTAGCAATGGCGTAACTAGAGGCGTAAACGAGTCAAGCTTTTAACGAGCTACTCGAGCTCGAGATCGTTTATCTCGAGCTCGAGTCGATCTTGAACACGAAATAGAACTCGTTTAAAGCTTCATAAAACAGATGTTCAACTCGACTCTTTTAAAAGCTCGATTAAATTTTTCGAGCCGAGCCATTCGAGCGTATACTTTTTCGAGTCAAACATACTCATATATTCATAAATAATAGAATAAAAATATAAAAATAATCAACCTTGAGCCAATAAACGAGTCAATCGATCACGAGACGAGCCCACAAACGAGCATCGGGCTCGATAACTCAAAAAATATTTGAGCTCAAGCTTGAGCCCTACATTGAAAAAGTTATTCGAGCTCGAGCTCGAGCCTGGTGTAACTTTTTCGAGCCGAGCTCAAATAATCTACTACTCGACTCGGCTCGTCTAGGCGTGACTTGGTTCCAGTTGTCACCAGAACACATGTAAGAATCTCGGCCAACAATATGTGAGTTGAATAAGTCAAAAACCTTATTCATTCAATCATGAAATACCTATAGGTAACAACTTGTTTAGAAAGGGTTACAGCTCAAGATGCCCATTGATCATAGATACTGATCATAATAAACTATGATATAATCTAATCTATAACACCTTATTTAGCAAATATTCGGAAATCAATTACATGCCAACACCCCCCCCCCCTCTTCAAGTTGGATCATAGATATTCATCATGTTAACAGAGTTGCACAAGAACCGGTCTAGTTATAGCCTGGTCAATGCAGTGAAAAGCCCGGTCAACAAGGTCAAAACTGAACCCGGACCGGTGGTCTGGCCTGGTCGGCTTAGAATCAACCACATCTGAACATGACACGGGAAAAGGCTAGATGATTGATCATAATGGTCATGCACGCTCTAATACCATGTGAGTAAAATAAGTTAAATCTTATTATTCAATTATAAAAAAAAAACCTATTGGCTACAACTTGTTTATAAAGGCAGCAGAAGGCTATCCAGGAGAATCCCTAAGAATAAGAAAAACATTCGTTACAGAATGATGAGTAGACCAAGATAGCAGATTATGATCTAATTTAATTGCAACAGCTTATTCAGCAAATGAGCAAATATTCAGACATTAATTACGCACCAACAAATAATGAAAAAGAAAATATAATAAAATAAACAAGATGAATCATCTATGTGGTGAATTATCCTTGCTTTGCATCTCACAACTCCATCTTTTTGTTTTCTGTTTTTTTAATGACCATAGTATATGGCGCCTTTTGTCCAACTCTCCACAAGGCCCATGTGAAGTGCCCCTCCATGACTTCATTTTAATCTATAGAAGTTTAAACACCAACCTGACAGGCATTCACACGAAGATCCCATATCCTAACAGTGTGATCAAGAGAACCGGACATGAAACTGTCATCTACCGGAGACGTACACAGGGAGACAACCCTACAGACAAAGCAAGACAAGAATTAAAAGGTTATGCTTGACATCACACTTTTACAAGTCAACAAAGAGAAGGTTCAGATAACGGAAAGCTGTGATCAACACTGATCATGATTTGCTTGAGCAGAACTAATTTACACCATGCAAGACTATGAGATGACAAGTTGAGGAAAGAGAATTTTCTTTAGGGTGCGTTTGGAACAGTGCACAGACAAGACAGAATAGGATCGCTGTTCCATGATTGGTAATACTTTTATGTGGAACGGACAAGAATAGAATCCCCACCCCCACCCCGTGGAACAAGGTGGAACAAGATGGAAGAGACCTATATTTTACCAATATAACCTCAAAATAAAACCTAATTCTCTTCTAAAACATCAAATACGCCTCACTCTTTACATTTTACTCATTTTGTCTTTAATTTTATTTATTGTATTTTATGCTATTTAAAATTTCACTTTATTGTCCTCAAAATATATTTTTATACGGTTTCTATATTTTGATTAACTTATTTAATTTATTTAATATTAATAAAAAATAATATAGAGAAGATATATACTAAAAATTGGAAACTACATGAGCTTTTTATTTTGGTGTCATTTTAATCGTCTTGACGAAAATTTTCTAATGTTCATTTTATTATAACTTAATAAATTACATAACAACTAATCAAAACATATAAAAGATATAAACAACTCATTAGGGGTAATTGGTCATTTTATCTGGTATGTCTTGTCCAATTTTATCTTACCAAAGGTTGAGCAGTTGTTCTGTCTTGTTCTCCTATCTTGTCTGGATACCAAACGCACCCTTATGGAACAACCTCGTATTTGAAATCATCGAGATTTGTAGCCTAGAGGATCATTGATAATACAAGCTCAGTTTAAAGTATAAAACAATGACATATGCTATCACAAGACTCTAGCTTTGACAGCAGTTGTTCCTAGGCCTTCCCAATTACCATGATGCACTAGCTTGTCATCACGATAAAGCAATCACTGTCAGATATCATGAAAGATTAGCTCATTCTTCCATGAGGATAAATGTATGATGAAACTAGAGTTAATCATTCATCTAGTTCCAACATGCTCCAAGCCAGAAGTAGAAGCCATATACTGAGAAGAATGCAAATTTGTAAAACCCTTCTTCATAATCTAATTCACTAATTTGACCATCAAGATCTGACCCGTCAAACCGTATACATTTTCAGACTATCATGTGCCTGTAATAACATCAAGTTGATAAAGTCTAACCTTTCTTTATGCCCCTTGAAGTAACGAAGGCAACGATTGTCATACATGGACAGATAACGCAGAGACTCTGTAAAGAAAAACGGAATATTGTAATTTTCATCATTGCAAATTAGAAAAATTGCAAGTAACTTCATAACAGGACGCTTACCTGCACCTGAATCCAAATTGTGTGTTGAAGAGCATATGACAGAACTAGGGTGGTGGGTAAAGCATATACGATCAGCACCATGTTTCTTATGATGTGTAGTTTTCAGTAACCTGAAGTTCAGATGATGAGTAGATGGAAGAAAATTCTAGCAATCAACTAGTCAGATTTTTACAAGCAGCATCTTTTATAACCTAATCTTAAGTAAAACAGACGGACTCATCAAATTAGTCATTGCAAACAACCAAGAAAGAGATTAATACAACTATACATTACTAAGATAAGGTTTATAAGGATGAGATGATTCCATACAGTCTCTATGAACATATCATAATATACTGAACCAATTTATAGATGATAAAGACAAACTATGCATCATGTAAACCACATTGGTACTTGAAGCCTACTTTGGAGAGTAAGGGTAACAACCAATAGAGTAGACGCCTAGTATACCTAAAAGATGTATTTAAAATTTATAAACATGTATTTTTTAAAAATTTAAGCCCTTTTAGCTGTATGTAGTATAACCTTAATATATTTTGTGACCTCTCCAATCAAGTGTGAGAGCTCAATGCTTAAAGTTCATGATTACGGTTATTAAGGTCCTTCAAGCCAGAATTACACAAGTACTATCAAGGAACTGACCGACTATACTAAATTTTTAAAAGAATCTGCAGGAAGGACGATCATAAACCAAATATAACAGAGAGACAAGGGTTACAGCTCAGGACAAGATTTACTACCATATGCTGCAGATATACTCTCAGAAAGTCAGAAGGCAATCCCAGAAAAGAGGAGCAAACAGATTCGGTATCCTAGAAAATTAGTACAGGCTGCAGGTGACTTTTAAGGCTTTAAATGCAAGGTAATTCTGGACTCCTGATGCACAAAGGATGGCACAAAACTCTAAAACATATTTCATTAAGGTGATTCACAAATAAAATTAAAGGCTCACATTTCTATGTTGGTAAAACATAATATCACACCATGCCAATGACCAGAAAAGAACATGGTTGTAAGTAAACAAATAAACAAGAAGGCCATATACTGACTACATTATGCTTTACTTCAAGATATTCAATAAGCAATCTGCCAAAAATCTCGATGAAGAATACGCACTTGCCATTTGCTATGTCATATAGCCGTACAAAATCATCCTCCCCCGATGTTACCAATAAATCCGCAGTACGATGGAAATCAAGCGCATTTATCTTTCCTACCTGAAACAGTTCTATGTGTCATAATAAAAGCAAAAGAGAAAATTAGCATTTTAAATCATGAAAATGCACAAAGTAACAAATTCTTCAAGTAAATTGCTAAAGATTCTCATCATGGCGCCAGGTCTCACATGTAAAACTCCCTACAATACAATGACATCTTCCTTGTACATCACTACACAAGCAAAGTATAACAGCATGTTTGGTTGCTAATGTATGACAACAAATAGCCATTCTCTGCCTTCTTTTATGCCTCTTCTAATAAAAGTCATTCCTTCTTTTTTTGAATCCAAAGGTCCACATGAATAACCAATCTACATTCATTCAATTTTCACAATTTTTTTCTTCATTTGAAATGTCCCATATTCTTCGAATTACATTTATTCTTGTGTGGATAGTAACCAAACCATCTCAACTACAAACATCTCAGGCACATGTTGCCTCTTGGCAACTTAATAATATTTGGGTTAACGAAGTATATCTAGCCCCAAATTTAGCTAATAAACCTGCTATTTGACTTGGTAGAATTTCATTGACACATGTATGACAGTTTCATCCCCTTGTATGTCAAGCATCAGTCTTTCCACATGGTATGATTCTACCAAGACATAAACAAGCAGCATCCTTCAACACTAAACATTCAGATATATCAGAACACCTTCATGCCCTCCTTCCGTCACGAAATCATCCATATGCATCACTTCGCTTAAAATATCCTTTAGATTTACGTATTTCTCTGTGGTCTTAACATGGAGACAACATAACCTTTGGCCCATACATCCATGAGTAGCATATCCGAATGTACTTTTGACCATATACTCAACTAAGACCAAGATGAAAAGGCCTAAGGCCTATCTTTCATGTATACCAATAATCCCTACTCATGCAGACTCTTCTTTGAAAGGTCATCTTAAATTGCATCATGCATGGACATTGAATAAAATTTCTCTTGTTCATGTGAAACCCCAACATTTGGACGAAATATCATCCTTTCTATTTTAAATTACTTACCTGTGTGCTCTAGAACTTTCAAAATAATGTTATCTAATTATACGCTTGTAAGTCCAATTTTAACATCACCCTCATATGATACACCGATATCACAGTAGCTGATGCGTTGAACCCATGATAATTCATTCATTATTTAAGTTTAAAATAGCATTGTTGTTCCGACAAGTTATCAATTTTCATCTCCCACTGTGTGTTCTCTTAGAGTTAGGAATATAAAAGGTAAATCATAAGTTTGAGTTCCTATGCGATTAAAAGTCTTTCGCTAGTTGGCTGATTGTCGGCTGCTGTGCAAACATGTCCTTGGCAACCAATACAAGGATCGAGTATTGCTTATCCTATGATAAGAGAGTACAAGCCTTGCGCTTTTATGCTTTAATCCTTCATGGAGGAACGATTTAGATATGACAGAAGACAAGTTCTTGAGACCAACATTGCTATATGGGGCCGAGTGTTGGGCGGTAAAGAAGTCGCTTGAAAGGAAGTTAGAGTGACATAAATGAGGATGCTCAGGTGGACTTGTGGCCAAACATACAAATGAGGTCTTCCAAAGGAAGTTGGAGGTAGCGTCTACCACAAATAGTTGAGAAAAGGAATATTGTTGTCCTTTGGGCATGTTTGTAGACGATATTTGTTGTCACCGGTAAGGATGATAAAGAGTGTTATGATTGAGGGGGTGACGGGGGCAGGCCGAGTAGGATGTGGATGAACAACTAAGACCGGACATGGCAACTATAGCCATTTATGAAGACATGACCTTAGATAGGAGTTTATGGAGGCATAGAATTAGGGTAGCAGATTTTATGCAAGGACCTATGGTTATTGTGGTAGCAGTAGGGTGGGGGGAAGGTTAAAGGCAAGTTTGCCGGAAATGTCAGTCCTATGGTAGGTAGGTGGGTAACCATGAGCAGTGGTTGTCCTGAATGAAAGTTTTGTCAGGAAGAGGTCGTTTGGGTCACTTATGTGTTCTTAGGTTGCTTGTGTTGAGCGTGCTCGTTCTAAGCATATTTCATGGTATTGGACTGTCGTACCTGCTCTGTTTGATTAATCTTATGGCATGACATTGACTTGGTCTACTTGTTTAAGCATGCCACATGTTGTTTAAGGTGTACTTCGCTTCCCCGGATTGCTACCATGCTTTTTTTCAGTTCTCCTTAGGTTTTTCTCGTTTTTTATTAGTCCCTCTCTTCACACAAAATTCTTTCTCACAAAATTTTTCACGCACAGGGGTCTTTATGGATACAGCCTATTTACTCTCAGCTTAGAGGATAGGCTGCTTATATCTTACCCTCCCCATACTACACTTCGTGTGGGACTTATTGGGTTAGTTTGGTTTTGTTACTATTCCCTTGTGTACATCAAATACAGGTATAAACCACTTCAAGATAAACAGGTATTTTAGGGTAAAGCAAAGCTCCGTTATAGAGATGATACTACATTCTAACGTTTGAGGATTGAACTAAATAAGGATTGTATAGCAATTATCAAGGTACGTTTGAAAGTGGGATCTCATGGCGTGGAAATGCAATATAACAAAAATAACTTAGAGAATTGAACTAAATAAGGTCCACTTCTCCAATTCCATGTTCCCAACAGCAACCTCAATGGCAGTCTTATACGACTTCACTGAATACGTCAACTGTTTGCGCCTAAACAGAAGCAAGATCACCATCATTCCAACGGCTGCTCACATTGCGATCATAACATGGACTTACATTATAACATTCCATCAATGTTTTTAATTCCGTGCTTGTTTATTCTCAATTATCTTTACATGCAATAAACTGTACCGATAATCTTCTGTTCATGTATACATATATTAAATAGGGAACAATGAAATTGTGAGCACTCACGAAATCTGAAAACAGTGCCCCAATTGACATACTGCGGATGATTTCATCATCGAGCTCCGACACCGATGTGTTCCTCATCGTAAAATCAACGGAGAAATCGTAGAGAAATCCTTCAATGTTCGGTCTTCCTTGAGGTGAACATGCTAGGTTTTTGGCTCAGGGTTTAGAGAATTTTTGCTCGAGGTGTAAATATGGTATATATGCCGGGTATCTGGATCCGGGTCTAGTTTCAATTGGGCTGTAAATTTAAAATTTCCTCCAAATTTTGAGATTTCAACAACTTTTATTTTGGGTTGTTCATACACTAACTAAATCTCCATTCGTCCAGAGTAAATATCCACAATGAAAATGATATACAGTTTTAGAAATATGTAATTATTACATCTTTTAAATAAATAACTGACATTTTTATCTTTGATAATAAATAGACAGACTTTTTTCATCTCATGATTATGGGTTAAATAGAAAAGTAAAAACTTGTGTAGTGAAAGTGGATATGTATTTTGGGATAGTAGAAGTAGGACGTTCTTTGATGTTATTTCTACTTTGATCATTTGACTCGTAGTCTTTACTTTTGTACAACATTGTATTTTAGAGGTTCTAATGTTATCTTATCGTAAAACAACGACCATCATAATACGACCAAAGGTTCCACTTAATGGGTCACATTCAAGTAATTTTCAATGTGTATCGAAAGTACTCTATAAGGGTGTTTTCAGGTATTTAGGCTCCATGTTGCAAATAGGGTGAGGTCGAGGAAACACGTCACATGAAGATATTGATCGCTAAATTAGGGGATTGTCGTGGGAGTGCTCCATGACAAGGAGGTCCTTCTAAACTTGAAGTAATTATTTTTACAAGATAGTCATTAAAACTGATTATATTGTATTAGTCGAAGTGTTGGACAATAAGAAAAACCCTATGAGAGGAAAATGCAAGAACAAGGATGATTAACTTGATAAGTGGTCATGTTAGGTTTGATAGGATACCAAACAAGGCATATCGGGAGGTGTTAGGAGTTGCACACATCACATATAAGCCGAAAGAGATGAGACAGTGGTTTGGTTACGTTCGTAAGAATCAAATTTGCGATTCCAGTGAGGAAAAGAAAATGTGTGATGCCCAATGGGGGCCATGGGATGATGAACTGAAGTTGAACATGTCAACTCTAGACATTTATGATGACATGAGTTATGATACGATTTACCGCATACGCATGACTAGGATAGAATACCACAAACGGAAATTATTGTGAACTAACCACCTGAATTAAACATTAAATGTTGAAATAGTCTGAAAGAAAACTTTAGTAAAAAACAAAAAGACTAAGAGGAAATGTTTTCAAAGTACAAGGACCAAAAGTGTGCATGACTGAAAGGACTAAAAGGAAATGTTTTAAAAGTATAAGGACCAAAAGCGTGCATAACTGAAAAAGGACTAAAAGGAAATGTTTTCAAAGTATAAGGACCAAAAGCGTGCATAACTGAAAAAGGACCAAAAGGAAATGTTTTCAAAGTATAAGGACCAAAAGTGTGCATAACTGAAAAAGGACTAAAAGGAAATGTTTTAAAAGTATAAGGACCAAAAGTGTGCATATCTGTATGTTTAAGGACGATTAGTGAAATTTACTGGTCTTAGCCGGGTCTTTGTTTTTCCGGATCCTTCTACCCCATAAATTTATCCACTTTCAAGTATGTTTACCGTCGTTTTCCATCAACGCCACCTTTGTTTCACCGGTGAACTCTCGATCAAGAACGATGGATTCGTTTCATCATCTCCTAGAGAGGACTCGGCTACCTCAGCCATCACTCCAGAAACTTGCGGTTGTCTCCATATTCGAAAAGCTCCGATTACCAACTACACTCAATGGACCCGAATTCGACCCGGGAATGCAGGCCGTTGCTCAATGTCTGAACTCAAATTCGCCGGCGGTTGTCGACCAATCGGTCCGAGAGCTTTGCCTTTTTGTAAAGGACTCCAAATTGGAGGTTTCTCGGGGGTTGTTGGAACTCCAGTCAGCCCTCGAAGGCTCTGATTCGCGCTTTGTTAACGTGTTCGTCAAAGCTATAGGGTTTATTGTTCAATTAGGGTTCCAGAATGACAATGTTTCATTTCGCTTCCATTCTTCTGAGGCTCATCCGTTTGTTAAGGTGACGTTGAACAAATTATACAATATGTGTCTGGGAACTCAATTTTAGCTTTCTAATTTGAACAACAGCTCACCATGTTCAAATTAAACACATATCTGAAGTCCAGAGTATACCTCATGCATTCGCAGAGCGTTAACTAATGAGGTGTCATAGGCAGGTGATCAATTGGTGTAAAAAATTTCATACCTGGAGTGTGTAGCTAAATTTCAATACCAACTTAATTGTTAAAGTTTGTACTGCCTTTTTGTCGATTAACTAGAACAATTGGAATACCATCATTAAAAGGGGCAATATCATAACCGATTTCCATTAATGAGGTGTCATAAAAGTTCACACATATTGCTTTTAAACTGTAAACTCATATAATGTGTTGACATTGATGGTTGGCAGGTTCTTTCTTGCGGAACAGAGGTTCAATCCGAGCTAGTGCGACAGGTGCTTATATTTATTATGCAGAACAGGCCGTTGGGAATGGAGGGAATTTGTGAATTCTTAAGACCCTTCTTAAATTTTTTGGTTATACAAACGTCATCTTCAGCGACAATGTCTTCATTGGCAAGGAACCTTTTATCCTCGATATCATCGCTATGTTGTTCATTTCCTTTGGATGCAATTCCTGTTTTCAAGTTGTTGATGGGATGCTGTAAATATATGCAATGCAACAGTGCAGAAGTAAGTGAATATGGAAGCTTATAGAAAACTTTTCTGTAATTTTTGACTCATCAATTTCCAAGCCATGGAAATGGTTATGAAGTCTCCAAATGTATCTTTACTATTGGAGAGAGATATCTTCTTCAACTTATTAGGTTTTCTCTTTTGTCCATTTATATAACCACCCAGTGTGCATGCTAACTTTCTCCATGATGGTGCCTTTTCTAGGATCTGACTAATGTTTCTTATCTCATGGAGACTATCGTGGATGCATTTATTGCGGTTTTGAGCCACCTGGCTAGTACAGGGATGGTATGTCGATTGATTGTATTACGATATATACATGTGTGTGTTTGTGTTTGCATCTTAAAATGTTATTATTACTTAAAGAGGGATTATTGAGTTTGGTTACCAGTGAAAGTTATATAACATTTTTTTTGTTTGGCTTAATCTCGACTGGCAGCGGATTCATGATGCACAATTATGCGGAGCAGAACTTTTAGAGATGATCGTTTCCACTATTCACAAGTATTCTGGTGGGGAAGAGTGCATATTTGACATGTCAAGGCGCTTAATAGTTGTGCAGTCAGAGCTTGGCTTGAAATTTATACCTGAAGCATCATCTGTGATGTTGTCTTTGTTTTTTAGCCTCATTCAGTCAGAGATGGAACACATACAGTTATCAATATTGAAATTGGTTCTCATTCTTATGAAGTGGAAAAACAGCAACGGTAAATTCGTTCAGCTCTCCTTGATTTACTCATAGCTTCTTTCTAATTTCATTTTTGCGTCATATTGTGACTTCAGTACCTCTTTTTATTTGCCAAAAGAGACACAGTAGGCTGGATCATTGTCTGTTTTGATATTTGATGTGTTCTTCATCATAAATACTCTTAACACCTCTAGAAGAATTCATATATATATATATATATATATATATATGATATGGCCATATCTGCATATATGCACACAAATAAGTAGAAATTATAATGACATACCTGTTTGTGAGTATTTTAGAACTCACAGAAGTTGTATTATGCACGTGATTGGAAAAAAAGTGATTGTCAATGGACATCCTGATCTTGTTTATGTTCTTTAGGCTTCCCCTGAATCACCTCAGCTACACAATACATCATCATTGACTAGTTCTTTCTTTGGCTGATATTGATTCTGCACCTGCAGAGAATATCGTCGATGTGCATGAAGAGATTTTATTTGTTTTTCCCACCATCAACCTCATGTCATCTCCGTCCAGATATGTTAAAGAAGCAGCATCTGAGTTGCTTATTATGTTACGAAGGCTCTCTGCGTATTTATTGGTTAATCCAATAAATGAGTTGCTCATGGAAGAGAGATTTCCACGAATCGGCAGATTGGAAGACATCATATTTCGGGTCTTCCATCATTTGTGGTTTCAGGTGGAGTTTCGAGTGTCTTATTACTGAAAACTACATCTTCTTTCCAACATATTTAGAGTGCTCTTATATATTTGGAAAGTGGCTAGCATATTTCTGTTAACTTGTTATTTCTACTGGTACAGTTTTTTTTTGGTAGTGTGAAGTTGAGTTATTCTTAACAACTATCTGGCTGATTCAATAAGTTAGCTAAAATCAAGAGAGTCGGTGTTTTTAACTTGAAAGTATGGTCAACTTATTGGATCACTAAATTAGCTACATCAGCATCTGTGTCAGTGAAACAAAGTGGGACATTGTTATTGTTAAAATTGCTGCATGCATTCATACTTTGTTAGTGATAATTTTACTTTCTTCAAACACAATATCTTAATTTCCCATGCTGCAGTTCTCCTCCATCATGCTGGCATGGGTAAAACATGCGAGTATGTAACCATGAACTTCTATATTTTCAGGATCAAACTTCTTCTTCTGGTTCTTTCTATCTACATTGGGTATCCAATGGCAATAAAAATGTCAAAGAAAAGCAGCATCCACTGAAAAGTTGGACGACCTTAGTAACAGGGTATTGTCAAAGGATGGTTGAAATACAAAAGTCAAGCCTTCCTAGGTCTCAGTCCCAGGAGATATTTCTACGTGGTAAACAATTGCTTTTCCCTGTCTTTGATAGCTACTCGTACATGATGCAATGTATCAACCATGAGCAGTTAGATATCTTCCTCTAAGTAACAAGCTGTTCCTCTACTGCAGAAATTCCGCCTTTACTTGCTGCAATTGCCAGTGTTCTCATTTTGCATCCTACATTAGGGAATTCTGCAGTAGATCTCCTGGCTCTTATTGGCAATATGGATCCCAAACTTGGTGTTCCACTATTTCTAGTAATTTTATTTTACCTTAACATATTCTCTGGTAAATCTGAAGAAACCGACTTCCAAGACATATTGGTAAGCCACTAAAGCTCTATCAGGTGCAGATCTTATTAGCCTTTCTCCTTTATGCTCAGTTGTTACTGTTTCTAATCTTATAGCAATTGCTGCAGCTAAAACTTTTAAGAATGCTTCCCTTACTTGTGTCACATCCTGCAATGGTACCGCTCATAGTCCAGACAATCTTGCCAATGCTTCAGAAGGATGCAAATCCGTAAGTTGTCCATGCATTTGTTCTTTCTTTATTCTATTCATGTACATGAATCTACATGATTGTTGCATTGTAATTATATAAAATTCATATATAAATTTTGTGTCACTATCTGTACACAGAATCTCAGTCAAATCCGTATTTGCCTATATGCAATACTTGAAACTCACCGATGGTTGCCAATGCATGAATGATATTGCTGCTTTCTTCCAATCTGCTTGCACAACCACAATTAGATATATAACTCTTGGGGAAAAGATAATCTTTTCAAAATTAAGTCGAGACCTGTGGCTCCAATGGTCCAACCCGAATGGCTGTCAATTTTTCTGACATCATTTATTACTGTCTTCTGGTTTAATAAATATTTTACTTGACTTGTTGTGTTCCAGAGTGTTATATGCTACTGCTTTGCGTCTGCTTTGCAAGACCTGGGAGATCAATGACCGAATTTTTGGAAGTTTGCAGGTATGAATTTTGTTGTGCTTATTTCCGGTACCTGTTTTGATGTAGCTCTTATCGAAATTTGGCGGTCATAGTCTCATATGGTGAAAAGCTCTTTCATCTATTTTTTCCTTCACCATTCGATTTATATGTTTAGTCCTTAATTTTTCAGATGGCATATTAAAGCACAATTCATGCATGTAGAATATCATAATTTTGGTTGAAGTTTGTGAAATAATTAAATTCAAATACTCCATTTCGCTTACATTGTTTGACCATATCATTTCACTATTTACTTTCTTCTATCTATTTGGAAGGGTTTATTACTTCCAGAAGCTTTCACCCAGTTCAAATGGGAGAGAAGTATTAGTATAAGCATGGCTGTTAGCATCTGGGATGTTTGCAAAAAGAATCCTGACAGGGGTGTAGACATTATCTTGTCTGTTGAGGTATGAATTTGTATGAAATAATTTCTCCCTGATTTTTCCAAAGCATCTTATGCTCTCTATATTTCTCATCTAACTAACAGGCATGCATTAAGAGCACAGATGCTACAATTAAAGCTCTTGGTGTTCAAAGCCTTGCCCTTCTTTGTGAAGCTGATGTGATTGGTAAGACCTAGTTGATGCATGAATGGATATCTTGCGTCCATGATGTAATAATGCTTAGATGTAATCGAGTATCAGTAATGCAATTGATGATGTGTTTTTCTTAGAAGTAGCATTTTGATCATTGTTGCTGATAACAGAAGTAATGTTGATATTCAAATTTGTGATGATTTTAAATTGCCCGATTATTGAATTTTTTTGTCAAAACATTATTCAGATTTTTATACTGCTTGGAGTGTTATAGCAAAGCATGTTCGGAGCTACTCCACTGACCCGGTTATTGCAAATAGGTAAGTCCTAATGACTTTGTTTGCATCATGTGTTCAGATTCTGTTTTCAACTATAATGATATAAAACTAACATCTTCTAAGGTGCTGGAAAATCTGATACTTGCACATTTAGTAAAAAGAATCTGGCACGATTCTCAATTGCACAAGCATAATCCGAAATTATCTTAAAAGAACATACGTTCCTGATATGGCAATGTTATCACATTGCTCGTTTTTTTAGTTAATTATGTCATGAGCTAAGACAACCATAATGATTCATAATGCCCTTCTTTGCAAAAATCTAGACCTGTCACAGAAATTAGAAGTATGACTAACTGTGTAATATTATAAAACTGCTCTAATATTTCTCAATATTGATCTTTGGACAGCGCATGCCTGATTTTAAGATGGGGTGCAATGGATGCTGAGTCATATTCAGAAAATGCCACGGGTGTGTTGCAGATACTATGGGAAGTTGCCACATCAAGACATCCTTGTCATGGGTTATCATGGGCAAATGCTAGAGCATCTGCTTTTGAGGCATTAACTCAATATCAGGTATGATTTTTATTTGGTCTTGAAGACGTCAATGTTGCACTTTTATGCCAGAATGCCTCATTTACCCTATTTGACTACCTCTTAAGGATAAAGCAGTCCTTTACTACTCTAGATCTAGTGTTGTCTGAGTTGTTGCTCTTTTCCTTTGAACCATGTGGGATCTCTTAGGTACCTCATATCCACCAATTCATTCCAGATTTCAGGGAGAAGAACATAGAGATGCTTGTTTCTGAGACCGACCCCAAAGTTCTTGAGGCCATGGAGAGATTTGAAGCAAAGATGATAACACACGAACACATGTTAGGAAACTTTTTCCTTTGAGTTTCTTTCACACCCAACTGTTTGCGACTACATATCATGTTTTGAGATATATTCTTTGTGTGGTTTTTTCCCAGTACGAGGCGGAGACTGGTGAAGGAGAAAAGAGTGCCTGCCAACAAGATTGAGAAATTACTAGATGTCTTTCCTCGGGTTATTGGCATTTCAGGTACAATCCTTTAGTTCAGTGCTCATATTTTATGAGGTAGTGATAGCTTCTTTGGCTTCCATTGGCCATTGTGTTAAGGATATATGCAATACTAACTTGTCTTTTGGTTTATATAACTGACTGCTTAATTGCTTGATGCCCAAGTTTGGTGGTGATTCAGATGCCGTTATTATCCAGAAGGGTCCATGCATTGTACAAATATTTATAACATAAGTTCAGAATAGACAAAGCATGGGTGTAATGGAGTGCCCCTGATAAAATTAAGACAATCTTTATATAGAGAATTGTCCTGGAAATATGTTTCTGGTGTGGGAATGTGTCTATGTTAGATTTATCTGTTCCCCTGTTATATACAGGGTATGGAAAGTGTAATTCTCAAATCTCATGCCATCTAAGACATGATCGTAGCTTATTCTACAACAATTCATTGTCAAACAATTTTGAACTATTGCATCTCTAGGTGCATATTTATTGATTAAATATCTAGTCCATATCCATACCATGTCTAACTTTGGTATGTTCATGCATCTTGGAGAGTCCATATAACAAGATTCATAATTATGTTCATGAATAAAATGAGCACACTGTGTGGGTGTGTATGCATGCAGCCTGTATGCTTGAGCATATCTTTCCATTTGCAGGAATTAATAGTAAAGCAGGAGAACTACCAGGTGCAGCTCTATTTCACCTTTCTTTTAGTGTGAAAGATGAAAATAACCAAGGAGCATCAAAGGTAAAGCATGTAGTACAGTCTTGTGTCCTGTCATCATTAGAGCTTTACCATGTTACATCTGAAATCTTTAGTTTACAGGTTTTGCACGATCTACATGCCAGATACGAGAATGCGTTAGTGGAGATAGCTGGGTCACTACAGCTCTCAAGGAATATTATTGTTGCACTTCTTTCACTGCAATCCTGGAAACCATTCATGCAACGTTGGCTGCGGGCTTGCATACCGTTATTAGATGTTAAGGCATCCACCACTTTGATGGATACAACTTCCAAGGCAGCGGATGATATTCTGAAGGTTCAGTATCTCTTTTGTTTTTGGGTCACAGTGGTGCTTTGTTACCCTAGTTTTCAAATGGTATTTCTGTATGTTTTAATTCCAGTTGTAACAATTTTTATGCAGTGTATGAGACAAAAGGCTGATAAATCTATCCCTAGATCTGCTGAGAATATTGGGCTAGCTGTGGGTGCACTTTGTTTGGTAAGTACTACCATGCTTTGCTCATAATTGAAGATGCCACTTCCTTTTATTTTCTTGAAATGGTAAAAGAATTATATTAATACTGAAATTTTAGTACATACTAAGACAGTATGAAACAACCAATCCCCATACAACGGATAACATTGACAATCAACATGACTAGCAATTGTCTAACTAGAAATACATTGGACAACTGAGAAACAAGTGATTGGGGCTAACTGAAGCTAAAACTATTCACTGAAAACTGAATGCACCTTAGACCAGTTAAAAGTTCTAAAATTCTACCTGACTAAACAAGACAAATGAACATAAAAAACACAAAAAAAAAATCCTAGCCAACCAACTCCACCCACTGCTCCACCAAACATGGGAACTGCAAACCTGACACCCAACTGGAAATTAGTCTGCAAAGACAAACCCGATCGCTGCAAAACCATCAACTTGCCACCAGTGTTTCTGCCTAAGTCTAACCATCAACTCATGAAGCACATCAGAACCAAACTGCATAGCAAAAAACCTTACTGAGATTAAAATGAAATCTATCTCTGAAACCTCACAAAAAACTGAACTTATTCCGATGACTCTAAACAGCAGCGGGCGAATTTTGACAGCGGATGAGGTGGCCGATGCTGATGATAAAAGCCTGAAAAATGTTGTGGCAACGAAATGACTGGAGAAATGACCTGTGGTGATTAGCCGATGAACACTACCTGAAATGACTCTGATATAACAGTAGCCTGAACAACCTGAAAACACCAAAAACTTTAGATCCACTGCATGAAAACCATTCACCAGAAACCCATTGCCTGGCTGGAGGAATGAATATTCAGTGATGGAACCACCGTCCCATGGACTGGAGAAAATTCTCCTGGCAAAAACACTGCCTGTCCTGAAGCACTGCTTGATGTGAACAAAAATCTTAAAATAACTTTGATCTGAAGGAGCAAAAATGGGGGATCTGAAAGAAATAGGTGAGAAAATGGAAGGCCCTCAATACTGCTACCTGAAGGCTGTTGGCCAAAGGCAATTATGCACCAAGAATACGAAGAGTCTTTTTTAATGTGGATTTTAGAGAGGGAAGGGAGAAAGAGATATAAGAGTATGTTGGTTTCCTGTTGTGCCACTTTGTTTTTGGTCTTTGCCACAATTAGGCGTACTGCTCTGCCTATCTGAACAAAATTACTATCTTTCTACCCAACCTTGGCTCTCCTTACTAGGTAGTTCTTAATAAGCATATTATTACTGCTGGTCATTATTTGTTCGGCATTGTGTTTTGCCAGGTCCTTCCCCCATCTGCTCATGCTACAAAAGCAAGTGCCTCAAAGTTTCTGCTGAGTTGGTTATTCCAGCATGAACATGAATATCGCCAGTGGTCAGCTGCAATTTCTCTTGGAGTCATCTCAAGTTGCTTGCACGTGACTGATCACAAACAAAAATTCCAAAACATCAATGCACTCATTGAGGTACTAATACCCGCATTTGTTTCTATTTACGAGGATTTGTCTAGAGTAACCCCTGTTTGGTTGAGTTTCAGATGTTCCCATATGATGTAGGCCATATAACTATCCTGTAGTACCGACTACATCTTTTCGATATACACCTCCCAGAAAAACTGCTCTGTTAATTACATGTCAAGCAGTTATTGAACCACAAACATACACACTTGATATTATTTTGTACACATTTATATTGCTTACACATGTGTTTGAAATGTTATTGTGAACATAGCTTGAAATATTCTATAGATGTTTCTACACCAAAATATGGTGAGAAATTAAGGTCCTACCTTTAGTCCCTGGTGTGCTATAAGCCTCTTCTTTGTTATACTTATCATCTAGTCCAGTGTATCTATATATGAAAGTTGACTTGTATAAAGCCAATCTTCTTGAGCCAATACTTTCATCTAGTGAAGTGAAATTCTCTATATGGTTGAGAGAATATTTTAAATGATAAGTTATCAACGTTCATGTTTTTAATTTGAGTTTCCGTTGTAAAATGCCTACAGAAAAAGCCTTAGCGAGCATGACATGTTATTGGCTACATTTCTGACCTGATTTCTTTTTTGAGGTTGCATGTACGAGCAGAAGCACTCTTGTAAGAGGGGCTTGTGGAGTTGCTTTAGGTTATTCATGTCAAGATCTTCTCACACGTTTTACGGTTGGAGATGACTCCCATTTGGACAAAGAAGTTCACGAGATGCAGGAAACTGACTTACTTGGAAAGGTTGTTAGGACCTTATGTCGGTTAATAGATCAATATGCTCAATCTTCGACAACCACTCTCCAAAGTCTATCTGAATACTTCCCACAGCTACCAAATACTACTGATCCAGATATTGCTTTAAGCTCTTCTGGTAAAAGTTCTGATTACTTGGAGGAAGATATATGGGGTGTTTCAGGACTTGTCATGGGTTTAGGAAGTTCTGTTACCGCAATATACAGATCTGGGTGTATCGATGCGATTAAGAAGATAAAACACCTAATTCTATCATGGATTCCTCTTGAGAATCCCTTGGAAGAAAACTCTGGTATGAATGGGAACTTGGAACTAGTTTTATCCATGGGGGCTTGTCTTGCGCTTCCATTTGTAGTGTCTTTTTCCCAGAAAGCAGAACTGATTGTTGGTGCTGAACTCGAATATCTTGTGAGTGGCTATTGTGAACTTATCAACAAACTGCTTTCTACAAAAAGTTCCGGGGCTTTCTGCCAGAGCTTGTTGATGGCATCTTGCGTTGGAGCAGGAAACCTTCTTGGCTGCATTTTAAATGAAGGGGTGCATTCATTGGATGCTAAGTCTGTTAAGGATTTACTAGATATGTTCAAGAAAATCTACTCTAATCCTCATCCTCCTCTTATGCATTTGGGTGCAATGCTTGGAGTTGTAAATGCACTAGGAGCAGGGGCTGGGACCTTGTTTCTGCACTGCCCCTTAGCCTTCTCTCGGTCTATTTCTGAACAGAAGGTAATTCTGCACTTATAATTGGTTATTCAGCATTGATGGTGTATGAGTTGCATGTTTGTAGTTCTGTATAACTGAACTCTATTGCTAACTTGTTTCCCAACAGGAATCTTCTTACATTACCGGTCCTCTATTCTCTAGTGCTGTTATGGAGCTCAGTTTGACATCATTAATACAAGAAATCTTTCTTGTTGCCCAATATTCTGATGATGACCAACTGCAACAGTATGCAGCTTGGGCAGTTTCATTTCTTAGACATTACATCTGGTCCAGTGATCTCCACAATGAGGACAGAGCAAAACCAAATTCTGCATCTCAAAGCTTCCCCGATGATAGCATAGTCATGAAACTGAGCCTGTGGTTGATGAATCTAAACTACTCTGGGGTGCGTGACTCACTACTATATTACTTTAAAGCACTCTTTCTGTTCCTAAAGTATTTGTATACTGTAGCCAGTAAGCGAATGATGACTAACCATGACAATCTTATCAGAAACCTGCTAAACACAACTGTTTTTACCTAGGTTATTTGCATTCTGAACTTCTTTTTTTCTATATTATACAGTTGTTAACCTACAACTAGTTTGGGACCTCATAATTGTTGAGGAATAAACTCAAAACTGTCATATTTTCTAGGTGACTTATAAATGAGAAGTTGAAGGGACAAACGTTGGTCAATCTGAGTGTATCACCTATGAAGTAAAAGGTTTTAAGTCTAGTTTCCAATGGTGAAGGTTTGAAGTAATTTGTAGTTTTCCATAATAAGTTATGAGAGTTTTAGTAACCAAGGTTGTTAAAGGCTCAAGGTGCACTTAGGCGCAAAGGGGTCCAGGGGCCTAGGCGCAAGGCACAGGCGTGAGGCGCATCTTACAAAAAATATATACATATATATATACACACACACAGAGTTATGCACAACTCAAATGTGTAGCAAGTACTCCAGTACAACAACCAACAATACTTCAATAGAGGCAAAAGGGAGAAGGGTCTAAGCATGGGTATTTATAGAGAAAGAGGCTTGAAGTTATAAGAACTTGGTATATAATATTAGGGTTTGACTTATGTCATCTATAACTCTTTTTTAAGAAGCCTAGGAGATAAGAAAGATGAGAAAACTTATTTAATATTGGGGTTTGACTTGGTATTTAATAACTCTTTATGAGACGCGCCTAGACCTACAAGGCGCCTCAGCCAAGGTGCAGGGCCTTAGTGAGCCTCGTGAATACGCCTAGCCTCGACTTTAAAAAATCCCTAGACCTTGAGCCTTATGAGCCTCATAGCCTAGGCGCACTTTTAACAACTATAGTCAGGACCAAATGCTGCTGCTAGAATTCTGTTTTTATATTATATTATGCTTAATACGTAAGAGAGAAGAATATATGTTCAAGAACTAAAAGAAAGACTTCTCTTCTATGGAAATCACTCTGGTTTGTCATAAACTCAATTTAAGCCATAACTGTTCTTGTTATCAAGATTAGTGAAGTAATTAGCTTTATTTGACATTGAAGAAGTATTTACCTTCCTCAATGTCTTCCCTATTTAATAGTGTTACTACTCCCTCTGTGCCACAATAAGTCTCAACATTTCTATTTTAGTTTGTCCCAAAATAAATGTCACTTTTCAGTTTTACCCTTAATTATGAGATGCAAAAAAAATTCCAATACTCTATTATTAAGGGTAAATTTATCATATAGTTAATTAAAAAGTGTAAAGTTGCACATTTCTAAATCTGTGTCTTTTCCATAGTGAATATGGACGGAGGGAGTATTTAGTTGACATATGTTTGTCTTTGGGATAAGGTAATAAGGTTTGAACATATATTAATGCTCAAAACATTAGTTTCAACAGTTCGCTTGACAGACTAACACTTTCTAATCGACATTTAGTTTTTCCTTTTAACGCATGTTCGTCATCAGGCTGCTGCCAGTTCACATGTTAACACAGTTGCCGCTGTTTTGCGATGCCTCACCCATGCTCCAAGGCTGCCACAGCTTGATTGGGGGTCAATCATTAGAAGGTGCATGAGATATGAGGATCAAGTTGCTCATATGTTACAAGAAGATTCTGATCATAAGAAAGGAAAACTGAGGGAGGAATGTTTAGTATTCTCTTTGGTCCATGGCAGCAACTTCAATGCTTTGCTCACCTTCCTTGATGAACTGTTCGACCTCTCCAGGTTCAAGATGCTTGAAATGAATCTGCAGTTGTGCATCCTTTCTCACCTGCCACAGATGTTAAAAATATTCTCGGGGTCTAGGCTTGAAAAGATATTTGATGACGTTGCCACCTTCATACAGTCACCAGTTTCGTTTGACCAAATTTATAATCCAGAACAGAAAAGCCTACTACGAACATCATGCTGGAAGGGTCTTCATATGTGTTTCGATGAAGCTTCTCTCGATTCTGAAAAACTTATACCCAACTTCGAGAATTGCATGGAGGTGCTCTTTTCTTTGTTGCCACAAGTTTCAGGGTTAAAGTCGTTAGAAATGAACAGGAATTATGAAGGGGAGGAGTGGTCTGAGGCAGTAAGATGTCTAGGGAAGGTTCGTTGGGATTGGTTATCACATTGTTTGCAGGTAATGCATCTTTCCTTCTTGGATATTCACATGGAATCTTGGCTCGTATTGAATCTTTATCATATCTGCCTTTCTCTCTTCATCACACTTTTCCCAATTTGGGGGTCTGCATGCCAGCTGCTCCACTCTTTGGGTAGAAGTGTTGTCTTCCTACATCTCATCCTCCCCATACCCCACAACAGGTGGGATATATTGGGTTCGTTTGGATTCGTTTATTTGATGGATTGCCTAGTAAGCCTAACATTGTAGACGTTGGTAATAATTGCTATTCTTTTTTTTCTTTTTTTGACGAAAGTTCAGCTTAATTAAGTTGGGGAAAAACTGTTCAATTTTTAGATTTCCCTTAGCATCGACAACAATGGTGTGTTATTAATCATTATCTTTTGCTGAAGATCACATGCACTAGTCTGTCTTGTTGTTGGTACTTGTACTAACATTGTTGCACATCTAAACAGCTTCACTATCTTAACTTTGTCCAGTAACTGTTACCATCCACAGATTTCAGAGAGTAGTTTCAATCAGGGAAGCCATCAGTTTTTGGAAGCAAAGAAAAAGGTCATAGCTAGAGCAAGACTGGTGCAGACTGGTTCTATTCCATTGCTTGAACTGTCAAAACTGAAACCTTACATACTGAACACCAGATCTGAAGGTCAGTACGTTATTTTAATGTGTATATATGTATGGTATAATCTCTCTCTCTCTCTGTATATATATATATATATATATAGACATGGTATAACCTGTGAAATCTCACATGAAGAATAAATCCTGTTGGCGCTTTCTTCCATAGGCTATAGGGTGATTTTGTACAGGGAGAAGACTTGGACAAACTCTATTTGTGTAGTATTATATATATGTGTGTGTGTGTATATATATATACCCCTGCCTTCCAAAAATAAAAATAAATGTCCATATTTTTATTTTAGTTTATCCTAAAATAAGTGGTCATCTCCTCCTTGACCCTACTTTCCATTGGGATTTACCGGGTCCGTTTGGTTTTGTCCCAAAATAGGTGTCCACTTTCAAAAGTGTCTACCTTTCAATTCTACCCTTAATTATAAGATTGAGAAATTCATTACTCCCTCTATTATTAAGGGTAAAATGGTCATTTAGTTGATGAAAAAGTGTAATAGTTACACATCTCTAAAACTGTGCCTTTTTCATTGTGGATATTTATTTTGGGACAGAGGGAGTATGTGGATACCAGAATTTGTGGAATCCCATGCGGTGAGTAGTGCTCATGGAAGAGGTCCATGTAGGTCCCATACACGGAGATCATCTGTGGACACTATTGATCTTGTGGAATTTTGCAAATACTATTTTCCCTATTATATTTGTTTTAATGTGGTACTAAAGAGAAGGTACCAAAGGGTCAATGCCCAACGGTAACCGGGTTTCACTAGTAGATCTCAACCTCCTTGGAAGACAAGGGTTAAAGCCTCATTAAAGATGAGTGTGAGTGAGTTTTGCCATATATAAATATTATATACTTAAGAAATTAGGAGCGGATGGTGTTACTTATCAATAAATGGAGTTGGTCTTGTCAGTAATTTTTCTATAAAATTGCAGGTATATGGGACGTTCTGGTGGAAGTAGTAATGGCTTTGCAAGATGCTGAAGGAAGTATCAAACGACAATGGCTTGTGGATGCAGCAGAAATTAGCTGTGTGACTAGTTACCYTTCAACGGTAATTACATGTTTCCTTATCATGAGCAGTTTGATAGCACAAACAAAACCGAACCCCTTTTTAGGTTTGTTGGGTAAACCTTCCATCTCTCCTTTTGCCATTGACTGTTTTAGGTCACAAAGATAAAGACGTTATTCAGGAAATTTCTTGAGAGTGTAGATTTTAAGAGATCAAATCACTTTAAAAGTTGTATAGACATGAGAAAAATGAGTTTCAAATGGACATTTACCTTTTCTTGCTCTTGACGCTTGATATGGAGGCATTGGTTCTTTCCAATGGCATGATCTTGGATAGGAGTTCTTGGAAGCGGCAGATTAGGGTAGTTGATTGCAAGCAAGAATGCCGTTGGGTGGGAGTGGGTTGGGGCAAGGGTCGAGAGGGTCTTCAGAAAAGTTGCTGGTTTTTGTTGTTAGAAATAGGCAATTTTCTTCCATGTGTTTTTTAGCTTTGATAGGTTCTTTGCGTTTATTCTTTTTACATATATATATGGCCTATATTTGTGCAATATAGTAATTTTTCTTATTCTTTTTCGTAAGTTGGGGTTCTTTTCGGGTGCGTTTGGTACGCAGGCAGGACTCGACATGCGAGAGTGAGGTAGGCGGATGAGAGATTTGTGGAAGGTTTTAATTCGACTTAGGTAGCTTAGTAATTTACCAAGCTTGTCTCATATCCCTGATTTTTGTTCCACCTACTGTACTTGGGACATAAAAAATGCATTTTTATGTCTCATTCACTCCTTTCCAGTGCAGTCTAATTGTCGCATTCAACAATAATTTTTTGTTCTATCATGTTCTGTCTGCATAAGGCCCGGGATTTTCGGGCCTGGGCCTTCCAAGGCCGTTTTCAATGAGAAAAATAAGGCCCGGGTTTTTTAGGCCTGAACCGGGCTTTGGGGTTGAAACAGGGCCTGATCGGGCTTTTGCATGTCTGCCCCTAAATTTTCGGTAGGCCTGGGTTTCGGGTTTGGGCTTTTTTGTGCATCTTTGATCTCATGTACCAAAGACATCTTTTGGAAACAAACTCTGTCAGGACAAATGTAAGTTCTGTGTACATCTTATGCCTCATCCTTACCTCCGGGGAGGTATATACTGTGTTTGTGTGGTTTTGTTTGGTTTTTAGAGTATGTCATCTATTTTCTGAGCTGCATTTTCATTTGCAGGCTATGCAGTTTATGAGTTTGCTATGTGGTTGCTCGTCCAAGTATATGCCTTTTTTGATCGTTAACCCTCATACTATATTGAGTGACCTACCCGTAACCCTTAGTTCTCTACTGTTAGATGACGGTAACTGGGGTGTAGTGGCTGAACCGGTGGTTTCGCTCATGTGGACTTCAACCAACCGTATTCACGATTGGGTTACAAACAACGTGAACGGCTTTTCTAACCAACAGTTGTTTGATGAATCAGAGAGAGAAATCAATGTGTTTCTGTTGAAAGTGATGCATCATACTTGTGTTGCTTTGAAACACCATTTGCCTCCTGAAAAGCAGCTTTTGCTTGCCAATATGATTCTTCCCTAAAACTTGTGCTGCTGCTGGATCAAGGCTTCAGAGTAGAAAATTCTGTATCTATTCACTAATGAATGGTGGGGTAAGTTACGCCACTCTCTTTTAAATAGGCATCTATTCACTTTGAATGGTAGGGTAAGTTAAAAGTTTAAACCACTCGTTTTTAGATAGATAATGGGTAAATTTGCATTTTCTGAAGGCATTTTTGTTTGGTTCGTATTTTTTGTTATAATTTGATGGTCCACAATGCAAAATCTTATGTTTTATGACATTTCTTGAGTCAACAATTAACGCTTATTTAGACGTTAATACTTCTACCGTCCCAAAACATGTGTATTTAACCAGAAGGGTGATATCTGATTGGTTTGAGCTTGGGCTCCAAATATCAAAAGTGTCTAGAGGTCTCAGGTTCAAATCTAAGGAGAAATAAAAATCCCGTTGTGGTGAGGGAGGTTCAAATGCAGTGATTCTGGGCTACTCGCATAGCAGGTGGTCGCCCTGATTAGTCGGCTCGCATAGCGGGTTGGATATTCAGGTTAATACAAAAAAAATAAGTGTATTTTAAAATTTTAGTTTATCCCAAAATAAGTGTTTACTTTTCAAAAGTAATGTCTATCTTCCTATTCTACCCTTAATTATGGGATGGAGAGAATTTCTCTATATAACCAAAGGTAAACTTGTTATTTTGTTAATTAAAAAGTGTAATACTTCATCGTCTTAGAACTGTGTACAATTTTTTATCGTGGATATTTATTTTAGGATGGAAAAAGTAATAGTTTTTTGAAAATGTAGACCTTAAAATGTGGTTTTTTGAAAGTTTGTTGTAAATTGTTTAAAAGTATTATGTTATTTTTCATTTGGTTTATTTATAAAATAAGTAACAAATTATTGACAGCAACATTATATAAAGGGCTGTTTGGTAGTTGTTGAATGGTTTGGTGTAAAATGATTAAAAGGCTTTCATGATATAATGCAAAATGAAATATAATTGTTTGGTAATCGTTTAAATGAAATTAGGGTGTTGAATAGTTTAGGGAGACCCAAGATACAAAATCATTCAGAGAATTTTAGAACCATTAAGAGGTAAAGAAACAACCTTTTAAGTGTTATTTAGTTGAATGACATTCATGACCTATCGAAATATTTTTGGACATTTTTTTCTTATTGAAGTATATATATTTATACACGGTAGGCCTGGGTTTCGGGCATATAGTTTACAAGTCATTTGAATTTTACTTCTTAATACTTAAAAGTAGTATTGGTCCAAGGGATGAAAATAGAAATGAATTACAAACCATAAGGATCAAAACCAAAACTTTGAAATCGTAAGGATGAAATTTGCAATTTTTAACAAACAACAGGGAACGAGAACGTAATTTACACTTTCACTAGAAGAAGACCCTGGTTCAATGACCCTCGCGATTCTTACTAACATTTGCAGATAAACAGCTTCTCAGTGGTCAAAACCGGCATTTTATATGAAATTAGGGGTTGTTTAGCAAACATTTACTGGGTAAGATGCTACTTCAAGAGTCACCATCCTTGTCTACTTTAGCAGGTAACATTCCCAGCCATCAAAATAGATTATTGGTAAATGTCTCTTACCTGGTAAGTATTAACCGGATAAGAGTCTTCCTTCACTAGGCAAGATTCTCGATCTTATTATACCTCTTACCGGGTAAGATTCTCGGTCCTTGTCGTGAAGTGAGGGACACCCGGTAAGCGCAGTAAACGGCCTCTTAATCTTGGGTTCTTGGTTGCCATCAAGGAAGTTAGAACAGTAACAAGAGTTTGTATCGGGTCGAGTTTTCAGCCTCTTAAAAGAATGGCATTTATAATGAATGGAACACCAAAAAAACAAGTATTTCAGGTCATACTCTTTAAAAGAAACTCCTTGCATTGGCAGTAATCCATGACAAAAAGCTCATTTACCATTTCTTAATAAGCTGCAGCTAAATCCAAGTGCTCGTACGAGCTGCAGGTTGTAGCCACCTTGTAAAATCATGGTGTTTCTTCGACAATCAACTGAAAGATCAGAGTGAGAGAAATATAAAAAGGAGTAACTTATGATTTTCATTCCTCTTATCTAGAAATTGCGATTTTCATCCTTATGGTCTATAATTTATTGTTATTTTCGTATCTTAATTAGTTCATACTTTTAAGTATAAGGGACCAAAATAGTAAATAGTTGTAAACCATAGAGACAGAAATAACAATAAATTGTAACCCACAAGGACCGAAACAGCAATAAATTACAAACCATAAGAACGAAAATTGCAATTTCTAAACCACAAAAATGAAAAATGCAGATTTTTAACAAATCATAGTGACGGAAAATGTAATTTACTCTAAAGAACCAACGTTTGTACTCTACAGAACCAATACATTTGGTACACAGGCGAGACAATACAAAAAAGTTATGTTTGACACGATATTAGACTAGGACACAACCACCTCATAGATAGGTCTCAACGCACCACATAGGCTTGAATATCAAGACTTACTTTTTTTGATCTGATTTTGACATAAAATGATCCCCGTTGCTATATACAAACAAATTTATATCAAAATCAAGTTAATCATACATTAAAAATGTAAAAAGTAACTGTACATTTAGCATGTCCCTCAGCAGGCCTAAATAGGGCAAATACGTCCCTTTTTTGTCCCATCAAAATATATAGAACAAAATTCAAGGAAATAAAAGATAAAATTATCAAATTACTAAACAATCAAATCAGAACTCAACCCTAAAACCTTATTTACCCATCTACCTCGATCTCAACCGTCTAATCTAGTCCTGTCTACCTCAATCTCAACCTCAACCGTCTAATCCAGTCTTCATCTGCATACCAAACACATCCTCAATTTACATACAACAAACGACGAGACCTCTAAATACGCAGCATTTAAGTTTTATGAAAATAAAAATTAAAAGATAATTGAAGTTATTTAAAACGAATTTAACTTACAAATCCTAAGACCCAGAAAAATGACAACAAACTAAATCCAACAAATTATCCCAACAGGCAGTCTATCAAGAATTACCCTTTACAAACTGCGAGCACAAGAAAACAAGACAAAATTGAGCAATTGCTAATCCAACTGTAACTTATATATAGAAGAAAAGTTTTAAGTACTTGATTATACCATTTACCTCACTGTACACCGGCCATCGTCGATCGTTAACCGAACCCGAGTATAGACTTACTCGATTTTACTTCACCACAATCTCCCTTCCGTTTTTTTCAGATTCTCCGTTTCCGGAAGGCTCCTGGGGAGTCGTTTTAGAAGTTTCAACCACGGGTTTGGTAGAAGAATCATAACTCGCTTTAGAAGTTGGCGAAGGAGTTTCTCTACTGACATCTTTGTTGGAATTTAGCCATACAAATTGCAAGTTGTGACCTTTCCATGATTTACCGTTTATAAATGCCTTTTCAGCTGCGTGACGGGTTGTGAAATATATCCGAGCTGAAGCTTTGGATGTTTTCGGGAGGACGGCGTTGCCTTCGGTGGTGGGGTCCACGTCCTCTAATTGCACCTTTGAAAGGTCGCCATATGGTGAAAAGTGTTCCTTCAACACAGGAGCCTGCATAACCACAGCCATCAGATTTCACCACCACTCCACATGTTTAAAACAAAACCTTGAATACAAGAAATATGAAAAGAGCATTTCACGTGGCATAGTGACCCAAACCAAAGGTATCCAGACCTGTCCTCTACCCAAACCAAACAAACCCAGTATAGCTCACTCAGGATCCTAGGGGCGGGGCGCCTCGAGGGGGGGATGTACCCACACTTGCCCTCTACCCAAAAGCGAAGAGCGGTTTTTTCTGTTAGACCCCGGGCTTGTGCAAAAGTGTGAGCGGAAAAGAAAAAAGAGAACCAATATTTATACTCTCTCCATCCCAAGGTAGGGTCAGAGCGGTTGTTTTTGTCAGACCCGGAAGATAGGGTTTAAGAGGATAAGATATAGACATATACGCAGACCTTACCTCTGTCCCACAAGAAGCGGTTGTTTTTGTCAGAAGCGGTTGTTTTTGTCAGACTCGTTTGATTGGTTTGAGCTCGATAATATTCATATTCTTATTGTATGATATATGAGTAGCACGTATGGCTCGAAAAATTGGATGCTCGAATGACTCGACACGAAAATTTTCAATCTAGTTACTGAACGACCCGAGTCAAACATTGGTTTTATGAAGCTCAGCTTGTTGATTTCAACGAGTCTTATTTTTGTGTTCAAGATCAACTCGAGCTCAAGTAGCTCGCTAAAAGCTCGAATCGTTAACACCCCTACTCTAGCCTCCCATCACCTTACCACCAATAACATTCTTACTATGGGCAACAAGCCTAGTAGGGTCGACATTCCTATAGGTGTGGAACATATACTAGGGTCAACACTCCCCTCGCATAAATTCAAAGCACAACCCCAATTACTACCTGCATCCTCTCTCTATTACATCCATGCATCACACTCTCCCTCTTCCCGGATGATAAATATTGATGGCGCACATATATAGTCCACGGGATCACCAATCAACCAACATCTACTAGCATTCAATATCAGTTTATCGTTTTTTGCCACTCACTTTTAACAATATTTTTTGCAAATTTCCCTCGATATTTCAAACATCCACTAGGCTAACACACGACTACAAGTCTATTTGTCAAGCTTCTAAATGATTAGCCACAGTATACACTGTTATAACTGAAATGTCTAATGTCTACTGTCTACATTCCAAGTTCAAACATGGTTTTAAGCGGATGGAAGCACCCTAATAGGCTAATAATCATGTTCAAAGCAAGTAGGGAGCAATTCAGACCAATGAGTCAAACATCAATATACCCAACACAAAACAAAATTTTAGACAGAGATAAATCTCCATTGAATGTTGTCAAGTTGGAGCCTGTTAGAGTCCCACATCGGCTAGACTTGGACCATTTCTCCTTAAGGGCTCTTTTGGAGAATGATCTAGGGGTCTCACATGGTATCAAAGCCAATGTCTGCCACCCTAGGGACCCAACCCGACACACTGGCCAACCCCCTCTCGACACTTTTGGCAATCTGTGTCCATCTAGCCTCCTTTGAAGGGGCGTTTTTTAGTCCCGCATTGGCTAGACTTGGACTATTTCTCCTGCATCTATGTTCGAACCTCCCCTTTCTCCTCAAGGTCTCTTTTGAAGAGTGATCTAGGGGGTTCCACACATATTCTCACAGATCCCATTTATTCCAAGCAAAGGGGATTCATCCAAATGTCGATAAGTCTACATCTGGAACGTTCTCATACCAGCACAATGAGAACTTCACAAGTAGTACACTAGTACCAACCACCTTTTTTTATCACAAACAAACTACTCCCTCGATCCCATAATAAATATCACAACGAAAATGGGGCACAATTTAGGCATGTGTAATTAATACACTTTTTAATTAACTAAATGACAAATTTACCCTTTATAATAAAGGAAATAATGCATTTCACCATCTTACAGTTAAAGGAAGAATTGGAAAGTAGACACTTATTTTGGACAAACTATAAAAAATGTAGATATTTATATTGGGACGGAAAGAATAGCAATCAACTTACGTGTTTGGTAAGCTGACGAAAATTTGATTCTTGACAAAGTGCATAACTGCTTCGTTATCACAATACACTATCAAACAGACACGGAATCAGCAGTGCAGAACCCAATGTTGTACCAAAGTCAGTCATAAGTTGAACATGTAGCTCGAAACTAAGATTATGGTCTTTTCGAATGATAACCCACAATGGAATTGAGACACGGCCCAGACTTCTGGGGGGTGATGACCTGTGGCATCACTTGAGCAAGATCAAGGAGCAGAGTCCACAAGTAAATGGGGCGTAGAAGCTCGTATCGGTCGAGCAAAGACGAAAGTTGGTCATAGTGATCCGAGAGTCCACCAGAAAAACAAAGGAATGTCTTTATGACATTATATTTACCCCGAAACAAAGACATAATACATTCAGATCTCTTGTTGAAGGGACAAACTAGCAAAAGTATCATGTTCTACTACGAAGGGAAATACATGAATCAACTAGTTGCACTCATGTAGAAAGATCATCTTTGGCTACTAACTATCACCATGAGATAGTTCAATTTCTCAACTAGTCCTTCCAGAATCATCAAGAAACTCAGGATCATATGTGGAAAGATGGATATTTTCTATCGAAAAATATTCTACCTAAATGTCAAGCATACGAACCTGAGCCTAGATATCAAGATCATAGAAAACAAGAATATGCCTGTATCTCTTATTTTCTTGATTGACAAATAGAATTTTCAGAAGATAATCATCAATGACACTCCAATTTTTTGTCATAGAGGGCAGCCAAAAAATTTGCATAGTAAGAATAATGAAAGTTTAAAGGATGTTGTCATTAGCTATTTACGAAGATTGGAGAATAATTTATTGGACTGTAAGTTCCTGCACATGAGATGTGTTGTGCTCGCATTATTAATCTAGTTGTAAAAGGTGACTTAAATAAGCATGGCTGCTCTATTACAAATGTTCATGCAAATGATTAGATATGACACAATCACCAGCAAGGCTTGAAAAATTCAAAACTTGATGAGACACTACTTTTAAGGTCCTAGAGACGTCTCGGAAGTTGGAAAATACGGTAATTTTTTTGAGAAAAGTGATCGTACATATAAACAAGATATGGAAGGTACTTGTGCAGTTCAAGTTCATAACTAATGACAAGACATGAGAAACTTAGGGGCCGTTTGGTTTGATGGAATGGTTTTGAGGGATTTGGATTTCATAGAAGGATTTGGAAGTGGAGGGATTTGGATTTCGAAGGATTTGGAATCTTTGGTATGTTTGGTTTGTAAGATTTGGAATGGAATTGAATTCCATTTTTTATAAATAATTTATAAAAACAAATTATAAATAAAAAATAAAAATAATTAAATTACCTTTTTATTAGTTGATTATTACTAAACAAATGTTTTTAACATATTTTAAAACATTGTTACACACAAATCCTACGAAATCTCACGAAATACCAACAACCCCCACCGGATTTCTAAATCCCATATTTGTGGGATTTCAATTAAATCCTGGGATTTCAAATAAACAATCCTTCAAACCAAACATGAGATTGGAATGGAATTGAATTCCAAATCCCTCCAAATCCTATACAATCCTACAAACCAAACGGAACCTTAGCAACTATATTTGGAGATCTTTTGTCAATTAGCCTACTTATTTGTGATAAATAATTCAATATAATACTCGGTGCTTCCAAAAACGTGTATACATGGTAGCAAAGCCAACATACCTAGGTACAAACCCTGACCTCAACGAAAAAAGCATGGCAACCTTGTTGCCAAACTCCACCATTATGTGTCATAGCACCAAATAAAGTCGAGCCATATCGCTGCCAATTGAGCCCTACCATCATCACCAAGGTCCAATTTCTACTCACATCCTAGATATTTGTGGTGCTTTTGGTACCCTATAGATCACTGTCCGTGACTGGCACTACTTCTGATTGTTGCATGATTTTACACCAAGTAACATATTAAATCCTATTTCCTAGAGTTCTAACATTGATGCAAAGATTTTGCAAAAAGAGAGACCAGTGGCAAAAGTTCCACGGAAAACCGAATAAATTCTGATAAGTAAGAAAGGTAACATGAGTGATAACTTTCTGACGAGGCTACTTCAAGTGCACATGAAATTTATAGCATCAAACTAATTAAGTGTCTAGTGAACAAGCTCAACCTAGAGAAGTCCACCCCACCTCTTGATGGATGAGAGGTGAGGGGTTAGAGCCTGCAAAAATTAAATATACATTTATTCGTTGCGAAACAAGAATAACATAAATTGCAATGATGATCGTGCGAACACTCATGTGGCATTCTTGTGAGGTATACAGCCATCCTGTATGTATATGTGTGTGTGTTACTAGAAAAATCATATTACCATGCATTTTTCAACAATTTGGAAAAATAAAACGAAGGAACATGTGATGGAAGCTTACTTCAGCAAGACCATCTGGTAGAGGTGGGATGATCTTAAATGCAGTTGGGCGATTATCCAATTTGAATCGATTGGTGACAACAGTTGATCCAACATGTGCCATTGGAAGTAGTGATGATTTCAAGCTTGAAGATTCTTGAGGTTCTGAAGCAAGAGTTGTTCTGGAATTTTGCAGCCCAAAGGGATCGATAGATTTGCTGCTATTAGCTAAGACTTCATCTTGTGGTGATGGTAGAACGGTATGATGATCACTGGAACTAGGGGTTCCAGCCTTTGTAGAATCAGATAAAAACCCCAATTTCTGTTTTTTAGCAACCTGTTCGGGTGATACTTCACCTTTTAGACCTGTAGCCTGCAGAAAAGAGGAATCCCATGTAATTAACAAATTATAATATGGTTTATGAAATCTAGCACTTATACAAGTGGTTGGTTGAATCGGTTGTGGGACTCTGGAATGAGAGCCTAACAAGCAACATGAACAATACTTTTTCATGAGACGAAGATGACAACTCCATTAAATCAATTTTTTTAAGTCGATGTAAAGATACCAAAATGAAGGGATATGGGCATATACTTGTTTCTCAAGTTTATCCAGCTTGCGCCGGAAGTCATTCCTTTTCTGGTCAAGCATTTCTTGTTTTTTGCGTAGTTCCTCCTTTAAGACCTCTAAACTCTCCAGCTTCTTTTGCAAAGGTGGGGGTACTTTTGCACCATTAGCAACCACAGGCTTTGGTTGATCTGAAGCAGACACAGGGACAGGAGTATTGATGCCATTATGGGATGCCGATCGGGGGTCATCTTTTCTCTTGTAAGCAACAGAAATATATGGTGAGACTGTAGAAACCGTCTGTCCATGGGGAGGTAAGGACATGTTATGGCCACCAATTGTCTCCACATCCGGTATATTATCACGATTAGCCCACCATAGCTTAATAAAGCGATTACCCATTACAGCATCAGGTGCTAAAAGAGCAGCTTCTGCTTCTTCTCTTTTAGAGAACTGAACAAAAGCACGCTCACTATTTAAAGGAATATAAATATTGATAACCTCCCCAAATTTTCGAAAATGTGAAAGTAGGGACTCCCTTCTGTTATTCTGCTGAGGAATGCCATTGACAAATAATGTACGTTGTGCCTTTTGCGAAGGCCTACGGAGCATCCGTCCATTTCCACTCTGCATTTTCAGAGACGAATCTGAATTGTTCCGCTTCTGGTGATGAGGATCCTGGGCGCTATTTGGTGGAACCGGCGATCCCGTCATCTCACTGTGCATGAAATCGGAAGGACTTGCTTTTGAAACCATATCGTCTCTCATTTCTGTTCTTTTTTTTGTACTGCTGATTCTACCTCGTAAAGAACTTGTAGTCAGAGATCCTACGGCAGTCCCACCGATGCTTCCTGCAAGTTCATTATCAGACCCATCAGACAGACCAACCCGGTGATCACCAGATAGACCAGGATCCAACAAAGAATCACTTTTTCCAACATTTGGCTGACTTATAGACTGAGGCCTAGTTGATGCATGCGAATCATTTCCCCATAGAGGCTGATCAGGATCATAAAAATCAGCGGCAGCAGCAGAATCAGTGAAGGTACCACTTGCATCCAATCCATTGTTAACCATTTCACATTTGATATTTTTACCATGTGAACTTCTGCTGTTCGACAATGTACTCGTTGCGACACTAGTTGCAGGTGAAGGTCCTATCCCAAGTGGTGCTATTGATAGATTTGCACTCGCCAGTGATACGGGGAGATTGAACTGTGAGAGGCTCTGTAGGTAGAAATAAACATACGTAAGGTCAAAAATATGCCTGCTGAGTGTGAGATGATAAGCAGGGAAGCAGGAAGTAGGAAATCCCAAAGACCAATCTGCATACTAAAAGTTAAATGTGCATATCATGCAAAATTCATCGTTTAAAAGCCATCAGTTAGCAAGAAGGCTATTACCTGTTTGGTAAGAATTCTTCATTTGTTGATTCATGCAATTTACATGAAGAAACAGTCACGAGGATTTTGCAAAGATGATTTTGCAGGCAAAACTTAATGTAAAAAATACATATCTTCTATCTCAGCAAACAGTCATGAGTTCTCAAAGAGACCATAAGGACAGATACACGCATTAAAGTGGACTCTCTAAGAGTTGGTATTCCATATATTCCAATGTGTACTGCATAGGATATTTGCATCTATAATTTTGATACACATTGACCAAATTACTACCTCTATTCCATACAACCTATGCTGTTACTGCGGTCAAATTACAAAATATCGGTCAGGACCGATATTCGATATATCGATTATATCAGCGATATATCGATTATATCGGCAATATATCGGTGATATATCGGTCCAAAATAGCGGTTAATATAATATTTCTTAGAATTATATGCATCCATAAACATATCATATGCATTAATTAGAGTTTAGAAATATAGTTTCAAAATTAAAACATCACATAAATTGATAAGCAAGTCTCACAAAACAAAATAGGAAAAGCGTTCAAAAACGAGTTAATCGCAAGGAATAGGTTCGGCATCCGAGTCAACATCATCTAATACGTTCACTTCTTTGTTTAGGTTAGCTTCCCAATCTTCCCCTTCATCTCCAACATATGTGACCAAATAAAGAGCCCAAAAAAGTGAAAAACTAAGCCCAACATGTAATAAGAAAAGCCCAAACATTTGTCTTATAGAAAATCGGTATATCGGACCGATTTTTCCATCAATAAAAAAAGGTAAATATTGGCGATATTATCGGAACCGATATTCTGACCGATATTTCACCACCGAATTTCCCACCCGAGTCCGATATCCGATATATCGCGATTTTAACAGCATAGCATACAACGAGTCAGCACATCCTCATTAAATGTTCCCACATGAAGTGATGCCTTTCCTGCGTGAAAATGTCTTCCTATTTATTACTCCTTGCGTCCCAAATTAACTGTCACACAGTTCTAGGAATGTGTAATTATTACACTTTTTAATTAACAAAAGAATAATTCTAACCTTAATTATAGAGAGATGAATTTTCTCCATCTCATAATTAAGAGTAGAATGGAAAAGTAAACATTTACTTTTGAAAGTGGACACTTATTTTGGGACAAACTAAAATCGTAATGTAGACATTTATTTTGGGACGGAGGGAGTATTATGTACTAGCTAAAAAAATCATGCAAGTGAGAAAGCAAAAAGCTTGACAAAAAACTCCACCATCAAATAAAGCCTTAAAGAAATAAACGCCGCTTCCGTGAGGTTAGGTAAAATAAGAGAGCTGGAGGAAGGATAATTATGCACTCTCCTTTTCCATCTTTCATCTATCGCAATTATGTTTCCACATTCACAAAAATATGCTTATTCATAAAAATCATCTTTTGCCTCTCTTTTTTAAGTATATAATATTTATACACGGCAAATAAATTCACACACCCTCCTCGCCTTTGGTGAGGTTTGAACCCCCAATCAAAGGCCCTTTGGTAACATCACATACCGTTTATCCAATGTAAACCCACCTAAGCAGTAAAAATGTGTCCATGGATATGGATGCCCGATATGAGTACATCCGAGTTTGGAAAATACTGAAACAATGGCTATAAGGGTGCATTTTATACATGTAATATAACTACGTGGATTGTGTATGTGATATTCACATATATGATTATATGCTACGATAACATCAACGGTAAGACAAAAATATCCAAAAATAAAGTACAAAAATAAGAATCTAAGATGTTAAATGTCTTGATGAAAAGTTAAGCAGGGTGCATATAATTTATTCTCAAGACAGGCACAATTCTTGATGTAGTTGATTCCTGTAAACATATATATACCTCATGTCCTCATCAAATGGTCTTTCAGCAAATAGCTATTACCTGATTGCATCCGTAATCTATCTTATTAAAGAATTGTCTAACATAACAATGCAAGAAAACTGGATCTCCAAAATAGTAACAAGTAAAACTTGCATCTGCGGCATATTAAGGTATATAACATAACATACCTGAACATCTTCTACGACAATACGATTCACACCATGCTCCATTGGGCACATGTCGCCTCTTAGGCAAAAACCTTGTTCCTCAAAATCCCTACACCGTTGTCGTGAATGTCCCATGTTCAGAGGACTCATAGCTGGTCTGAATGTTCCTTGTAATCCAAGGGGATGGAGCATATCCAAACCACCATTTGGCATTCCTGGAACCAACCCAAATGCACTCCAGGATGGACCACAGGAGTTTGAAACAGTTGGCAAACCCCTCCCCGCAAAAAGACTATGAGGAACAGATCCTTGTTGAACTATGTGAGAAGCAATATCAATAGAGCTGAATCTAGGATCACGTTGATTCCAAAAACCAGAGTCCCTTCCTCTACCCCTAACTGCACCAGGGTCCCCAGAAAATGGTTGGTTTACCCTAATTTTCTGGTTCAAATCTAAAGGTCCTCGAGAAAATTGAGTAAACCCAGGGCGTTTTTGGTCAAATTTCGCAGATATATCTTTCTCCAGAGGATTAAAACTATACTTTTTCCATGTTTCATTGGACTGAGAACCAGTTTCCCCAAAAAGATGCCCATTTTGAAAAGGTTTACTTCCCCTTCTATATGGCTTTGTAAATACTTGTTCCATAGCATCATCCTCCAACGACTGAGACCTTGCATCCTCTCTTCTACGATGCTTATGGTTGCGATCATCATCATCCTCATCACTAATTTCTTTATCATCAGGATGACTTTTGTATACAGAAGGTGACATGCCTGGTTCTTGGGCTGAAACTCTAAGCTCCATTATATGCCTCTGAATAAGGATAGCCAAGAAGATTTTAAGAGCTTACGAGTTCCAAAATGTTCGTAGAAGAGACAATTAAACCACTGGAGCAACCTGAAATATATGTATCATCAAAAGAAGATGCTGCAAAAAGATATGAAGTTTAAGCACATGAAATCAAATCTTAGGTTAAAATTGGGTTTTTTTTAAATACCATCAATCGTATTATGAACAAACTTACTCGAATATCTGTCCTATATGCAAGAGAGATGCTACACCAAAGAGTTTTGATGAAGGCTTAGATTTTTTTTGTTCTTGTTTTATGTGGGTGAGTGTTCTGACATAAAAACCCAGGAAATAGAAAACTAAATGAAGGATGCAATTTGGCATATGGAAGGCTAGGCCATTGAAAAGAACATGCTGATGATGGTCATAAATGAAAATATCACTAAGCCAGTGAACATATATGCTTAGCTATAAACACAGAAATAGGGATCCACTTAATTGTTTAGTTTACTCAGAAATGGCAAATTGTAAGCTTAGATTTCCTAGGAACGATCATACAGCAAAGAATCTGGTTACAAGCATGCAACAAAAACATGATTGTTCACATGCTGAAAAATGAGATGTAAGCAGGCCTTGCCTAGTCCAAGATTCTAACTTCTAAATGACCAGGTGACTGCACAAATTCTTAGAACTTGGTTCACTTCTCAAATACTGTAAATATGACGGACAGAGCCGACAGAAATGTTGAAATAATTCCATTCAAAGTTCTAGAACCCGAGAGAAACATTGTTTCAACTACTGGTATACTGGTAGGTCTTCTAAACAGTAGGGCTTAGTACGAAGACTGAAAATGGGAACGAGCGGAGAGACTTCTTTGATCTTCTGGGAATAAGAGTTTAGTCAGGTAGAAATATCTAAATAGTCTTTATGAACCCCCACCAGGTACTTTAGTCCAACTCCTATAGTTTAATCAAACAACAATTAAACCTTCTGAAATTTACAAACACCCACCTCATTCACGTAATTGTTCTAATAAGGAGGTTCAAAGATGAAGAAAGTTGATGTCAAAGAAGGCTAGAGGTTGGCAAGAGTTGAGAGTACCGTTTCAACAAGTTACGATAATCCGTTATGCTAGTTGCAAGATCTAGAAAGCTGAGTTACTTATTAGTCCGTTCGCCAATAACTCCTTTTGCTTTCTCCATCATAAGTTATTCCAATGAAACCATTGAATTATTCTTGGCAAAATAAAGCAAGCCCGTATTAACGTTTGGTATCAGTATTCAGTAATGATGAGACATGTAAATGAATGGACATACCAAATAGGTAGCCTTGTACAGAAGAACATCCAAGAATCTTATTCATGTCAGCAAGTGCTAAAGGTTAGCTTTGATTTCTAATGGCTTTCATTTTTAGCCTACACCAACTAGTTTGAGAAAGACATGATATAGCATTTGGGTTTATCATTTTTTACTGCATTATGCTAAAACATATAATCGTATTATTTTACATATTTGAGTTTCATCTTTCGACTTTCAAGAAGTCTAAGAACCTTAGCCTGGAGGAAGTTAAGAGGGATGGAGAGAGCCAGCAGCTGCTTGTTTTCCAAAGAAAGATATACACTTCGACTTCCTATTAAACCTCTAGGGTTCAAACTATAAACCAATTGGCAAAGAGTAGTCTAACCTAGATCATGTATGTGATAACTAGTTCCAACACATCCCTTGATGTAGAGCCACCTCTGAGGCATACACATGGACATATAATTCCAGTGCACGGAATTTGTCTATGGGTCATTGGGCCAGCATGCATGGTCATCAATAGCGTGATTCACGTCACATATCTAGATCTCATTTTAGTGAATTGTGAATCATGAACTGTAACGAATGACAAGACTCACTTCAAGATTTCTCAAAAACAATTGTGGAAACATAAATCCAACAATGAAAGTATACCTGTGCATTAATTAATAAAAATAGGATCATGGGGCCCAAGTGGTAAGGCATCCACGAATCCAGTCTCACTTTAATCACTTATAAGTTTTTTGACTGATGTATCTGTCAAGCGGTCATCGTATTATTATTGCAGTAAGAAAATCAAACTTAATTCTTCTTTAGATTATTTTACATCATTGAAATGGGAAATGCCCTACCGTTGAGTGCGGTTTGAACTATTGATTTACGTAATTGGAAGTAACCAATTTAAAAGTACTGTGAATTTCTAAGGTTGATGGAAAAAAACAAAAAATATAAAAAAGGAAAAGAAAAGAAAAGAGAGTACACAAAGGCAACTTGATATCTGGGATCCTCAACGGGGTTAAAAGTAAAAGAGAATGGAAGATAACTCTCTTTCAAGAGGATTCACGGCATGTCAAGCCCTGGGAGTGAAAAAAGGTATGTCTGTTAAGTTCGGCCACTGCAGGCTGACAAGAGATGTTGGGAAACCCTCAATAGAGTCCCTACCACAAATATGGTGATGAATCTTGTTCCGACATTCTCGCTTCCGCTTTGTCCACTACCATCCAAAACTAGCTGTCACCCCACCAATAGTAGGAGATGTAAATAATACGAACTTCGCAATCTTAAAGAATTAGGCATATGATTCAATTCACCGATACAGTGCGATTATACAAGATTCTGTTTAATTATTGATTCAATAGGTTATAGTTCATTATACGAATTTTATAATTTTTTGACAACATATAATATTCTTGTGAATAAACCTATTTGAGTACCATATTGAACCTCAACTACCCTATCACAAGTTCACGACTACTAGGATGGGATGTGAGTTGTTGGTAATACATACTTCGCAATTATAAAGAATCACGCGGTTCTGCAGCGTCCTCCAACTYGCTGTCCGCTCCCCTTCACTTTCTTTGCTAGACGGGAAGATGCGAATCTTGAAGGCCTTCCCACCACGCGAAGTTCAAACCATATGATTTAATTCACCGATACAGAGCAATTTATACAAGATTCTGTTTAATTACTGATCCAATACGTTACATTTCATAATACGAATCTTATAATTTTGACAACATATAATATGCATGTGAATAAACCTATTACAATACCATATTGGACCTCAACTACCCTATCACAAGTTCACGACTACTAGGATGCGATGCCAGTTACTGGTACTATAAGGGATACATCTCAAAAGCCGATGAGCGGAGAGCGGAGTACCCATTATTTATATATACTCATCTTACGAATTATATTTCCCAATGCACGGTCAATGGTCTAGGCGCATTCTAGTTATAAAAGCTCAAGGTTCATAAACAAAAACTTTTGTTGAATTTAAGCAGGCTAGGAGATCAGGGAGGTTGATGTTAGAATTAATGTTTGACCTGTTTCAACATATGATTTGTAAAACCTCTCTAAAAAGAAGGCTTCCAAGCCCACAAGTGCAAAATGAACTGCAAGAATCAGTTTGAGCCACATAAGCTGCTCCAGCAGTCTTGTGGTCCGATAATCATGCACCTATAGAAGAAATATTAAAGACCTAGGATATATTTTACCATCTGCACAAGCCAGATTGTAAAAACACAACTTTTATGGTATGACTTGAAAATTTCTATTGTAGTTGCTCCTATATTCACTTATCCTAAATAGATTTCTTAACGCCCACTCAATGTTCAGATGCCAAAAGCCTAGTCATTAAACATCAAACGAGACTTCAAACCCCTGTGCTGATTATTTTCCCAAAGTTAAACATAAAATGGAGTACAGAGATTGCATGTCAAAAGAACTTGAAATTGAACTGCATAAGCGAACACGATTCCCATGCCCAACACTTCACAGACATCATACATCTCAGGCGAAAGCTATTGCAGAAAAAACTACAGAAAATCCAGTCCTAAGAGAGGTCGAATGATCACACACAAGAGAAAAAACTCTAAAACAAGTCAAATTTAAATAGGAACTCCGAAGACTTTGAAAACTTCAGATTATAAACCCTCAAACCTAAACCACAAACAAATAATATATCGAACTACAAAGTCTCACATACAGCAATTACGAACTAGCATTGAATTGGATCAAATCAATCGATCACATAGAGTTCAAAATCAATCAATGATTAAACATCATACCAAAATCACATAGAGATATAAAAAATTACGAGACGGCGTAAGAAAATAACCTCGGTCAATAGAATTCCGGTATTAGGGTTACGATTCTGCGTCTGTAAATATCATATGTATTTCATTCGAGCTCCCTCTTCGTCTCAAAAATGGCGGAGGGCACGTTTTACTTGTGTGTTTATGTGTATATATATGTATGTATCGCTTTCTCTCTCTTTCTAACCTCCCTTCTGCACTTTCTCTCCTTAGAGGACGCAGGAAAGGTTTTACAGAAGTAATGATGTGGAATGGATATGAAAATTATGCTGTGGGAAATTTACAAATCAAACCCTCGAACTTTCCAATAAATCCAAATTTGTACAGATTTTTATTTATTTTATACATGTAGCCCCTTAGACCATCTCAAAATATTCTTCAAAGCTTTCTCCAAAATGAAAAAAATATGGAAGAAACGAAATTTTCCAAATTTGAGTAAAAGGCTGTTTGACAATTATTGAATGGTTTGGTGCAAAATGATTAAGTGGTCATAATGATTAAGAGACTCTCATGATATAGTGCAAAATGAAATATAATTGTTTGGTAATTGTGTATAATGAAATTAGGGCTCTTAATGGTCAAGGAGATCAAAGATACAAAATCATTCAGAGGGTTTTAGAACCATTAAGAGGCAGTTTTTTTTTTTGCCAAACAAGATTCATCTCTTAACGATTCAGATGTTGCCTCTTAATATTTTTATTAAGAAACAGTCTCTATTGTTAAGAGATGAATCTTGTTTGGCAAAAAAATCTGCTTATAAATAGTACCAAAACCCTTTGAAGATTTTGTATCATATGTCTCTCTTAACCATTCAGCCCCCTAATTTTATTGTAAACAATTATATTTCATTTTGCATTGTATCATTGGAGCCTCTTAATCATTCTGGTCACTTAATCATTATACACCAAACCATTTAATAATTGTTAAACATGCCCTAACTCTTCACAGGTGATTGCTTAGGAAATATTTTTTTCCCTACCAATGAGAATTCTTGAAATTTAATTTTTTTTTAAATATTTTATTGATTGTCAAGGCTTTAAGCAATTAAGACCCGTACATAAATATTTCACACACACACACACACACATATATATATATATATATATAGCTAATAATCCCATAATTTGAATTACCTATATGTGCATATAGCCCAGAACGTGAGTGATTCACGTATACATATAGCCAAAACCCCATGTGTAATTAGAAAACAATAGATGTTTTAATACAATGAAGTATTCACATGTGCATGTAGTCCATAAAATTCGTATATGTGTTTGAAAAAGAACAATGATTTTTAATATGACAAATCATTCACATGTGCATACAACCTAGAAACCTCGCATGTGAATTATAAAATTAATTGAATATGGTCACTCATGCACTTGTGCATAAAACCTATAAAATAGAACAAATGATGTCACGTTGAATCATAAACCAGTAAACTCGTAAGTCGTATAAGAAAATATGGTCACTTATGCATATGTGTATATGAGCCTCATCGAGTAGGTAGAGATTTGCAGGCTTAATTGTCAACGATAGCCTATGTAGATACGAAAAAAAAAACTCGAGGGTTTATTTTCCCAAATCTTTGCTATCAATGTGAAGCATATGAAACGTTGTTATGAATATGGTAACGAATTACGTGAACATTTCTTTTGAGGTTTTAAATACTAAATTGATTGCGTAATTTGGAAATTCCCCAAAATTATGGAAATCTTATTAGGTTTAAATTCTCACCTGTGATTAAAATGTACGAAGACACGTTTTGATTTAAAAATAATATTATTTATGTTATCCATTTAATTAAAATTAATCAGTAGTTGCTAGGGTGTTTTTTGGTTTTCGTTTTTTGTAACTGTACTGTTGAAATTTATGAGTTATAATTTTTCTATCTAAATATTATATCGGATAAACTAGATTATTATCAGCCATTATGATTATCAGATATATTATCGTTATTTGTAGTTAATATTATTATGACTGTTATCATATACAAATCAAGATATAAATTTAAAAAAATATCATGAAAAATGTAAGTTTGTAATCTTTTATTATTTATAATCCAAAATCAAAAGCAGATTATGCGAACCGAAGAGATTTTAAAAATGGATGGAATTGGATCGTATTACATTATTGATACCAAAAATTATCTGATTTCAAAATTCTCGAATTTCAATTCCTCATATTTTATCATATTTAAAAACATGGGCAAAATTGCATGAAATAGTAACGTACTTTAATTTGATTCATATTATCGGTAACGTACTTTTAGAACTTCTATTTTTTGTACCTAAGATGTAAAATTTTAAACATTTAAGTACTCGGGTAACCGGTTGAAGCATTAACCGGTTATCATGCTGATGTGGTATATAACTCAATATTATTTGCTGACGTGGTTAGAGAAATGATTTTTTTTAATCTAAAATTAGTTTTTTTTTAATCTAAATTTAGTCTTCAATCAGTTACACGGATACTTAAATGTTTAAAACTTTACATTTTAGGTACCAAAAAATGGAAGTTCTGAAAGTACTTTACAAAAAATAGGAATCAAGTTAAAATACGTTATTACCTTACCGGATGCGTATGGTAAGAACCAAGATCTTACTCGGTAAAAACAAAGACAATGACCGCGAGCCTTACTCGGTAAGTGAGAGCAACAACTCTTACGATGCTTAGCGCTTACATGGTAAATTGTTACATACGATACTGTTCACAAAATTGACCATAAATCCATAATAGAGTAAATTATGTTTTTAGTCGCTATAGTTTATTAAGTTTAGAGATTTTCATCTTTGTAGTTTAAAAATTCCAGTTTTTGTCTTTATGACCTGTAATTCATTGTTGTTTTCGTTCTTATGATTTACAATTTGTTACTGTTTCAATCCTTATGGTTTACAAGTTTTACAGTTTTGGTCCCTTATATTATAAGGTAGGAATTAGTTTAGGAATGAAAAAAGCAATAAATTATAAATCAAGGGGACAAAAATTGCAGTTTCTAGACCACAGGGACGAAAATAATAATTATTACAAACCAAAGGGACAAAATCGCAATTTATTTCAAAGTGAATACCGGCAGGGATTAATACGTCCAAAATGAGCATAATTTAGGGACTTTACTTGTAATTTTCGAAAGCACAAGGACCAACTCCGTAATTCACTCTGGTTAGTTGTTCAGCCACAGTTCGATTATTTTCTGCCGGCACTTCCCAAACATACGCCGCTATACAAGTAACCGGCTTCAACGATTCTATGTGTTTTGAAGATGACTCGATGATGCACACAATCGCAGTAATTTGTTCTTAGCTGTGCTCTGTTTTTACAAAAGGATGGCGCAAACTATAGGATTTATTCGGCTAATTAGGGTTAGAACAACGACATCAATCGCATCAGTTCTTCCTCCTCCCAGAATTCCTCGTAAGACATTAGTTTCTGTTGTGTATACGTATAGTATGTTATTGAGCATTAAATTATAACGGATTTGAAGTTTTTTTTTTTGTTAATTTAATAGAATGATCAGCTGTTCTGTCTAATTGTTGCAGTTTCAGGAAAATTTGAACCGTTTAAGAGCTTGACGAGGGGTTTTGAATCACCAGCTGGACGATACACTCGTCCCTTGATCCTGGATTGGAAATTATGTGTGCGGAGATATTTTCATATGACGAAATCGTATAATTTAGGTCAGTTGGATTATTTATTTTATACGCATTGAATCGATATTGGCTAGAAGGTGATACGTGTTCATGGAGGTTCTGATCTGTGAAGTACTGAAGTTTAATTAGGTTAATTTTAATATAAATGAGTAAATGACACAACCTTTGTACTATATGCCGACATCTGATGCTTGTGCACTAGATTTTTTTTAACATCAGAATTGTTGTAATCTGTACTTCTGAATCATCTGTAGTAATCATATCTACTGGCCGGGAAAATGCTGTATATCACCAAGACACCAAGGCTAAATATTGTAGGAATTAGCAGTGCTATATAACCATCAGCATGTGTATTTGTAATATGATGTTTGTGAAGTAGACATTGCTTTATACACCAGTTATCTTTATAGATTCAACGTTTTAAACCTTGTAATTTCCAAATTCAAACTTCATATTGGACATATCATATAGAATCTTTCATTCTTATGATACTATATAGTATATGCATACTACAGCCCCAGGTGGTGAAGAGCCGACATCGAGGTGCCAAACCTTCCACCGTTTGTAGCACTCATAGCTATGTCCCTAACTCGAATTAGAGGCTTTCAATTAGACGAGTCAAATAGCAATGATTTGAAGCACTTCTCTTTCTGGAGAGTTCCTTAGAGAGAGTTGTGCTCTCGTGCTAGGGAAAGGTCCTCTCAGACAAAATTGTTTCAAGCACCAACAGAACCGGGACGGAGGAGGCGAGGTTACCCGAAAGATGGCACTGCGATAAGACCCCATACTTAGAGCTAACGTCATATAACCCAATTGTATAATTAATTTTCTACCAAATATGATCCAAATATCTTGTATATAATCAAGGGGAAATCACCAAAATGACCATTATGCGTATATGTAATTAATAAAATGACCATTTTTTCACGTGTTTGTCAAAATGATCGGTACTTTTGCTAAAGTATTTCGCCAGTTTGGAGGATTGCTTACATTGGTCTCACTTGTCATAAAAGAATAAAGATTCCTCCATGCATTTAGCCAATTTAGGAGGTTTTTGGTGAATTTGGAAAATTTGACCTCTTCTTGACTTTTAATGACAAGTGGACCAATGTAAGGAATTCGCCAACCTAACGAAATCTGTGGTCATTTTGGCAAATACGTGAAAAAGTGGTCATTTTGTTAATCACGTTATGTTTACATGTCATTTTGGTGATTTCCCCTATACTTGATCGTGGGTACGAGTCTTTTCTAAAACATCATTGTCAAATTTGAAGTTAAAAATACCTTATTTCACCTTCACAAGTCAAACGCAACTCTTCATTCAGAACAGATGTAGTACAGCTTAATGACACTGTTATCTTAAAACTCAAGAGCAGAGACCTCCACAACTGAGTTAAATTTCCTTGATATGGATATGTCCCAACTTTATATAACATCATGCTGGAGCTGATTGTTGACTTGTTCGAGAGAAGCAAGGATGTGATGACTCTAATTTGATTGCAAGGTCATCTAGTTGATGCTTGTAGTTGTTAAGTTACTTGGTTATTGGAGCTTGCTGTTCTTTTTGCAAGAATTGTCTGACAGAATGTAGGATTCTGCTGTTATGTGATCTCAAGGCTGGAAGTGGTTGCTGATGCTTTTTGATGAGCAACTATTTACACGTGCAGTAGAGACTAGAACCTGTTATTTTATTAATTGTTTAGTTTACGGTGTGTATTAGGGCCGTTCATATCTTTTTGGAGGACCCATTACTTGTACCAAGATTATTGATCCACTGAAAGAGTAATAAATAGAAAAAGATATGAAAGTTCATACCACGTACTATATTAAAAGTCCTACAAATTAAAACAAAACTGTCTTAAAGTGACTAAGGAGCCGTTTACCCAAACACTTACCCGGTAAATTCAACACTATCACTTACTTACCGAGTAAGATTTTAGTCCAAAAAATGGCATCATATGCAACAATTTACCATGTAAGTGCTAACAGTGGTAAGAGTCATCGCCCTCACTTACTGGGTAAGACTCTCGGTCCTTGCCTTCGCTCTTACCAGGTAAGATTTTTGGTCCTACCATATTCATTCGGTAAGGTAATGTGACTTGGTAAACGCTTACCCGAGTAAGCATTTGGTAAATGGCTCCTAAATAACATATGAAGTTCACTTAAATATAATCATTCTTCCAACATTCTTTGAAAGCGGGAATCAATAATCGTCAAAGAGGCTAAAACTAAAACATTATAATTCGACCCCAAAACTTTGGGGGCACTGTTCTATATCGCACATTGAAACACCCTCAGGCACGGCCATGGTGTGTCTAGATGATAATATCCTTCATATTTGATTATAAACCTTTAGCATCAGTTTACCGTGTTCCCTACTGGGTTTGTTTGCTTTGGTTTGTTTTAGCATCAGTTCACCCTGCTGTCTGGGTTTCAAACTTTTTCTTGCTAAATATGATGTTGGCCTAAGCTTCTCATATTTATGAATTGAATGTTAGTTTTGGTGGAATTGAAGGTTGATCTGTTCTAACTGGCTGCTACATATATGGGATAATCAGGACATGAATTTAGCATGGGAAGACTATTAGGTGTATCAGCTGTACTAGGATCTTTCCTCCTTCGGCCACGCTTTGCACATTGTATGGATGGTAAGTAAGGATGCTTCATGAATTCTAACCATTTGCCTGTTACTTAGTTCTATGAATTTAGCAGATCTGAATGGGTTTATACTTCTAAAACTATGATATTTGATGTTGAAGGCTATGCCAGTTCAGCAGATGATCATAGCATGGGAATGTTGGGTAAATCAGAGACTGATGATAATCCACACAGTTTCATGATTTTTGCCAAGAAGCTGATGGTGCCTATTGCTCTCCTCTTAATTGTGTGGATGAACTGGAACTATCCTGTTGTTCTTGGAGTTAAAGTGATACTCACTCTTCTCAGCACAAAGCCAAGCCCTTTCTCGGTTTACGTATTCATCGAACAGGTCAGGATGGATCACAACTTAATCTGTTGCATACTTGAGTTATTGCATGAAAGGCTGCATTTGAAATGTAATTGAATAAGAATTTTGAAAGCATCTATGTTACCGCAAATTTGGGTATTTGGCACACTTTCATATCCAATGGGTAACTCTGAATATGTCCTGTGATTCTTAATAATAATGACTGCTTGTCGGTTCAGTCCAATATAAGTTTCATGACTGTAAAAGTTGTGTTGAAAAACACAAATTCATATCGATATCCATTTATTCATTAGACGAAGGATCGTGTGAGAATAGGAGTTAAGGAGAAAAGTGTAAGAAGGGATTTGAACCCTTATCACTTTTAATCCCAAAACAATCCATGACTTGCGCTTTAGAAGGGAATTCATCTAGTGTATCTCATCAGTGTTGATCTAATGGTTTTCTTCAATTAGGATTGATACAAGGGTGGAGATCCCTTCTTACCCTTCTCAGCATAACTTTCATTCCCACCGGAACACAGCCCTTAGTTAATAATGTTGACGAAGGTCAGTTTGCCCAACATAAGCTAGCTTATGAGCTATGTTTGGTAATTTTTCAACATGTCTTTTTAGGTCATTTTACATTTGTCATCCAACTTATTAGCTAGTTTTTACCAAATGTGACTACTTTATCAGCTAACTTTTCAGCCAACAACTAGCTTATCAGTTAGTTTGCCAAACATACCCTAAGAAACGCTAGTGAGTCATGCATTCTTTGGTATCAGATCAATAGTTTGCTTGTGCCGATATATATGTGATGTTACTTTAACTTTTTCTTCTCTCTCAATATTTCAGTTGCAGCAACAATACAGAGGCCAGCATCCCTTCTTACACAAATTCAAGGTCGGTGTTTCTGTACTTGCTACTCTTCGGATTAAATAGAATATAACCGAAAACATATGTTTCTGCATCGGGGTAATTACAAAGATGACCATTTGACATGGGACCTACCATAAAATGACCTCATTTTTCGAAACTTTTACGAAATGACCACACATTTCACAAATCAACTTCGCGCAATCCACCTTAATTCCGTGAAATCCATTTATTCACCATATTTTCAGCAAATCCACTGATAATTTGATAAGTATTTTTTAGTGAGTCATCATTGATAATGGATTTCACGAAATTGTTTTGTGAAATGCATGGTCATTTCATTTAATTTTCGAAAAATGGGGTCATTTTGTGGTAGGTTCCATGTCAAATGGGCCATTTTTGCTATTATCCCTTCCGCATCTTCATGTTCTTTTAAGTATATAATATTTATTTACGGAAAATACACACACTTCTCACCTTTTGCCTTGTGTTGAGGTTTGAACCTTAGACCTCCAGGGTCCCTACCACAAAATGAGCCCAAAAGCATTCGGTTATTGGCCTAGACCGAATAACCTGTATTTTCAGCAAACCCTAGACCTCAAGGGAACCCGAAAACGAACCGTTTAACCCGAATAACCCGAAACCGTTAATACCCAAATCTCATTCGATCCGGGTGGGTTATTTGGTTTCGGTTATATTTGACACCCCTATCCAGGGAGGCTATGATTTACCAAATACCCGGATGCCATTAGGCCACTAACCCTTTGGTTGCATCTACTAATTGCCTGTAAATACTGCACTTACATCCCTCTTGGGTTGCACCATCAATCTACTATCTGTCAGCTACCAAGTTTATATATAATCCGTTTTCCGATATATACATATATAGATAATCGTGTGAGAATAGGAGTTAAGGTGAGAAGAGTGATAAGGGAACTGGACCCTTGGATCACTTTAATCTCGCCCCCACCCCCACCCCCACCCCATAAATTGCACTTCTCATGGGAATTCATCTGGTGCATCTCATTAGAGTTGATTTTCAATCAGGATTGATCCAATGGGTGGAGATTCCTTCTTACCCTTCTCACTGGACCCAGCTCTCTCTCTCTCTCTCTATATATATATATATATATATATATATATCAGTGCTAAGGCCATCAATCCGCTTTCCTAATGTGTCAATCATTATACAGTCTTCATATGCAAAAAAGGTCGAAGTAGAGGATTACACAGTCTTCTGCATAGCTAAGATCGAAATGGGAGATCAGAAGTACACCCTTCTTGGAATTCTGGGTGGCTGGTGGGTTTTCGAACTGACTTCTTTGCGGAGTGCCCTTTCTGGATTTAGGAGCAGAACTCTAGAAATACTAGAAACTGCTGTAAGTAGTGATGTTTAGCGATTATCTTGTTATTATTAAGAACTTTCTATTTCTTTGCTAATCTCGACTTAATTTAGTGTTCAGATACTATGTGCATTATGGTATTGATAAATCTAGATCTAGATTGTTTGCCCCCTTTTTACATATATGGAATCACGCTAAACAGGTTAAAGCGCGTTCCGGGTGAGCGCCGGCTGAAAGTAGTTGTTTACCAAGTGTTATGTTACCAATAAAATATCGTTATCATCTTGTGTCGACCCTGTAAGTGAATTAATAATGCTGAACAGGTAGGTGCTTAGTCAACACCATCACTCAGGGACCATTTGCCAAACACTTACTTGGTAAGCGCTTACCAAATCGGGTAAACATGGCAAGAACCGAAAATCTTATCCGGTAAGAGCAATAGCAAGGACCGAGAGTCTTACCCGGTTAGCGCTTATTGGGTTAATTGCCGTTTTTATGGACTAAAATCTTTTCTTACCCGTGATAGTGTCGAATCTTACACGTAAACACTTACCGGGTAAGTGCTTGGGTAAACGGCTCCTAATAAAATCTTAAATTAATTAGGTGATGCTGACCAAATCAACAACAGGTCAGCACTAGCCACTAGGTAGCATTTTCACCAAAACAATATATCTATTCTTTGAAATAGATGTAAGATCAACATACATTTTACCCTTTTCAAACCTTATTGATTTATATAAGATTTTTTTTTTTTTTTGCTTTGGCATGTAAATATAGAATGGTAGCATCTTCAGTTCTTCATAAAGCCAGTATGTCTATTTTTGAAATAGACGTAAAATCTGTATACATTTTATCTTTTTCAGATCTTATTTACTTATATAAGATTTATTGATTATTTTTGTTTGATTTTGTAAAGAGATAAATGTATAATGATAGCATCTTTCAAAGTGGATCTTTAATGCTACAAGCTAAAATTTGAATGGAGCTAATGATAAAAGAATTGACCAACAAGTATTCTTTACACATTGCCTTTCAAAGAATACTTGAGGGTAAAGAATACTTGAGTATCAAATCTTTTATCAATTAATCATTACCCTTTTTCATAGAAAAATTGATTATAATGGTGAATTTAATCAACTAAATTCATTTGTTAGCCTTTACGATCGATGTTTTATGTATTTATATAAAGATTGATTATTAAAATGAAAAAGAAAATCTTTGCACATATGTGTAAGGATTTTTACGCATAGGCATGGCAACGGGGTGGGGAAGATTTTTTTTGGGGGGGGGGGGGTTAGTAACAGTCCCCGGCCCCGGCCTCGGTTTTTAGTAACAGCCTTGTGGCCCGGGCCCCAGCGGGTATGGGGATTAACATCTCATTCCCGGTCAAACCCTATGAAAAATATCCATTAGTTTGAGTCTATCGGGGATCCTCGGGACCCGTTTTAGCAAGGAAACCCCATTCGGGTCAGATGAATCATGTTCCCTACTGGGTCGGGGCAAATCACCATCCTTACTTACGTAGAAATCTAAATTATTACACAAGGATTTTTATGCAAAAATCTGAATTCTTACGTAAAATTTTGAATCCTTGCAAAAATTTGAATTTTTACGCAAAAAAATCCTTTTTGAATATGAAAATAGAGTTCATGCAAATGCGTAAGACGTTTACGTAAACTCTGAATGAAATGAGAATTTAATTGAAAGAAGTGGCTAAAAAGTGAGGTTGGTTAAAAAGATTGACTATTTTGATCAATTCCCCTTTTTACAACCCACCTGATTAAACATTTTAAATATATAATGGTAGCATAGTTAACGTTTTTGTTATTTAATTTTTCTTTAATATCTTGTTTGTATTAACATACTATATTATTAAGGATTTATTTTAATTATGTAATAAAATGTTACAATTGACTAATTTTTCAAGATATATTTTTTAGTTATGTTATATTTTTCATCTATCTTATCAACTAGTTTTTATCAAACGTGATTTTTCATCAGCTAGTTTGCCAAACATAGTCATTTTAACTGAAAATTGACCAATATAAGCCAATTTCTCCAACCAAATTCATTTTTAGCCATTTTTTCAATCAAATTCCTATTTTATGTAGAGTTTACACAAATGTCTTAACGTATTTGCGTAAAACTTATATTCAGTGGTTGTTTGTTTATTTCTTAATAGTTTCATTAAAAGGCAACATCTGAAACTTTAAGAGGTTAATCTTGTTTGACAATTTTTTTTTTGCTTCTTAATGGTTCAAAAAACTCTGAATGATTTCATGAGTCTACCTTAAACATTCAGCGTCCTAATTTTATTTTGCACTATATCATGAGGGCCTTTTAATCATTCTGACCACTTAATCATTCTGTACTAAAACATTAACAACAGAGAAACAACCATTAAAAGTAAAATTGGTTAAGAAGATTAGCGATTTTGTTGAATTTTCCCTTTTTAAAAACCGAAAAAAGACAACCACCCAACATTGGCGGCAAACCGAGAATTGATTTCTGGAATTAATTTAAAAAGGTGACGTGGGCGGTGAAGTTGATAACATACCATTTGAAATTTGATCGATAGTGACCCAAACCAAATATTTATTTTGATAGACCATTTTACCCTTTCAATTTAAATATAATTTTTAAACATGTCGTATTCTGATTTTTTTTTATTAAATATGATTTTTATTAGTTTATTTAAGAAAAAAACCAAAAAAGTTATAACCATTGAAGACACATTTTATTGTCCCCCATGTATAATACTTGGACCCTGGGTTTTTCTGTTGTTTAAGAATTATTATTTTAAATATTTAATTAAGAGCAAACTGTATTAAAAAGTAACGTATTTTAACTTAATTTTTATTTTGGGTAACGTATTTTTAAAACTTTCATTTTGATACCCAAGATGTAAAGTTTTAAACATTTAAGTGTCCGGGTAACCGGTTGAAGCATTAACCGGTTATCATGCTGATGTGGCAAGTGATGTGGTGTCTAACTCAGTATTATTTGCTGACGTGGTTAGTGACATGAAATTTTTTTGATCTAAAATTAGTCTCAACTGGTTACTCGAATACTTAAATGTTTAAAACTTTACATCTTAGTTACTAAAATGGAAGTTCTGAAAGAACGTTAGCCAAAATAGAGAATCAAGTTAAAGTACGTTGTTTTTTTTCCATACAATTTGCTCTCTAAATAGCTATAATTCTTACGTGGATTAGATTTTGACTAATTTATCTCTCTCTCTCTCTCTCTCTCTCTCTCTATATATATATATATATATATATATATATATATATATTTTTTTTTTTAAATTAGGTCTTGATTGCGGACGAGGATCAGGCTTTGACCAGAAAATAAACCAAGGACGGGATGTTAATCAGGCCAGGGGCTGTTACTAAAAAACGGGGCGGGGGCCAGGGATTACAAAACCGCTCCATCCTCGCCTCATTGCCATGCTTACGTCATAACTTTCATTCTTACCGTTAGATTTTTAGTTATGAAGTGAATACTGATATTAAACAAGACAGTATAACTTAGAAGAGAAAGACATGGTTGCATATATATATATCAAAAGGGATATGATAATAAATAAAGTGGTCCATGATACATAGATGACATGCCAACTCAATTAATTAATTAATGCAATTAATTGCCTTTTTTTTTCTCATTTCATATCAATCATTTTCCCTCAACCAACAAAATTTGTATTGATTTTGGATCATTTGAGAACATTTGTAAGGAATCTTAATATTTATATCAATTTTAAATTGTTTTTTTTTTCTTCTTCTAAATATTAATTTAACAAAAGGGTATATTAGTCTTTTTATGTTAGAAAATCGGTTACACGGTCACATGTGATTTGTTACAAGTTAAATTCTGGTGTATAAATAAGGTATTGATCTTGTACTGTTTTTCTTTATTCAATGAAATCAGAATAAAACTACTGATTAATATACTAATTAATAGTAGTTAAACCACAAGGGTGGTGAATGACTGGTTTGAGCTTAAACCCTAAAGGTTAAAAGTGTCTCGAAGTCTCAGGTTCAAAGCGAAAGAGAAATAAAATTTATCTTGTGGCCACGGAGGTTTAAATGTGGTGACTCCGGGCTATCCGGAAAGCAGATGGTCGACCTATGATTAGTTGCTCGCATAGCAGGTTGGGTATACAGGTTAATAAAAAAAATTAATAGTTATCGTAAGATAATCATACCATTGCAATTGATCGAGTTCTCCTCATAAAAATATCAGATATCTATTAAATTTTTGTATGATAAGGGTAACTTCAATCATTCCTCCATAATTTGTTCAAAATAAAGAAAAAACAGTTAAAAAAAACCTCAAAAAATTACTTTCCACTCTAACAACTTCTTCATCTTCAAGATTACAACGATAACCACAAGGGTGGTGTTCAATTGGTTTAAGCGTGGACTCTAGATCAAAAGTAATTGGAGGTATCAGGTTCGAATCAAATGAGGAATAAAAATTCCCTTGTGGCAATGGATGTTCAATTTTTCTTATTACAACAATGTACTATAAAAATTTTACTCGTTATAGCATTGAGTAACCTTTTAAATTAAATTTACTCATTATAATAGGTTTCTTTGTCACCTTATCGTCCATGGAGGCTGTCTATATGTACGATAATGCTGACATGCCATTTCTTATTACAACATTGTACTTTCAAAATTACTTTATTATAACATCACCAATTTCTATTACAGTATTGTATTTTTAATTTTAATATTTTCTTATCATTTAATACATTGTAAATTCAATCAAATATGTTTATTAAAAATTATAATATAAAAAATTAAACATGTTTATAAAAAATCACTATTTCATAAATATTCATAAAAAACAATGTTTAAATTGTACACATGTTAATTTCTGATATTATAATTTTTATGAATATTTTTATTAAAAATATTATATTCAGCATTTTATTAAAATTTCAGGTCAATAAAATGATAAATTTATGATAATTAATTTAGAATAATATAGTCACGGGAGACTCTCGTTTGACTCTAATTACTTCACAATATCTGTCCTGATTTAAAAAACAATAATATTAAAAAAAATCTATTTTATTATTATTATTATTATTATTATTAATTTAGAATATTTTCTGTAAGTAATAATCACACCAATATCTATACTATACTAGAAGGGTACTCGCGCAATGCAGCGAGTTATATTTCGATTTTAATGTTCTATTCTATTTTTTGTCTCTATTGATGTTATAATACGTTTTTATGTGTTTTCACGAAAGTAAAATGATTTTATTTTTGAATGAAAATATCATAAAAGTTTGAAAAAAATATATATATCAATGTTAATATCAAATCAACTATTTAAAAGTTCACATTTTTAATGTAATTTCTTTAATTTATTTTTTTAATTATAATTTAATTTAAGTTTAATAATGAAATAATTTATTTTTGGTTTAATAATATAATATTTTACAGAGATAACAATTAAGTATTTTGTTAGAACTCAATGATTATCCTAATTATATTTTAGATTTTTAATGTTTAAAATGAGATGTTTATCCTGTATTTGATTATGTTTATCTGCAGTTAGTTATACGAATTCAGATATAGAGTTTTAATAAATTATACTTACGCACAATCTACTTGTAATATTGAGTTTTAAGTAACATGCATTAATAAACAGTACTTTATGCATAAAAATGGTTTTTAAGAGTTTTTGTCAAATGCTTTATAATATAGTATTACTAACTGCAGATAAACATAATCAAATAGAGGATAAACATCTTATTTTAAAATATAAAAAAACTAAAATATAATTAGGTAATTATTGAGTTCTAATAAAATAATTAATTATTATTTTTATTAAAAAATTAYATTATAAAACCAAATATAAATTACTTCGTTATTAAACATAAATTAAATTATAATAWAAAAATTAAATTAAAAGATTACACAAAAAAGGATAAATTTTAAATAGTTAATTTCATACTGATATCGATATATTTTTATCAAATTTTTATGATAATTTCAATTTATATTTTATTCAAAAATAAAAACATTATCGTTTTTTCAAAATTGAGATAAATAATAAAACAAAATATTAAAATCAAGATGTATTTCATCATATTACACAGTTACCATTCTAGTTTGCCTATAAGCCTTTTGTTTGTTTGCATAAAGAAAACCGATTACAATTCCAAAAAAACATACCAAAACTTTTTAATTGCTTAATTTCTGAATAAAATTCGCAAAACTATCCTTAAAAATTAAATTATAATACTAAATATTTCCAAAAAAATTAGAGAAAAATTGTGAACCTAAACTTTGCTGTAAAATATGCACAAATTCCTCCCAAAACCCTGCCCAACATTTACCATTTTCAGTTCAAACCATGGCCTAAACAAACCCGAATCCTGTGGATCGACGAAACACGCTAACTTGAGCTCGTTTCATTGATTCTTAACGGCCACTCCGAGCTCGGAGTCGTGGAAGAACGTGACGTGGTGGTATACGATATCCCCATCTTGGTCATTGGGCTAGATGTCGAGGAGCTGCTTAGCCCTTGAGACACGAGGGCCCGTGCGTTTAAAAACGGCGGTTGATGTGGGACCGGGATTTCTCGATCTTCGCCTTTTGTAGTCAAGTACTCGATCACCTCCGTCATTGATGGCCGTAAAGTTGCCGATGCTTGTGTGCATAAAAGCCCGATTTGCAGCACTTCTAATGCTTCGTGTTCTGGGAAATTGCCATCGAGCAACGGATCGATTGCTTCGGCAACGACGCCTTCTTTGTATAGCTTCCAAACCTGTATAGAACAAAGGTGGTAAACACGATGCATTATAGCTTAGGGTGTGCAGAAAGTCATTTGATCCAATTAGATCCAATAGACCCTAATTCGATAGTTAATCATAATTAGATCGGATTTGATCCAAAAATTTCAACATCAACCACAAGGATCGTGCCTGATTGGTTTGAGCTTGGCTCCAAAGGTCAAAAGTACCAGGAGGTCCTAGGTTCAAAGCCAAAGAGAAATAAAAATCCCCTGTGACCACGGAGGTTCAAATGCGGTGACTTTAGGCTATCTGCAAAGCAGGTGATCGCCCTGGGATTAGTCGGCTCGCATAGCGGGTCGGATATCCAGGTTAATAAAAAAAATCAACATCCATATTAGATCAGTTGGTCCAATCCAACCATATTGGATTGGTTTGTTCGGTGTTAATTGAATTGGATCAACCGACAACATTGATCATTTGATGGATGATTGGATAGGATCGGATCCACCAAAATCCGTCGTGTTTCAACCTTTGAACACCCTTATTCCTGCTTGTCCCGTTCAAAGATGAACAAAGAGATTAGAAAAATGTACGGGTGTCGAGCTTACCGTTTGTAAAAGCGAACCCGCGTCTTCTATGAAGGCGTTATTTCTTTTGCCACATGCGATTTCGAGAACCACGACTCCAAAACTAAAAACATCAGCCTTTTCCGTAAGTTGTCCACGGACTATGTATTCCGGTGCCATATACCCTCTGAAATGATGCAAAAAATAGCGAATTATTTTCTTTCCGAACCATCGTGCTACCAAAAAAAGGGTATTTTTTCGGACGCTTGCTTAAAAACAATGGTTTGCAACAAAAAACTACAAATCATGAACCGAAAATGAATGGGTAATGAGGAATTTTCAAACAAAAATCACACGTAACGAGCCCAATATTTCCCGAATGAGAATCGTTTTGATGATTCTTATTCGTATTTTGGGATGTAGGCAGATCTGTCCTTTGCTTAAACAGATATTTTCAAACCAAGACGCGTGAAATCGAGATATTTGCTTACAAGGTTCCAGCAATGCCGGTGGTGAGATGACTCCGATCGGCCCCAAAAGTCCTCACGAGGCCGAAATCCGCGATCTTTGGAGAAAAATCTTCGTCTAGAAGAATATTGCTGCTCTTGATGTCTCTATGGATGATTCTTACATGACACCCTCCATGAAGGTAAGCCAGACCTTCTGCTGTTCCAAGAATCACCCCCATCCTCTGCTTCCAGCTCAGAATCTGTGTTCTATCGTTTTCTGCAACCGTTAAAACGATTTCCGTCATATCAAAAATCGCAACATGTCTCTCCGTCAATCGGTCCCAAAAACCCATTTATGATAGATTCATCGATATATAATGGGTAACTAAAAGTTTGGACGCTGACACGATAGGATTGAATCGGACAGGACAGGACAGGACAGAACTGGAGAGAGTGAGGTAGGCGCGTGAAGAACTTCACCAAGGTTTTAGGGTTTTAATTTGACAAGGGTATTTTGGTAATTTACCAATCTTATATCATTATCCATCATTTTGTACCACCTATTTTGGTTGGACAGAAAAACTGCATTTTTGTCCCACTCCGATCCTGTCTTGTCCCAGTCTACTGTCGCATCAAAAGTGAAACAAGTTTTATCTCCAAAATCGAATAATTCCTCCGTCCCAAAATAAATGTCTACATTTCTATTTTAGTTTGCTCCCAATTAAGTCTCTATTTCAAAAAAGGGTATTTTTTTCCAGTTCTACCCTTTATAAACTCGTTACTCCTTCTATTATCAAGGGTAAAATAGTCATTTAATTAATAAAAAAAAAGAGTAATAAATACACATTTCTAAATCTATATGTTTTTTTTCATTGTGCACATTTATTTTGAGAGAGAGAGAACTATTAAAGTAGGTAAGAGGAGGAAACAAAAATTACCGAAAAGAAAACGATCGAGGCTCTTGTTTGGAACGAACTCATAGACTAAAAGACTTTCGGGCCCTTCGATACTGCAAGCCAAAAGCTTGACGAGATTTTTATGTTCGATTGCACTAATCAAGTTGACCTCGTTAAAAAAATCATCGACCCATTGTCTCGTGGTGAAAAACAATCGTTTTACAGCAACAACATCTCCGTTAGGAAGCGTCCCTTTGTAGACCGAACCCGCTCCTCCTTGGCCTAATTTATTAGAGACATCAAAGTAGTTTGTTGCTTTCTCGAGTGTTTCGTACTTGAACTTCAGTCCTGCCTTATTGTACGAATTCGATAGCAGTCCCATGTTTTTCCGCTCTGTCAACGAAAGTCAATTTCGGTTATTCGAGTCAAATGCATCATTTAGTAGTTAATTTTTTAATTTTTAAATCACTACTCCCTCCGTCCCAAAAATAAATGACTACAAAGAAAAATGACACAGTTTTAGAAAACTGTAATTATTACACTTTTTAACTGACAAAAAAAAAGCATCCCTTTATTAGAGAGAGAGATCTTATAATTAAGGGTTAAATAAAAAAGTAGACATTTACTTTTTAAAAGTGGACAGAGATACCCAAAATAGTAATGTAACCATTTATTTTGAGACTGTGGGAGTAAATAACAATTTTACCCTTTATAATAAAGAGATTAATAAATTTAGCCATCTCATAATTAAGGGTAGAATTGGAAAAATGGGTATTTACTTTTGAAAGTGGACACATATTTTGAGACAGAAAGAGTATATAATATTTATATACCACAGATACTCATACACATTCTTCGGTTGGGCTCTACCAGTAACCTGGGTCCCACTAGACCAACAGGCCTTTGGTTCGTTTGTGAATATTAAGATTGAGGTTTACCTTGTTTAAGCTTTGATATTCTTATATATGCTGCATAACTAGCAAAACCAGAGATCATAAGGAAAGCAACTGCAGCCAAGACAACAGCTACTTTGGCTCCTGGACTAGAAAGCCCTGCAAAAAATTGGAGAACTAAATGTTAAAATTACCATTATACCCCTCCATCAATATAACAAAAATGAAATATTATGCACACACCTAAATCAAACAAGCCGTGTATAAACCAGGAAATTAATGGGGTGGGGCCACGTTGGATGGGACTCGGGAGAGAGAAGCATATGGCTATATAGGACTGGGGGAGAAACCATGTAAGATGGGGGTGAAAATAGAAAATTTAAGCTAGTCAACAAAAGTTTTTGGTTTTTGACTAGGGGCCTTTCCCCCGGTGCTTAAAGACCGGATCCGCCCCTACGTGTATCGATATATCCCATCAGAAGGTGGGGTCCAGAGGTGTGGGTGAGGGTGAGATGTAAGTAGACGAGACCTTTTAACTCCAAAAAAAAAATATAGTTTCCAAGAAATAATATCTCAAAAACAAAAAAACTACTTTCAACTATTACAGTTTCTCCATTTTAGAAAATACAATTTATTTATCATCATTAAATATAAATAATATTAAAAAAGTAAATTGGTGAGCTCGTTATAAGTACAAAATTGTTGACTACCAATAATTTCCACCGTGGGAATTAGAAGTTACTGGGATTGGTTCTTTGGGCTTGGCTATTGGAGTTGGATGTAATTTTTTTTAAAATATTTTTTTACAAAAATTATAAAATAATTGTTGGAGATATCCTTAAAATTCAAAACACCATTAAATTATATAAAAAAACAACTCATATTATTGATTTTAAAATGCATTTTTTATATGCCAAATTGGAATACCAGACACCCTAAAAAAGGCATAAAAAAAGTGGACCAAAGCCAAAAAGTCAACAAAATAACTTGGAAATGTCTTCCAAGTAGGTGACTTAGAAAGCACCCAAATTCATTGAATAATGATCCCAACTAATACCAATATAATAAGACAAGATGAGCTCATTTTGAGCAACCCAAAAGAGGTTTGACTTTTAAAGGTCAAATGTATTAGAGTTATATAAGTTCCAATTTTCACAATCAATTTTCTTTTTTTGAATAAAAATTGTTTTTTACGTTAAACCGTGACGACATACTACGATAATAAGCGTTTTCGGAACAAAAATCCGGAACATACCGAAGTCGATTTTGAATGTCATAACGTTTGACTTTTGAAAAAAGGAAGCAATCTAGAAAAGGAGTCAAAATAGATAAAAGTCAAAGTTAAGAGAAGCCATTATATTTGAAAAATGCACAATTTTGAGAATCTTATCAAAGAAAAAGACTTGAATCAACAAATGTTTTTAAAATTATATATATAACAATTTAAAGAAAATATATTAAAGACTGAATTATGCTTTCGGTCCCTGTAGTATGTCAAAAATTACGACTAACATCCCTATACATTATTATGGTCCCTTTAACCAACGGAGTTAACAAAATCCGTTAACCCAACTGACTCAAAAGGTATTTGATCTTTTACGCCTATCTTTTTTGTCTTTTTCCTATTATAAAATATATTATATAATCTAATCCGATATCTTTTTTATGTTATATATACAAATATATACACACACCACACGTGTAAAAGCACCAAAATGCTTCCCGAGTTAATCGGGTTAACAAATTTTTGTTAACTCTGTTAATGAAAGAGACCACGACCCTATAAAATTGAATACCACAGGGACCATATCCGTAATTAAATAGAGTATAGGGACGTTATCCGTAATCCTTGACATACCACAAGGACCAAAAGCATACAAGGATGAGCCATAACCTAACTCCAATGACCATAAGATGAGAAACATAATCATATTTAATTTATTTATTATTAAATACCATTTTCGGCATTGGGCAACAAAATTGAAAAGGGTTTCCAGATCATTTAACAAGGACTTGATCATTAGACCAAAAAACACATAGATTGACAAAAAATGCATCCATTGGTTGAATAGGTGAGCATTTGGGCATTGGGATCACAAAAAGATTGAAAATGGTTTCCAAATGATTCAGAAACTTGATCATTAGATCCAAAAAAAAAACACAAATTAACAAGAAATGCTTCCAAGAATTCAAGAAAGATGCCCAGATGACATAAAAGAACGAAGAACATGAATATGAACCAAATAATGGCCAAAAAGATGGATTTTGCAGGATTTAGATGATCATGGGGATTCACTAAAGAAAACCCAGAAAGGTAAGGTAATCATGTAGAGAAGAAAGTAAGTGAAATACCAGAATTACCCCTATCTGCTAGAGGATCAGTATTCATAAACCATGCCCTCTGACAATAAAAACTAAAAATTCAACCTTGATGAAAAAGATGGATTTTGCATGATTTAGATTGTATGGAATCACCAAAGAGAATCAAGAAAGGTAAAATGATCATATGAAGAAGAAAGTACGTGGAATACCAGAATTACCCCTATCTGCTAAAGGTAAAGGATCATAATTCATAAAAACATGCCCAGATAACAAAAACAATGAAGAACATGAATATGAACTAAAAATTGATCAAAAAGACAGATTTTGCAGGATTCAAATGATTATATGGATTCACCAAAGAGAACCCAGAAAGATAAAATGATCATATGGAGAAAGTAAGTGAATTACCAGAATTACCCCCATCTGCTAGAGAGTCATTATTGAAGAATTTCTGTGTAGAATACCTCAAAAAACATCCAGCATTCATACTCCTTCCTTCTCTACTTGGCAAACAACGTCTAGCTTCAGTTTTTGCTTTATTCAAACAAACCCTACATTCTTCATTACTCAAACTCTCCCAACATTGAGCCAATCCATAAACACCCCTCAATTCCAAAACCCCAAATCCATTATCCCTTAATGCAATTTCAGTAAGATTTTCAACCAAATCACCAACAGTCCTCTGAAATTCCAAAACCCCACCTTGGAAATCACTCCAACTATTGTTCCCCAAGCTCGAATTACAATTTCGAGTATCCATGGCTGAATCTGTAGCTTCATGGTAAAAGCTGTAATTATCATAACGAATAAAACATCCATCGAGAAAGTACCGACCGGAGGTTCTGGGGAGGCAATTGGGGACGGCGGTACGGCTGACGGCGTAGCAAACAAGGCAATCGGTGCGGGAAAGATCACGGTGGCATTGGATTAATGCGAAAAAAGGAGGTAAAGAAGCATCGGTGATGTTTGCAACAGCGAAGTTGTTATTGGAATTGTTGAGATTACTTGAAAGTCCTTCCATTGCTTGTACGAATGTTGGGATGAAACTCGACGTCGTCGCACGGCCGGTGCCACATGAGAGATTACCGGCGACGGTGACCCGGGGATCGGAATCGGCGGTGAAAAATGAGAGATTGAGGGAAAAATAGAGTACCCATGTGAAGAAATTGGGAGGAAATTGCGTATGTTTGTTGGGAAATCGATTGAGAGGTTGTATTTCAGATCTTGATTCTCCTGCTGCCATGTTTGATTTGGGGATTGTTGTTCATGTGGGTGGGTTTTTGGAATGTATAAAAGGGGATGAAGAAGGTGAAAAAAGTGAGAATTGTGGGAGGGGAGTCAAAGGTTTAGAGCCGATTTCACACGGTTTTTTCTCTCTCTCTCTCTCTCTCTCTCTCCTGTGCATCAAACAAAGCAGTCGATCAGGTATGATTCTTCACTGTTTTTTTGGCTTTGAAAAATGGCCGACTTTTTTGTTTTGTTTTATTTTACTAAGAATTAAAAATATAAAAATATTATATATTATAATTTAAAATATATAAATATAGTGATGTTTTCAAGTGTTTTATGGGGGAAATGATATTTAGATAAAAAAGTTGATTATCTGGTTATCGGCAATCTCAATTGATCCATTACAGAAGCTGTCTTCAAGGGCATTTTTTTGTCTCGTTCACTTACTAAGGCTAGTGGGTGTGGCGTTATCCTTTTAGGTGTTTTTAGCGTACCGTAGAAAAGGCTAAAAAGTGGGTGTGGTCGGTTTGGGTCGGTTCTAAATCGGTTTAGGTTCCAAATCAATCTTTTTAAAATCGGGCTACTTAATTCCGGTCTTAGTCCTGATAAAAAATCCTATGACTGATCCTAGACCCGGTAACCGTTCCCAACCTTAGGCTCTACTTGGTTTTTAATTTTTTTAACAAAAGTGTATACGTATTTTTATAATAACAATCTTTAAAAAATAACATTGAAGTATACTTTAAATAATACATTTACTTGAAAAATCTTAAATTTTTTTGAATTAAATTTTTTGAAAATCTTGTAAAAACACTCGAAAATATAATTAAAAAATCTTGAAAAACTTATAATGTGGTTTATAAAACCTTTAACAAATAGAAAAATTGGTTTAGAGTGAAACTCGTCTTGAAATTCCATAAAATCTGTAACTGGTTTCAAACCGTTAGCCCTTTCGAATACTCACATGGTCTTTGCAACATCTTGTCGATTACTCATTCTTGAATTGAACAAGGATTAAAGCAGCTTTTGTTTAACTTTGATATTTTACTTTATATGTCAGATATTTTGTTCTTTTTTCTAAATTATATCAGTATTATTATTTAACTAGGTTCTAAGTAAATATAAAAGTGTTTCCTAACACATATATTGTAACAAGGGCAAATTGCATGAAGAATTAGCGTAAACTTTAACTTGATTTATATTTTTTGTAACGTACTTTCGAAACTTTCATTTTTGTATCTAAGATGTAAAGTTTTAAACATTTAAGTACTCGGGTAACCTATTGAAGCATAAATCGGTTACCATGCTGATGTTTCGAGTGATGGGATGAAATTGGGTTGGATAGCAAATAATATTGAGTTAGATACCGCATCACTTGACACATGAGCATGGTAACCGGTTAATGTTTCAACCGGTTGCCCGAGTACTTAAATGTTTAAAACTTTACATCTTATATACCAAAAAAAAAAGTTTTGAAAACACGTTACATAAAATAGAAATCAAATTAAAGTACGTTACATTTTTATGCAATTTATCCTTATAACAATTGTTTTTAAATAGTCTTCATTCATAAAACGGAAGACAAAAAATTGTACCATCTAAACGAGTTAGATAACATATTAAAATTGATTAATATTAAAATAAATAATTTTTAAAACGAGTTAAAATGGGTAGGTTAAGGTTGACCTGTCACGAGTTTTTTTTCAAAATTTTAATTTCATAGATAATTAGTTTATTAAATAATACAGAACAAAAGTAGTTTTGACGAACCTGTTATTTTTGTCGAGCGGATGCACCTTTAAGTTTTATCAGTGGTGCACAAAGTCATCAGATGCATGTGTTTTTAGCCAAATTCCACTATTTCGAGAGATTCTTTAAGATTTTTGATTGATATCAAATGATTTTTATGTTTTTGCTTTATTTTGAAAGATATTTTTTATTTTTCTGGATGATTTTGAGATTTTTTTTTTAATTTTTCTATCAACGTTTCTTGCATTTTCTAATATCTCAAACACTGCTCAAAGTTCAACAGAAAGACTTCTGATGCCCCCAAAAAGATCTACTTGGAATTTAACAGATTTGCACCTTTTGTGAGGTTTGAATCTTTGCCCTCCTAAGAAGCCAAAGACTTACATACCACAATGCCAAAGGCCCTTTGGTTATAATAAATATTTTTTAGTTCTATAATAACATAAATCGCACAACTATAACTATAAGGGTGGTACCCCATTGGTTTAAGTTTGAGCTTCAAAGGCGAATAATACCTGGAGGTCCCGGTCTGAATCCAATGAGAAATAATAAAAAATTCTTATGGCCACGAAGATTCAATACGATGACTCATGGCTATACGTAGAACAGGTGTGCCTCAAAATTGATCTACTCGTATAACGAGTTGGATATTTAGATTAATAAAAAAAATTACGCAAGAGCTAAAACAAAATCCTATTAGGTTATTAATTAGGACACCATGGGATTAGCAGTTATAATCACGATGGGAAATCATGCGGGCCGCATCCAATGTGTTCCCTACGGTATCATTGGTACTTTGACAAGTGACACGTGTATTATTCAAATATAACAATTTCAAATCATTCATATAAAAACAAATCAATTTATTTTATTTTCATTTTTAAACAATAAAAGAGCTGTCACAAAATATATTTCAAATATATATTTATATTATATTATAAATCATTTGATAAAAAAATTTAAAAACCAATTTTTTATATATAAAATATTGTTTATTGATATAGAATGTGTATGAGTACATCTTATTAAAGTTTTATATTGAATTCGTGTAACTAACTACAGATTAATATAATTAAATACATGATAAACATCATTTTAAATATAAAAAATCTAAAATATAATTATGAAAATTATTGAATTCTAACATAATATTTAGTTATTATCTAAAGAAAATTATTTTATTAAACCAAAAATAAATTAATTTGTTTTTAAACTTCAATTAAATTATAATAAAAAATTGAATTAAAGAAATTACACAAAAATAAACTTTTAAATAGTTAATTTGATACTAACATCGATTATTTTTTTCAAAATTTTAAAATATGTTTCATTCAAAAATAAAAATAATTTTTTTTCTCAAAACCATATAAAATTGCATTATAACATCGATAAAGCTAAATATAAAATGAAACATTAAAATCAAATTGTATCTCGCTGCATTGCACGAGTAGTCTTATAGTAATCATTTAAATCGTTTTATTTTAAAATATTATGTATTTTATAATTATGTTTAAAATGCATTAGATCATTTTAAAACGATGTTTTTATAATAACTTACTTTTTGTACTTCTTTTTCTTGACATATAACTTCCAATTCACCAAATTAGGAATTTAAATAAAAATCAATTATAACAGTTCTTATGAGAACCATCTTATGTAGGTCTCATGTATTTTACTTAGGCAAATTGTATGAAAAAATAACGTACTTTAATTTGTGCTATAGTTTTACACAAATTGATGAAAATGCCATAAACATATATAAAATAGGGCCCCAAAATTTTAGATGTCATGTTCAAAATCCCACATTTAACATGCTAAGGGACGGCCATGATCTCAACAATTATGTTATTTTAAAAAAAATTGGAGATTTGCAAGAAGAAGGAGGAGAAGAAAAATTGCTCCAACAACTTTGCTAAATGTTTATTTAAAATAGAAAAAAAAAACGAGAGAGAACAAAAAAATCTCCAAATTTAATAAAACATAAATAAAATATACCATACATGTTGGAGTTGGTCTTATCATACACTTTTTTATGTTAACGAAATTTTGATGCTCACAGTTTTTTTTTTTTTTTTTTTTTTTTTTTTTTTTTTTTTTTTTTTTTTTTTTT